TTAATTAAAAAAGCTCATATGATTGAAAATCTTTGCCTTCAAATAATTATGTGTTATGATTCAGCAGCTTTTACTGTAGACATTACGAATTTTACTTTATGCCAATTAGTGAGCGTTGCTATCTTTCCTCACTGTTTGTAACGGGCTAAGAGTAGGTCAATTAAAGAATGTTTTTCAAGAAACTTTTTCAAGAATTCTTTTGTCTTTCATGCCAATAGCAGTCGAGAATGCAGTCCTCGGCCGATGCCCTCTTCGCCAGTTTCAAAACACAACGGTCTAGCAAATGGTATTGATAACATGTAAGTTTTTTGTTCCATTTACTGAATTTACTGATTACGAGTTTTGTGACGACCTTGCCGTGTGAAGTTACTTGTCTCTAAAATTTGGTTCTAAATTCTGTCGCAAAATATCAAAGTATTTTTTCTTTTTATGTTTGTAGAGCTCGACTGGATACAGAGGAAAAGAAACAATGTAAGATATGCTTACGAATTTCTTCTCCGTTCAAAAAGGGCATTTTGCTATCTTTATGAACACACAGACAGACACACAGACACACAGACACACAGACACACAGACACACAGACAAGCAAACAGCAGAATTTCAATTTTTAATGGCCAATCTCGCCCGAAGCAAATATCTAAACTTGATAAGGCAACCTCTCCTCTCAGTTCACTCCTTTTATTCTTTCGCAGCTTGAGCGTTGAATTTGAATGGTCATAGAGTAGCAAACTTTTAGTGATAAATTGTTTGTGATATATCTTATGTAAAAGTCAAAGGCCATGACTCTTCTCACCTCATCCCCATCATCTTAAGGTCCAAGTACACTCCAATATTTGATATCACAGAATGCATGGTAGTGTCAAAAGGAATGTTAAAGTGCCGTTATTAAGTACCATTGTTTTACCGGGCAATATAACTTTATGTTTTTGATTACAATATCACTTTAGCAAACATAAAGGATTGTGTTGTTTATGTTCCACAATAGATTCTATATTAATACAAGTCAACGTATTTATCTTATTTTTATCTTTGTGACATATCTATCTACATATTTATTTTTAGTCAAGGTTTTTATTGAATAGTATCTCGATCTATTTATTTCTTTTCTTGTTTCCTTGTCGATTTCTTATTTAACGTTTGTATTCATATCTTCAAGGATTTATTTCTCTATTTGTTTGTTTATTCATTTATCAATCTATTTTTTGTTTTTTTCCTTTTTTTCGTGAATTTGAGCAACTTCTACGTTTGTTTCTAGTGCTTTTGGCAGCTGCAAAGAAAGGGAATTTGCAAACGGTGAGTTTCGTTGCATAATTTTTTTTAGTCATCTATAGGTGTTTTATTCACCATCACTGTAACGCTATTCTTTTTTAAATTTGTTAATCAAGTTCATCTTTTTTCTCAGTTCGTGGCATTACACCAAGCCGATGCAAGCCTTCTTTGGTGTGATAACCGTGGTTACACAGTTTTACATCTGGCTGCTAAGCACGGTCACAAGGAGATTGTCAAACATATAATTGCAAATGGCAAGCTATCCTTTATATACATTGTACAATTGTCCTTCGATAATCTCATTCCCTGCGCTCCTTTTAGGGATACGTTTTTGTTCTTGGTACCTTTAATCTATGCACTATTTCTATAGTCATCCTTTCATCATTACTTTGAGATTTTTTATCATGAAAATAAAGGGAAAACCAAAAGCAATTCTATCCTCCTTTCCTGTGTATTATTTCACCTCCCTGATCTCTACGCTGTCCAATTTCCTTGTTCTTTAGGGATCATCTCAAATTAACATTGACATTATAAATCAATCGACTTTAGGGGTCATTCATCCATACCTAGCATTCTAGAAATTTTGAGATCACCTCCGTTTTTTATTGTTATTTGAACAACTCTTGCCCCCTTCATTCATGCTTCTTCTCCCCTTGATCAAATGAGACAATAACAAATACAGGTAAAAGTACTATGTTTTTCCATCTGCTATTGATCCTTTCTTTTCCCTATCACTTATATTCAGTTGCATGTAAACATGCTAAAGCTGTTAAACTCTCCGTCATCCTTGAAAATCGATTCCCTTGAGGCTGAATTTGAGGCGACATATTTTTTGTAGGTATCGAGGCATGCCCAGTTTTATTTTTGTCTTCGCGGCGAATTCGCAGGAACAAAAGTAGAAACGAGCTAATGCACAATCATAGGAAAGTAAATTTGCTTGATTTATGAGAAAACAAGCTATAAACATTCGCCATGCGTGCAATTTTAAAATTAGACGCTTAAAAGATTAGTTTCCGGGAGAATCAGAATATAGTCTTATCATATGACAATTTTGTAGCGAATGTGGTGCGAAATTCGCCTCGTGGAAATCAACCGTTAATTGGTGCGCTTCATGTTTCTACAGGGCCTGTTTGCTGCCTTGTGAAATGTATTTCTGCACCCTTTTACTTAATAAATGACACCTTTTTCAACTTTAACTTCACAGTGTCAAAATGTGCATTGGATCTAGTTGACGATGAAAAGTGAGTGTCTAAAATCAATTTTTATTTATGGTTGTTGTAGTCAAAACCTTCTCAAATAAATCACTTTTATTTAGAAACTATTTTCAAATCATTTCAAATAATGATTTAAATAAGAGCGCTTCAGATTTTTTTGTGAAATGCGGACAATTTTATTTAAAAGCATTTTTTATAATTACAGAACATCAACTTATATTTTATTGGGGCTTATACAGTATTGCAGTGTCTGCAAAAATAATTTGCCTATTTGATTTAATTTAGGAAGCAAACAGTTAATGCGCTAATTGTTTAGATGTTCTAAGGAAATTATATTTGGAGATGTAAAACTAAGCAATATTTAGGGTTATAAAACCTGACTTAATGTTGCCTTGTCCGTTCGCAAAAACATTACAGTCACAATGCTCGTTCCATCATCCTCCCCATCGTCAAGCTTCATAAAGAGGTTGGTAGCCTCGATATCTGGGTGTTTTGACGAAAGCAAGTCAACGAGAATTTCATGTTTTGTTTTGACCAGCTGCTCTGTGCGATAGTTTTTCAAAATATCGACTATTTATTCATGATTCGTCGCTCATTTATCATATCTACTTCTTTACATTTTGCTATAATGCGATTTCTACAGTGTCTGATTCTTTCAATCTCTGCATGTTAACGGTTGAAACTTCTCCTTTGCTCAGTGGGTTTCGTCTTTCTTCCGCCCATTTTCATAGTCCCACTAAGTAGTAAGTGGGCTTTTTCTTATCATCTATTGCAGCTGACCAAAACTAATTGCATATTATATTATTAATACGTGTTTTTCATCCTGTTCATTCATTGTTGTTCAATTTTCTTAGGTGTCAAACCCCTTTGCACAAAGCAGCCTCGCGTCAAAGAAGAACCATATGCCGGATGCTAGTAAACGCGGGTGCCTCGCTTACGAGAAAGGATCACGTGGTACGTTTTACAGCCAGTCTGCTAAACATTCCCTTTTTTGTCAGTTTTTATCCCTCCATCTTTTAATGTTTTGAGTCAGTGTCAGGAGCATAACTTGGTCATAACTCCTGTCTCCTAATTCACCATCCGAGAGTAATAAAGCAATTATTAAGGTCAAGAAAGACTTGTCTGCCTCAGTTATAATGCTATTCTGCCTAGCCATATGCCAATGGTCACTATTACATATCTAAGAGATGTTAATAAGAAAGGGCTCATAGCAGGATCCTTGTTTTAGCTCGAAATTTGTTTGTTGATTTCACTACAGTCGGAATTGTGTAGCAATTCGAAAAACTGCTATTGTGTAGACAGAGGGAGTTTGTTTTCACCTTAGGACTCCATTGGTAACATTTTTAATAGGCAAGCTGCACTGGTTGGGTACCTCAACAGTCATGTGCTCGCGTTTCTGCTTGGCCTATTTCGATCCACAACTGGGTGTATCTATTTCCAAGCGTAGTGTTTTAATCTATGTTTTGACATTTTATACTCTGAAAAGTGTGAGACGAAAAGCTTAAGTATCTTCTAAAATGTTTGCTTTTTTACAGACAAATTAATGCATCATCGATGTGTTTGTTTATTTTGTTTGCTGTTACGGTTCTTTTAACTTTACAGGGAAATACTCCCAGATTACTAGCTCTGAAAGCCAAAGATAGCGACCTGGCAAAATTTCTTGAAAGTGAGTTGCAATTTTGTTCCCTGATTTAATGATAACAACAAATACTGTTAAATTTACCTCTTCTCCATTTCGACTTGTGGTCATGTTCTTGACTCCTGATGAGGCTAGATTTATTTGAAACATAGGTCGAAGGAACTATGTTTCAGTTAGTCCTTTTTTTCTTCTAATGTAAAACTTTTGGAAAAACAGCAAAGACATTGGAAGTAAGTCTTACCTGCAACATTCGGAGTTTCAGCCAATGGCCTAGGCGGACATAGCGAACCCCTTTAGCGAATACGATTTGGTGTCTATCACTTTCAGGATCTCTTTCAACTAGTTCAATATCACGGCGCCGTAGATAATTAATCGAGTGACCTATCCAGATTAACTACAGTGGTTAAACTATTCGACAGCAATCTATAAACTGGGTTGATAAACCAGTTTCCACTTGCTTGTCGACCGACCGCTCTAGATAGACAGCATTTAGCAGGTAAACAACACACGACCTACATTGTTTCTATCTTCCTTTCAGATCAAGAGAGACTGCAAATAATTGCTTCTGATGATCATGAGACAGCCGTGTGATATCATCAGCTATACTCCAGATTTGCATTACTCGATTGCAGACTGCTAGAATTTCATTCCATGATCATTATGCTCTACATGCATCTACCCTTTTGTTCAAAATGGTCCCTTTTTTATTTTTGTATTGCAGTATTTTAAAACAGCAGGAATGGCAAAAGAAATAAAAGCGTCGTGTAAGAAGGGCTGGGGCAAATGTCTACCTTAGCATCATACGGTCGTTAGTTTTGAGTTTTGTCCTAGATTAACCATTTATGTCAATCGCATCTTATCGAAAGGTTTTATTTCGGTTCTTGTGTCACTCACTATTCAATAATGTCAGATAGTCCAGCATTTTTAGGCTTTGTCTGAAAAGCATTACACTTTAAAAGACATTCCTTTGCAAATCTGAAGCCATGGTGTTCCTGAACATCTGTTGTAATATTTTTCAATATACTGGGTCCCAAGGTTTAATTTTTAGGAGCTGTTTACACATGTCCTGACCAGCTCTAAGCAGCCTAAGGGGCAATTCCATTTGTATGCACTACTCCTTCGAATATTTACATGATATCAGCAGTCAATTCAGTTCTTCCAACCCTGGTAGCCTATCAGCTATGTAGGGCTGGCCTGCTGAGACGGGTTCTCTTTTCACTAAATTTGTTTATGTATTGTCGGGGGGACTCAGTCCATGGTTTTCTATGCGCATTGAATAGTTAGCCCAAGCTAATTTTCTAGCGCCAAACCTAATGCCGATGCTATTGAATTGTTTTTCTTGGGTTAGGCCAACGCTACCTGGTTGCTACCTTTGTTTTTGTGTGTAGATAACAATCTGCAGCTGTCCTCCCGTCCCTAACAAATGTTTATATAGGCCTTGAAACTGTTACTGTTGTCGCAATAACAAAAACACAACGTAATGCTATCTCCATTTGATTGGACCCACGGTAAGCAGCGGAAGATTAACAGTAACAGAGTAGCAGGCTTCTTCAATTTTTAACAGAGTAGCAGGCTTCTTCAATTTTTAAGATTAAATTTTCCTACTATTTATCTCCATAATGGTCAGGTTATTATGAAACCAAAATTTATCCCCACGATCTCAGGCCCCCTTGGATAGTGAATCTTGAGCTTACAATTGAAACTGGCTCGGGTGGGGTTAACCTTCCCCTTAAAGAAGCTGTCCTGGGCTCTTATAAGCGTAAATAGGTTGCTTTTTTGGGTTGAGCTGAACAGGAAGCCAACCCGGGCTCGTGTAAACGACGTTATGGTAACAATCTGAGTTTAAGGTGAATCGATTCGGTATTTTAAATGAAAATATGAAGCTCGTTTGATAAGCCTATGAAACCAACTAGATTTGTATGATATACTGGAAGATAATCGCATATGTTATAAGCTACGTAGAAGCATCAAAGAAATTATTGTCACTTTAAGCACACTTTGCGTTGCTTTTGTTCGAAATTCTTTTTAATGCTGGTAGATTCAATTTTTACATTCCTCAGTAGAATATTAAACTGTTCGTAGTGTATATGCTGATGATACAGTAAAATCTAGCTATATTAGAATTATTTCTTCTGAAAATGATAATTTTAGAACGCAAAATGTAAGTTTATCTTACTTATTCAAGGCCAGGTCTACAGACTGACAACAGCACAGTTGCTGAACTGAGAATTCTGTCTGTTCTTTTGTTATCACAATGATCATTTTCCGTCGTAATTCCTGAATCTTGGACCCAGTCTTTCACAAACTCTTTTTCCAAAGACCAGTCTTAAAACATTTTTTTCTTTTTATAAGATGAATTATTAAAGAAATTTTAGACCCGAAATTTGTGAATTTTGATAATTAATTGAAGAATAATTGCCAGTTCGAATTTTGTCGACAGTTTGACTTTTCATCTCAGAGGCGGATCCAGGTGGGTTCCTTGGTGCACAGAACTCAGTCAGTTTTCCAACATATAGCTAAAAATAGTGTAGCCTGAAACAAATGATATTTAAACTAAAAAAGTGAAACCTACAAATTATGCCTTTTACCAAAAAGTTTTATCACAGTATCTTCAAAATCTGAAAATTGCCTTCAAAATCTGAAAATGTTTAATGTAATTTGTTCGTCCTTTTCCTTCTTTCTTCTCTGTCGTGATTTAGAAACGATTTTCCAGACGCTGTGGAGGACAACAGCAGTCAATCCTAGAACTCGGAAATAAACGTTTTGTGCCTTGGAAGTGATGAATTGAAACAATGAAATTTTTGTTTGGAACACGGATGGAACTCAGTCAAAACAGCATCTGGAACTCGGAAATGATACCATATTTGTAAGAGAGCTGTACAATAGCCAGTAGTTGATTGACTACCTATCGTTTCTGAAAAATTGAAAAATTTTCACAGAGGCACTGTTTTGTCGGAAAGGTGTCTAGATTTAGTGAGGGGATAGTAACCCCCCCCCCCCCCCCCTCCCCCGTCAATGGTACCAAAATGCATAGATATGAATGATAATGTGTCTTGGGCACAATTATCAATGCATTATCTGAAAGTCCCTAACCTTGGCCTGGAACTCAGTCAGGTTTTTTCCTGGATCCGCCCCTGATCCTAGAAAGATTTGAAAAATTTATTTTCTCGCCAACTATGGTGGCGACCTTCACCAAACCCCTCAAACTGTCTTGTAGGCATAATGATAGCGAAAGCTTACCAATATGTCAAAATTTATTCAAAATGTGGCCAGAAAATTTGACTTGCCAAATTCAATATCATGATGGAACAAAAATTGTTTTTTCATTTTTTTTTTTTGAGTTACATAACCAGAAAGATATTTGAATGTGTGAAATGAGTAAATCTGTTGAAAACTGGCTGAGATATGGCAACTTGAGCACAGGTTCTGACCCGGTCAAATGACTGCAATTTTTTTTCTGCTGCAAATTTGATGAACTATGCCAAAATAGCAGAAATCTGTAGCAAACTAAACTAAATTTTCTGGTCATAGCATATTCAAAGAAATCGTGGTGTTCTATCAAGTTATGTGGTACAAAGTTGAAAGTTCTAAATTACCTCACGTCTAAATATTTTTATGGCGGCACAATTAAAAGCTCTATTGTCGCTCCTCGCCAATCCTAGACGCTTCGGAAATTGGAAGAGTTTCGAAACTAAACGAGAAAAGGATTCGAAACTAGACGAAAGAAAACAACTCATTCAAGCTTGAGGCGACAATGAGGGATGGAGGTATAAGCATTAATCTGTAGGCTATTTTTGGAAAACTGGACGAGCAAAATGTGTAAGTTAGTTTCATTTACTCTGATGAAACCCTGTATGCCGGGGCGCAATATTAGTATTTGTTTAATTCAGTTTATTTTGGAAAATTTATCTAACCATATTGGATTCTCGTCGCCGTTTCGCTTTGTTTCTGAATTTTATCCTCATATTTATATTATATTCATTGCAAGATTCACAGAATCCAGCGGACAGCCTATCCTGCGGTTCTTCCTTCTCACACAAAAAGTGGAAGCACTTGGTAAAGACATCTTCATATTTAAGTGTACACCTCTTCAGAGCGCGGCGATTTCGAGTTGTCTTTTACCTGCACGTTCATTTTCGACGAGCTTTTGGCGCCCCTTTCAAGACTTGGATCGCCTTTGGCGCGCCCCTGAATTCTTTGGTTGCAGGAGGGGTACGTGCCCCCTGTTCCCCGGGGGTACTCCCATTATGGCCTAACAGGGGGTCCAGTCAGGGTCAAAGTCTTGTCAAATTAGTCAAATGACAATAACCCTCAAATGATGGGATGAGGATGGAAATTATCCATTTCTTTGTAGGCGCCTGGTCCTTCTTTGACCAACTTTTCGCCATTTACACTCTTTTTTTAATAAGAACAATTTTATAAGAACACGAGCCTCAAAATTGGTCAAAAGTTAAGAACAAATAAAGAACAAGCTGAGGCTGAGCTTCTGCAAAATGCAATTTTGAACAACGTTTTTTCTGAAAATCGAGGATTTTAAGCGATGTGTGGGTGCTTTTTCGTCGAATATTCAAACTTTTCGGCAAATGAAGGTTGTCTCGCGCACTTTGTGGCAAATGAGGCCTGAACACCTCCCTAGAGCGAAAAAGCTAGCACTCGCACTGCTTACACCCTATTAGATTAGAAACAAATTAAGAACAATCCAGCCTCAGATTTTCGAAAAAATTAAGAACTGTCAGCCTGAACTTAAATTTACTGGTTCTTATAAAAAATGAAGTGTACTGCAGTTGATTCGAGAAAGATAAAATCTTGCTAATTGTCTATAAAAAATCGCAAGCTGAGCTAAGCCGTTGTGTTGTTAGCGAAAATGGGCCATTTAAATCAGACCCTAAAATCGACTAGACCCTCTTGTCAGGCCCCCCTGAAGGGTCCTGGCCCCACCGGCTACCATGCCACTGTACAAAATGCTAGGTCATTTATTGACAATAGGTCAATGAGGCGGAAGAGTTGACCAACAGATGCTGAGTTCTGCTTCTTAACGAACGAAATGATTTAAGGATATCCACATGACGAAGGCCAAAAGATGCGTTGTCACATCATCTTGTTGTGAGATTATCCTCTAGGTATTTTTGTTTTAGAAGACCGCACAGAGAAGTGGAAATATGTGTTGTCCATTTGTAGATAGCATGAGTAAACTCGGAAGTTTTGAGGTTCAGGAAACGTGAATCGTGATAGCAGATCAAGATTTGTCCTATGGAGAATAGATGTCAACCCAACGAATACTCTGATAAGGAGATTTTGTCAAATTGCATTATGAACACGTTTTCTCTCATTCGTTCCTGATAAAAAAAACTTACCTTGGCCTAAGCGCCAGTGCCTTAGATTTTTATTTTTTTCAATGGTGGACATTTAGACTCCAGGACTAGGAGACGAAAACAATTTATTTTGCTAAAAGCTATTGTTTTGAAAACTTTGGGCTAAAACAAAAGTCACACGAAACAAACAAACATCATATTAAACAAACATGATATCACCTCAAAGCAAAGCAATATTATTTGATGTAGTTCAAACAAAACTTTTCATATATTTTCATTTCATTGTAGCAAGGGCTGCAGCCTTGTACCCTGGGCAGGCACTGCGGAGCGTTGAGAAAAGTGGGGGGTCTAAAAAAAGTGGGGGGCTAAAACCGTATAAAAAGGGGCTTTTCTGGTAGTTTGATACTTAATATTTGGCATTTTTTGCAAAAAGTTGGGGGCTAAAGCCCCCAGCCCCCCCTTTTCCGCCGTGCCTGCTGGGTGCCAAACTTCCTCTCTTCTCTCCTCCACCGCACTCTCCCGCAACTTCCATATCCTCAACGCCCAACTTGACGCTCTGCCCGCAACGCCCTATATCCTCGACGCCCCACTTGACGCTCTGGAACCCAGGGTAGCAGCCTTGCAGCGGAAAGAAATTCAAGCTATAAACATACCGAAATTATGCAAAGATGGCAAAACGTTACCTATATCTGACAGAAAGAAAATGATCAAAGTGTTGGCATAGGGAAGTAAGGGGCTGGTCATATTCTATATCAATTATTTGTAAAATTGACACTATACTGACAGCTGAGATTTATCTGTTATAACAAGAATTATGCACGCATTGCACTTCTGCTAAGGTCATATATTGAGAATTGTTATGCTAACCTACCAGATCTGCATAGGAAAGTAATGACAAGGGCATTCAGGGGTAGAAAAGTAGAAAGTAATGATTGAAAAGAGATTTTTGAAATGCCTTTCTGATTCTACATTATTATATTTAATAACAGTTTGCATCCATACTTAAAGTTTAAGATTAAGGCCCTAAGATCCTATCGACCTTTTCCTCCTATGAACTTTTTAGAATTAATTTCTAATTTGGTGTTTCTATCCTTTCTTTGATAAAGTTACTTTATCCTCAGGCTTCACGAAGTCCCTAACTTGCTGACATCTGTCATTTTGTGGTGACTTTTGACACGAAGTACTTGAAGTGTTCGATTTTCAGGGACTCGGTATTGCGGTGGATGGAGATCCGGACTTGCTGCGGTGTTTACTGGAGATTTTCCTCAACATTTGGGAAGAACAGATGCTTAATTCAGCTAAATGAAAAGCAGTTTTCTTTTTCCTGCCACAGACGCGCGTAGCTGTACTGATTCTTTGGTGATGGTTACGAAACATTTGGATGACCCCTCCTTAGATTAGTTGATGCCATTCTCACCAGTGCGCTGAAACCAAGTCAGTAACTTTTTGAAAAATCTGATCATTGCTTCAATCGATTATTCCTTTTTAACACGTGAAATTGACTCTATTGATCTGTTTCATTTTGTGTAAATGAAAACTTTAAGTAAGTAAGGTTTGATGTTTTAGTAGCGGAAATGGTGTTTGCAGTTTCCATGCCTCATGAAAAGGCCAAGCGACAAACAAGCCTGTATGTGAATCCCACCCCCGCTAAAAATCGTTGGTTTGGTTGGAAAATTTAAAACCAAGGACCTTAATTTATGTGCAGTTTTTATTCCAAGTATTTTAAAATTGTGGAGCTTTTTACCACTTCCTTTTCAAGACACCCTAGTGATACTGAAAGCGTAGTCAATCCAAACTCAGCTGACTCTAACATTGCGGATTTATTTTTTATCTATCATCTAGTTGTAAGGCCAAACATGCAAAATTGCAGATGGCACTAAGTTGTGTTTTCTCTGGTCTGTTGATCACAAGCTGAAACTATTGGTGTGGGGCTTATTGAGATCAACTTCGCCTCTATCTTGGGAAGAAGACGTCAGGGACATTTTTTCAATTTTGTTGATAGCAGGTAGAGCAGCGAGTTAACGCTTGCTTCAATTTTCGAAACGGTATAGTGAGTTAAGGATCTTAAAAACAATTTGCATCGAAAGTTTTATGAGGCCAGAAAAAGCATAGATGAAGCTTTGCAATTTGATTTAGTATGTTAGAAAAAGCTTCATCATCAAGTTAGAAATTTACACGCTTTTCTTTCGCAGTTTCCCGATTCACCACCGTCATAGACAACAAAACACTTTCGTTTGAATGTTAAAGGTTTGTGCAATGCTTAATATTTCGTTGATTTACTGAACTAATTATTTTAAATGTTTTTATTTAATAAATTTCTAAATAATTCAAATATCGATTGATATGATAGATAGGAAGAGCTTAAACGCTGAATTGAATTTTGCGTGATCGTTACTGGCTTGCATTCTTTAAAAAATTTCATGTTTATTGCGTTAATGAAGCGTTTATTGTTATCAGCCTTCCAAACATTTGATAATTTTTTTCATTATATCCTGTGTTATGGGCAACATTTTGTTCAATTTTTTTACAAGGAGTGAGGCTCTTTATAAATTTGGTTTTGAGATCCAATTTGTCTCAGAAGTTTCATGTTCTGGAGAGGTGACTACAGCTGGTAACTTCTGATATCCTTTAACCTCCTCCTGCAATTCCTTTTGTTTTGATTAATTAGATTATGAGCATATTTCAACATCCAATTTATCATTAGGAATCCCAGATAGGAATGGCCAAGGAAACAAAACAATATTGCACATTCTATTGAAATAAAACAATTGAGTTTATAAACTTAAAATGTCAGGCATCATGATATCAAATGATTTAAAAAATGTTTTAAAATGCAACCTAGTGCATACTTGATGAGATAGCATGGAATGTAGAGTACATACCAGATTTTTCCTGTGAAGCGTAAAACCATATGTTGTGGCCCAGTTTACTGGCATTACACTGATCCCATAATATTGATTGTTTAGCATATTACATCTCTAGCAAATGAACTGTGCAAAACTGGGGTTTTGTCAACAAAAGGATGAGATAAGAGTTTTTTTAACAACATAAGTTTTTGTTGAATATGACAAGCCAGAGATTAGATCAACTTTACTATGCCACAAATTTCAATGTGGAGGGGCCGAGTTCTTTACATCAAACTTTAATTTAGTGCTTTAAAACAGGTTCTCTATGGCAATGTTTTTGCTTACCAAAATAGTGGGGGGCATGGCCCTTCTGGCCCCACTGGTCCACCAATGACATGGGCCCTGCAACAGTTCTCACTTAGATATAAAATCAACATACAAGTACGAAAACACGTGCAGTGTGCCACATGCACCTTTGGGAATGACTATTCATTTGACAATGAACATAACACAACAGTTTTGTTATTTAGAAACCACTGTTGCAGCATTTGCACCGCATGAGTTTTGACAATTTGTTATTTTGATGGGGGTAACTAAAAGCATTAGCTAGTTTAACTCTCTGATTAGGATCGCCGGCTTCATTGATTGGGCACAGACTGACCTGGATTTCTCTTCAGTGGGATTAAAATGGTCCTGCAACCTCACAGCTACCATTCATACAACATTCTTAGTATTTATATGTATATTCATGTCAACAGAGGCATTATTTTTGGCTAGGCAAGTTTAAAAGCTGCTACTTGAATGCTTCTTCCTTCCCACCAGGATGCCAGAATTTTTTGTTTGGTCTCATGAAGTAGGGTAGCAGGTTGTAATAAAGTTTAGTGGTAAGCTGCATATCGCAAAATCATTCAAAATTTATTAGTTCCTAATCTTATTTTTATAAATCATGACATACCATCTTTGCCAGCCTTTCATTTGAGTACATGCAAATGGTCACCACAACTGTCTTTATTTCTCTCTAATCTTTCTGTAGTATCTTCCCAATTACTCTTTCAAGCAGTGGCCTTGAAATGTTCTTTCCAGCCCTTGATCTGATTTTCTCTTTCTTTGACTCTTTCCTTTTTGTGTAGTACAGAGCTTTATCATGCACTTTTTAGTTATTTTTGCACGATATCCAACCCAAATCTGTTTTGCTTTATCACCCTTCTTGATTATGCCATTAACATATCTTATTTCTCTTTTTATCTTTTTATGTAATGCTCAACATCACAAATTTGCTGTGATTAATCTAAATTAGAGTATTGAATCGATAATTATGTAGTCAAAAAATTAATAGCCCCTAGAGGACTGGAATTTGTTTTTCGTTTGATTTAGGGAACAATGGTAGAGTCTTTTTTTAGTAGTAGTCGAGGAGCAGGTTGTGGAAAGTAGAGTTGAATATTTTATCTATAAATTTGTTGATAAAAGTGTACACTTCTGATCTATAAAGCAGAAAATTTCTAAGTTTGCAAGTTTCAGGTTTAATGTGATCATCAAGGAGCAATATTTTTCATTGAATTAAGACATGGATACACAAACACATTAAAACCTTGGAATCTGTGATTCAAACCCTACCTTTGACTAAACCATTACCAACTCTTTTCAACCTTTGGAGTTCACAATAGCATTACTACATTAGCTTCTTGATGTCTGAAATCTTCCATCAACATGAAAGGTCAGTAAAAACCACAACTTGGTTTAACATTTACATGCAAAAGGATATCTGAACAATGTATTCAGAGTATTCCTCCATACCATTGAAGGTTTTTTTTAATTCCTAATGATAAAATTTTTTACATCATAAATCTTATGGTTTCATTTCCATCTATTGTACATCTGCTCTCAAATTTACAATGCTAAAAGGCAAAATCCATGAGATTTGATTTATTTTTCATTTTTTGTCAACTAGAAACCTCTTAAACCAATCTATGCAGTGCATGTATTGCAAGGCTTTATATCCATGAAAGGGCAAGATGAGCTGGTTATAACATTTCCTTTAAAGCACCCAGTACAGAATGGATGACCATATATAAAAAGTTAAAAGCAAATGAAAGTGAAAGTAATCTACTTGCTTCTTCTGAATAATTCTTAACCTTTTGTATGTGCCAAATTCCTTTCTTTTCCAAAGTCTTTAGTTGTTGTAATTACTAAACATTTTGGTTGTTGTAATATTTATTCAATAGATTGTTACCATTCGTTGGTCTTGAACATAAAATTTGGGTTTATTTTATTCCTTGTATGTTTGCTCCGGTTGTTTCTTTTTTCAGCAAAATGCTCTCTCTAATTTGACACCTTGATACACTAGTATTATCATGTTTGCATTTTGCTTTTTTCACCATTTTTTTGCATTTTGCTTATTTACTGCTCATAAGGAAATTGAGGGAAAATTCCATTACCACACAACATCTTGGTTTTTGGAGGATTGAAAGCTACTTTCACATTATTCCAACATTTACCTTAACCTTTATTTTGATGTGGTTAATCTAATTTAACATAATAATAATAATTTAAAATTGGGTGTGCTAACATAATAAAACATTTAATGCTTCCTTTGAAAAGACAACAAGGTTTTGAACCTTTATAAAGGACAAAATTAAAGATTTGAGCATTCTGCTGTTTATATGTCATGTATAAGCTCTGCATTAAAGATAAGAAACATTTGACTGACCAATGGTTTTAAAGAGACATCTCACAAGAAGAGAAGTATAAAATTTTGAAACTACATCAGCAGAAACTACATTCTCTCAATGAATAATCTTTCTCTCTTCAATTTCTTGAAGAAAATGAATGAATGAACGATATCTCTCAATGATATAGAGAATTTCATGTCTTCAGATAATTTCTAAGTCCTCTATCTTTTCAAGACTTGCAGCCACTTCTCCTAAATTGTTAACTCAAAGATATGCATAGTAGCTATTTTTAATTGCCCTACTTTTTTCAGCAACTTTTTGATAGATGTATTTGCCTCGGGCATCAACTGCTTGTTTTTGCATTGCTTTCATTGAAATGACAAAGGGCAGATTAAGCTACATCCATTCCTGATGGGTGGTTGTAAATTCCTAGCTTTATTTTACTCTAATTTTCACTATTATATCTGAAAAATGTTTCAGTTTTCAGCAATAGATTCTTTGTGATCAGCTTTCAGCTATGAAATTTTACAGCCATATGTCCTAATAACCTCAGAATTATTCAGTAGTTTCAAGTTCTCAATTGTATTTACAAACATTGTATTAAGAAAAGCCATTTTGGGCCTCCACGGTAGCAGTGTATTTGCAAATATGCAGCTTTTGTTATGAGTTCACTTAGAAGGATAATGATAACAATATCAATGTTCATACAGGATAACCTCTTCAACATAAAAAGTACTGCTATTTCTACACGTTGCAACTATGATTTATTACAATAAATACGTTAAAACTGAAATATGGTATTAGGCAAAACCGTTTACGTTTAAAGGATAAATCAATTTTCAATTTTCCAAACAAAATTTGTTAGTTTATGTTTAAAGAAAAGGAGTGAGGACAACCAGCAAAGGCTGCTAGGGAGTTTTGTATATACCTTGGGACCTTCAAACCAAAAAGCCCTTTACCTGCCTCTGTTCTAATTCTCAGGATTTGGGTTGGATATTTTTTATTGCAAGTTTTATGATTATGGTTCAAGGGTTCAAGCAATGTTTTCATAATTGCTGCAGATGTTTTCCTCGGGCATTTAAAAACCGATAGACATGCCTTGAATTTCTTGTTGTTGTTGATTGACATTTATTTTTTTATTTATGTGCAATCTTTCCGCTGTTTTCCATAAATAATCTTAATTAAATAATCAAAATTTTGACAGTTTTAGCTAAATTTAGGGCATCAGTAGAGCAGACTGGGTGTAAAAATTAATGCGAGCTCAAAAGTAGACAAGGAGCAGTTGAGGGGGATTCGAGGTAAAGTGGAGACAAAAATATTTTTGCTTGAAGCAGAGACCCTATCTACTAAGCAAAAGAGCAGCCCCCCCCCCCTCCTAAAAGTTTCTCCGATAAGATTAATATTTCAGTTGCACGCTGGAAATCATATATATTTCACTCACATGTCTCAGTCGGTTCCTTGGAATCATATTGTTGTGGACGGATTAAAACTCGTAAATAGATTTTCGTTATTTAACCTTTTTAATCTCCTGGAATCTAACGCTAGAAGAAATTTATCAACCAAACAGGTATGCTTACATGCCTGTGTTAATGAAAATTGGGAAAGGACTGGGGTATATTGTTCTGAGAAATTTATTACACTCTTTTTTATAAGAACCAGACAATTTAAGTCCAGGCTGACTGTTCTTAATTTTTTCAAAAATCCAAGGGTGGATTGTTCTTAACTTGTTCTCAAATTTATAGGGTATAAGCAGTGTGATTGCTAGCTTTTTCGCTCCAAGGAGGTGTCCAGACCTCATTTGCCTATAAGTTTGAAAATTCACTAAAGAAGCACCCACACATGGCAAAAATTCATCGTTACTGAAATGGAACGTTGCCTAAAATTACATTTTACAGTAGCTCAGCCTCAGCTTGTTCTTAAGCCGCATCTACCCGAGCAAGTTTTCCAAATTTTCTTTGAGAGAGCGCTTGTTCAAAAGCTGGCGTGCTGTTTTTTAGCAAGTGCACTTGACAAGTAGAAAATTGTCATGCAAAACTTGCCCGTGTAGATGACTTGACAAGTAAACTTGATAAATTTGATTCAATTTCAGACCCTCTTTCGGCACAAGTAATTGCTTGTTGTTGGCTGTCATGGCCGCCACGAGGGTTAATCTGGACCGATCAAGGAACGTCAATGCTCATGGAAACTCTGCAAAGCCGCGAAAGTATTTTGAATACAAAGCAGATAGTGAAAAAATTTATAGGCCAATGAAATATTATCGCCTGCTAAGATTTCCAATGAAATTTTCGAAGACTACAAACGCAGAATTCTAACCGTTGGACTTACTGAAAAAAATTCTGAAAACTGCCTGAGTCTGTGAGTCTCAGTTCTCCAATCAAATTTTCTGCTAATCCTTTGATCTGCCTGCGACGATGGCTCGCCCAAGGTTTAACCCACAACTTTGGCTGACTTTTTTTCTTAGATTCATAGAAAATTAGTAGTGCTGCAGCTGTCCCACACACGAATAAAAGTTTCATCTTTGTTAAAGGAGCTATTTTTGCTCATGCTACGCCCCGTCAGAAAGCCAGAGCTAATTTATAATTCCACTTGCAATTACGCAAATAGATATTGTCAAAGAGATTTTTTATCTTTCTACGCGAAATGTGTAGATATTGTCAAACATAACTTGTTTATAATCTACACAGGCAAAGAAACATGTCAAGGAAAATTGTCAAGGAAAAACTGCTCGTGTAAATGCGGCTTTAATTTGTTCTCAACTTTTGACCAATTTTGAGGCTCGTGTTCTTGCATTTCACAGTAGCTCAGCCTCAGATTGTTCTTAATTTATTCTTAACTTTTGACCAATTTTGAGGCTCGTGTTCTTACACGCTATAAAATTGTTCTTATAAAAAGAGAGCAGCTGGAAAAAAGAGTATTTGGGTTTTCTTTATAAAAATGTTGCTGAAATCTTAGATGGTCCGAGAATAAAACGTTAAGGATAAACAATTGTGATCCATTTTGATAAAGGAAATCCAAATAATGTGATTTTCAAAGAGTACTTCAATGACGCGAAGTAAGAGAGGATCAGTACCAGAACTTCAGGTTTTATTCAGGCCCACGAATAAGATAGATTGGTTTATATGTGTAGCTTATACCTTTTCTTATTGACCCTCCACTACTCCTTGTCTACTGTTGAGCTCGCATTGATTTTATCCACCAAATTGATTAATCCATTGCTATAATTGAGTGGACGATATTTTTCTCACCGCATGCCTGCAAATTAAAAAAATATTTGGTATATTTGTTTTTGGTTGTAATGTGTTGTCTTTAAATGTGTAATTGCACCGGGGTAGTTATATGTGTTTGCTCTCCATAGTATCATTCAGTAAATTTAGTGGCTTAACGAGTAATATGTATTTTTTTTATTTTCATTTACCAGAAATGGCGTGAAACATACTTTTCTACAAAGCCGTAATTTGTCCGTTTTTAGTTTTTTAGTAATTTATGACAAAAGAAATATTTGAGCGCTCTTTGTTTCTGCAGTTAAGAAGTGAAGCTTGATTTTTATATGCTTCCAGAGAGTTTTATATGTGTTAAAGAGAATTGTTGTTGACTCTTTTGAACTTCATTTTAATGTTTTTCTTTTTCTTTTATAGGGCAAGTTGCAATGTCTGATTTCAAGAATACAGATACTGAGCCCCCCGCTGTAGTTTCTCAGTCGCCCCAGGGTCTTGCCATCCGTGATCCAGGGGTTTTATCATCAAGCCAAAGTTTTACTGAAATTGAATTTGTTAATCGTCATACAGTTGATATTGGGATAGGTGCGAATTTTATTGACTTTTTCACTAAGTTTTTCTTTGTATCTTGTTGTCAAAGATATGGATTAGTGCATTCGTACAATCATCGTACATCCTTTAGCCTGAAGATGTTAATAACAAGTGGCAGACACCTGGTCGCCCAAGATATTTTCGAAAACAATAGTGGTTTGTTCTAAAGCAATATGCAAATGTGACGTCATTTTATCAAAAAATAGATTTGCCCCCTCCCAATATTTCACTAATTGTCCGCCACTGTTCATAACAACCAAATATTATCGTTATTTGAGTATTCGTAATGAAAAGGCAGCTAATGGGCAAAATGCTTTTCCTTGAGGGGGGGCAGGGGGGTGATATTACGGAATGGCCGAAAAGCCTTCCCGCTCAATCCAATACTGCATCCTCCCTAAGTAATTAAAAAGCATATATTTAATCTATTTTTTATTTTTATTCTTTGTTGTGTGAGACTTTGCAAACCGCAGCTTTATAATAAAATTTGTAATAAGTACCACGACCAAAAAGACATTTGACAACTCTTTGTTACATCGTTACATGTTACATGTTTGGAGCGTATAACTTTAAATTGGTTTAACATACTTTTAGTGCTTTTATATCATTTTTATAATCAGTTTTATCGCTCTATTGCGTTGTTTGTTTTAAGCATTTTTGCTAAGCAATCCTCACTCGTATCTTGTTCTACGTGACCAGGAGATACATATGGCGATGTTAAACTTGCCGGTAAAGGAAGAGATAGACGCCATCATCACCATCGCCACCACCATCGCAATGGCTCGCATCGCAGCTTCGACGCCCCGGATGGTGTACGTGACGGCTCACGTGACAGTTTACGTGACGGCTCACGTGACAGTTTACGTGACGCTTCTCGTAGCTCAAACCGTGATAGTTCTCGAAACGGCTCACGACACTCCACGCGCAGGCGCTCTAGAACTCGATCAATTCGTGAGCAGGATCCAGATAGGCCAGTCACCCCTCCTGGGGAAAGGGTAATCAGAATTCTTGGGGAGGATCAGTCCACTGGGGATCTAGGTTTAACACCAAAACCTATATTTTCCGAAATGGAGGAGTTGCTTTGGGAAAATGGGGATTCAGTGTGGCGCGAAACTGCACGTTGGATAAGATTTGAAGAAGATGTAGAAGAATCGGGTAACAGGTTCTCAAAACCCCATGTTGGGACATTATCACTCCATGCTTTGTTTGAGTTAAGAAGCTTCCTGTTAAATGGTGCATTATTGTTTGATGTCGATGGGTCAACGCTAGACCAGATATCAAGCATTGTCGTTGATCGAATGATCTGTACAGGGAATCTGGCCCTGAAGCATCGTGACAAGGTGAAGGAGACGATATTGAAGAGACATAGGCACGCGTTTGAAAGGGAGAAGAAGGAGAAAGACGAGAAGAAAAGGGACGATGATAGAAAATGGACTGAGCATGGAACCAGAAGTAGAAGTGAACCAAGTGGACTGATGAAACTTCCAATCATCAGATCATTTGGAAGCCGAGCTTCATTCGCAGCTGACAACCATAGCGATAGCAGCAGCTTGATGAATCATGATCCTTACATGCTTGGTAAAGCAAACATTCATTTCATGAAAAAGGTACCACCTGGTGCAGAAGCATGTAACATCCTTGTTGGTGAAGTGGACTTTTTAGACAACCCAGTGGCTGCCTTCATTAGACTTTCGTCAGCCAATGAGCTTGGTGATTTGACAGAAGTTCCTGTACCAACTAGATTCATCTTTCTTCTTCTTGGAACTGTTGGAAACCTAAGAAGATACCACGAAGTTGGAAGGGCCATCGGTACCTTGATGTCAGACGAGGTTTGTTTTTTGTAATCAATATAAAGGTTTGCTCCAACACGATTCTTAACGGTGATGGAAGCACTGTTCTTCTTGACAAAGGCTACTGCTATTACAACTAAATTTCAGAAAATGACCCTTAAGATTAAATTAAATTTTATGGTTTGTCAAGTAGTATATGTTTCCATTCGAATGGTCACTTACCCAATCCCCTTGATGGAAATTATCACTTCAAAGGCACACCTAAATTCTTAAAGAACCCGATATAAACCAGAATCAGAAAAGAATCAGACTTAATCATAACACTAGTTATATGACATTTTGCTGATAACCGTGTTTTCAGCCTAGATTTCTCCCTATTGCTCACTGTGCTCTCTTTCCCTTAATTCAGGTCTTTCATGAAATTGCCTACAAGGCTGCTAAAACAGAGCATATCATTGCTGGCATTGATGAGTTCCTTGATGCAGTCACAGTCTTACCCCCTGGTGAGTGGGATCCGTCAATCAGAATCGAGCCCCCAGATCACCTTCCCTCACAAGAAGGAAGAAAATTCCGTCAACAGGATGTTTGCTGTCAGCCTTCAAAGGTACGAAGGGCTCTTATTCATCTTGCCAGTTTTTTTTTCTGTTTGTTTACGCAGGCACCGCGGAGCAGGGGGGCTGAGGAGGCTTTAGCCCCCCCCCCCACACTTTTTGCAAAAAATGCCAAATATTAAGTATCAAACTACCAGAAAAGACTCTTTTTATACGGTTTTAGCCCCACACTTTTTTTTAGACCCCTCACTTTTCTCAACGCTCCGCGGTGCCTGTTACGTCGTATTTCGCATTTAACTACAACTATCTACTTAGAGAAATGTAGTGAGATTGAAAGCATTATCGTCGGGGAATTATTAGAGATCAATGTAGCTGTCCTTTATTTCATTTTGCGTATTGCTTGGAACTGGCTCTACTTTTGTGGTGCCTGTTTTTGTGACGGGTCTCTTGAGACGTGGCACCCGTTATTTCGGGTGTCCAATTTGTTGAACTGTTTTGAGGTGTCCACTCTTGTTAGTTGTCACATATGATGTTGAGGGGTCCAAGGGGAAATTCACCCCTGAAAACAGTGTGTGAGATTTCAACCAAAACAAAAGGATTCCCAGGGATTTTCTGATAAAACAATAGCATTTCTACCAAAGGTGTACGAGGTTTTCATGGAGTTATTCGCCTCTCGAAAGGGTCCGTTATTTCGTGGTTTTCATTGCTTTTAGGTACTGCGATTGGTCCCGTGTTTGGCGGTGTTCATGTTTTAAATATGGATTGATATTATTTTTAATGGTCGCTTTCCCGTATCTTTTTTAGTAAGTAGCTTCCGTATTGCCGATCTCTAAAGATTGATACTGTTTATTCCATATTAAAACATTGCAATGTTGTGCTCTTGTGATTCCCTTTGAAGGCTATATAAAATTCATTCATGTTTGAATGGCTCTCCCAGCTGAGGCTAACCTGTTTTTCAGTCGCATCAAATGTCTTATTCCTTAACCCGTTAAAATTGCTCTTTACTATTTTACCAGTATACCATATCACCAGAGCTTTATTTAACCTAGATTTTTAATTAACACAACCGCATGATATAAAGTGGTCTACTGAAAAGTAATTGGTATCATTATTGTTTATCCATCCTAGAAATCGGCCCTTCAATTTTCTTCATTACAAAAAGATTTAAGCATTTGTTTTGAGCTCGTCATACTTGGTGCTACTATGTGGTTTCTGTCAAAACCGAAAATCGGCTTAACTGCGATTGCGGTTTCCGATCTTATTAGTAGAACCAGCAATTATATGCATGCACCAAGCTCAGTAACAGAAGTCTGTATGAAAAATAGATCCAATTGTAGAATCAATTTGCCGCAGAAACGTAGCTTTTCGTTTTCTTTTGCCATTGAATAAAGTTTAACAGTAAAGAATTTCGATTCAAATCATCTGCTTCTTTTGTGATAAGCTTTTCATTGTTGATGTATAAAGAGGATTTATGTGCCAATTTATCACAAATTTGTACCAGTTATGTCATTGTGACTTTGATTGCACTTTTATGTCCTAAAGTTCCTTCAAGAGACTACCTTGCAATAGTGGAACCTTCATTAACGGGTACCTTTCGAAAATTGCACATATATTTGTTCCTATTGGTCAAAAAACTTTTGAAGGAACCTCTATGCAACGGACACCTTTATACTACAGGACATTGGCACTGGTCCAAATGGTGTTCATGATGTGGAGGTTCCATTAAATGCGTTTTGAAAAATAGAAAGATTTATCAGACTTGCCCATTTTATTGTGGACACGAAGTTATTGGTCCAATCATTTTTTTATTTACGGAATATATTTTTCTAAAGATTCTTAGCGCGAAAAGTTAAAAGTAGGAGCCCAATGTTAGAATTATTAACGTCACATTGAAGAAACTCTTAAGAAACTATGAGTATTGAAATTACCAAAGCGTTAGGTATTTAACTTCGGCATTTGTTTCTTAAAAAAAAGAGAGTGTAATTACAATAAGTGCTACATTATTACCTCTTTTCTGTTTTGCTTTCTTTATTCCTTTGCAAAAATGTTGACGAGGGACACACATCTGTATTCTTGTTCTAAAAGAGTTGTCTAGTGATGACGTCACAAAAATCTATTTTTAGAATTTTTGAATTTTTCCCATAACCTTAAAGAGCGTCTTTACATTAAATACCTCTAAATATTTACATTAAAGAACCTTAAATACCTCTAAATATGCAAACTCAGTTAAAGATATTACGAATTGGCTGGGATATGACCAGATGAGCACAAGCTTTGGCCCCATCAAATCTCTGTAATTTGGTCTCAGTTCATAACTTCAAAAATTAAGAAACCACTGTACTGATACTGCTAGGAAGAAAAAGCAGTGACGTTGCTTTTTATCGTAGCAGCAATTGCCAGCTGAATCACTTTCCTTACTGCATTGCAGGTTGATGAGGAAGAAGAAGAAACGAAAATGCGCGAAGAAGCTGGCCTGGTTCGGTCCGGAAAGTTTTTTGGCGGTCTTAGAAATGACATTAAGCGAAAGAAGCCCTGGTTCATATCTGATTACAAGGACAGCTTGTCTGCTCAATGCATCGCATCATGGCTATTTCTGTATTTTGCTTGTCTCACTCCAATTGTCACTTTTGGTGGGCTTCTTGGTGCTGCTACCGGTCAGCGCCTCGCAGCCATCGAATCTTTGCTGTCTGGTCTAATCTGCGGAATTGGATACGGGCTTTTCTCTGGTCAACCACTGACAATCCTCGGATCTACTGGCCCAGTGCTTGTGTTCGAGTCGATATTTTATGAATTCTGTGAGTCCGTAAAGTGGGACTACTTATCGTTCAGGTTGTGGACTGGGATATGGATCGGTATCTTTCTCATAATATTGGTGGCAACAGACTGCAGTGCTTTCGTCTGTTATATTACCAGATTCACTGAAGAGAATTTTGCCACGTTGATTGCCTTCATTTTTATGTATGAAGCCATCGACAAACTTCTTAAGATTCGCCTCGATTACCCAATACACCCTCCATCGGATGGCATGAATTGTTATTGTAAAGCCCCTTTAAATGAAACACTGAGAGAAATGTACGACTGGTCGGCGGTTGCAAACTCAAACTGCACCAATGTTGGTGGTGCTTTGTCAAGTGGCTGTTCTTATGAGCCAAATGTCTTTTTTATGTCGGTTCTCCTTTTCTTTTTAACTGTGATCATAACATTCAAGCTGAAAGGCTTCAAAGAGAGTTCCTTCTTTCCAACAATCTTCAGGAAGTTCGTCTCAGATTTTTCAGTCAGTCTTGCAATAACCATTATGACACTGTTCGATTATCTCGTCAGTGTTAAGACCCCGAAGCTCCTTGTTCCAGCAAATTTCGCACCCACGTGGCCAGGACGTACCTGGGTTATCCCAATTTTAAACGGCAATCCTTGGTGGACCATTATCGTTGCGTTTATACCGGCTTTGCTTGCAACAATTCTAATTTTTATGGACCAACAGATCACTGCTGTCATCGTGAATCGACGCGAGAATAAACTTAAAAAAGGCTGTGGGTATCATCTTGACCTCTTCGTCTTAGCGTTTCTGGTCGTCATATGTTCAGTCTTGGGCCTCCCGTTTTTTGTCGCTGCAACTGTCCTGTCAATCAACCACGTTAGTTCATTGAAGCTAGAAAGCGAGACGGCGGCGCCTGGAGAAAAGCCTCAGTTTCTCGGAGTACTAGAACAAAGGGTCACCCAGTTGCTGATCTTCTCCACCATTGGAATTTCAGTGTTCTTAGTGCCAATTCTGAAACTGATTCCAATGCCTGTGTTGTATGGTGTTTTCTTGTACATGGGAGCATCAAGTTTGAATGGCTTGCAGTTTGTAGATAGGCTGATGATTATGTTGATGCCATCGAAATACCAACCAGATCTTCCTTTCTTGAGGAAAGTCCCAATAAAGCGTGTGCACATATTCACCATGGTACAACTAGTGTGCTTGGTTCTCTTATGGGTGATTAAATCAGTCAAGCAGACAAAGATGCTCTTCCCAGTCATGTTAGTCGTTCTTATCGTGATTCGCAAGCTCTTGGATCGATATTTCTCCAGGCAGGAGCTCCAGTCCCTCGACGATATCCTGCCAGAATTCAAGAGAAAGGAGCGAGATGAGGAAGAGGAATGTGCAAATGACGAGGAAGATGACACGAAGAAGCCACCACTATCACCTGATGGACAGGCCAACCTCAAGGTATGCCAGTCAAATTCATTTCCCGTTCCTTTTCTTGTAGAGGTGACATACCATATCCTTGCTTCCCCAAAACATTGTTTATTGAATAGTTATCCATCTTAACGGTAATCAACCAGGCAGGATTAGAGCTCATATTTGACATCACTGTTTTTATTGGTATTTACTACCTAGCATTAGAAGGTAGTTTTAGGACACTGTGTTTATCGCGCGGTGACCTGGTCCTCCCTCTATATGTGATCATGTGACCACACCTCGTGATTCCTAGGCCCGGAAGTACAGAGAGCTGGCGACTCCCCACACTGTCAAGTAAAAGTCGTTAAGCGAACAGATCCTAATCACTGCGCCATCCTCGCACGAGGGAAGAAATGGGTGCTAATGAAAATTTCTAAAATTTTAGTGTAACCAACCCAGATTTTGGCAGGCAGTCTACCTATAGGTTTAGGATGGCTCAGTAGTTAGGGTTGCTTACTACAGAGCAAGGGTCCGTGGTTCTAGTCCCTGACATTACCAAACTTTCACTTATAGTGGGGAGAGTCCTCAGCTCTCTGTAATTGCAGGCAACGGAATCACGTTCAGTTCATTTCAGTTTTTAATTTTGAAACTCTGCTACATACAAACATTTTCAAAATAAGCTAATTAAGTGTAAATGAATATGAATACAAACAATAACAAGGATGTTAAAAAAGTAGTAGACTTGTATGCAGGAAATTTCTAAGGAAGGGGCCCTCTCGATAGATAAACTAATCGAGAAGAGAGCACTCCCTTTTTAGATAAGATTCAAAATCTATTTAAATATTGTGGATTTATGACAAATATGCAAAACATCAAGCAATTATATGTAAATGTGGGTTTAAGGTACTTCCGGGAAGTGTGGTGTGGTCACATGAAGAGGAATTACCAGGACACTTGTTGATAAGCATAGCTTCTAAGTCTCACCTAGATAGGAATGTATATTCAGTTATAGGAAACAGAGGGAAGTCTTACATCCAAAGACGAACAGATTTTTAAATATCGATAGCAATGCTTTCTAAAAAAATTTTTAAGTTAACTTCAGTTTTTCCTGAGCCTGCTTTAACCAACATCCCGCCCCCGACGCATAAACCTCCAATATTTTAAAAACAAAGGACTGCCTCTTTTTTGCATTTGGCTTTAAACTATTGTTACATTACCAGGTTCAAGGGTTGGGCGTTCCTCTTTAAAAGCTTATGCGTTTCTTCGAGAAAGTACTGTAGTCACTACTTAAAAAGTTACTAGTATTGAAAGTTATATTTATTAAATTTGTTACACTTCCAATTTTGATACTGGTAAGTACAGGACTTTACAATTTTTATTTGCTTCATTGAATATGTGAATTATTCGCTATTTTATAAACTATTGTTGTTTTGTTGCCAATCTTTGTTGGGCAGTGGCGATGACCGGAGGTGGAGGGCGGCAATTGGACCCTTTTCCTGAAATTTGTCTCTTTGCGACTTTCCTGGAAGTCGATCGCAAAGAAGCTACTGTACTTAGGGGAGATTCTATTTACACTATTAGCATCACGTTTTGCTTTTTGTAGATCCCGATGGTGTCTGGGAATATTATGAAGATATCCGTTCCGGTGGAAGATCCAATCAACATTTCTGAAGAAGTGAAAAGATGTGGCGTCTGGAAGACAGTGAATTCTTCCAATGAGCTCGCAGAGAAGCAAGGACACAAGCGACATGGCAAAAAGAGTAAACGGCCCAAAGAACATCACAAGTCGAACAAAAACCCGAAATTGTCGGAAATTGAAGAAGAGAGCTTTCTCAAACCTTCATTTGATCGTGATGATGATGATGATGATGATGACGATTCTCATGGTGAATTCATAACAATCAAGATCGATAAAGCGTCACCTGCAGTCTCAACGAATAATATAAAAGACGATGGGATGGAATCCGCGACTGCTGAGGAAACAGTCTAATTGAAATCGAGGCAGTGTAATTGAAATCGAGGCAGCAAACTGCAGATTTTTAACAAAAGGAATTTGATATTATGCTAACTGTTGCGAACGGCTTGAGTGTGATAATGAATATAAATATATATATGATTAAGCACCCAGTTCCATAGGCTTCGTCTCGCCTCTATTTTAGTCTCCCTCCTTTTTTCTTTGTTTTCCGATTGTGTCATAGCCATTTTCATTTCCAGAACACACGTGGCTCTATCTCTGGTGCCATCTATCCATAAAATAATCAGTGGAGAGTATGGCTTTTATGGCGATAACTGAAACTTTATATGGGGAGACACAAAGACGTCTTGTTGCCAAATGATATCATTTTTGTACTCTTTTGATTCAAGAGAATGTGCATTGCTGTTACTCTGAAGATAGTGACTGCCCCCTTGCCCTCCATCCCCCTCCCGTAAGGAGCTCCCCCTCAAGAGTCTATTAGTGATTTCAACTTGCTGTATGCATGCAGGAAAAACCTAGTTAAAGCCAAGCTATTATTGTTGCATATATCAGCTTGTATACTATAATGTTTTAACTGTAATCGTGTGCTATTGCTGGCTGTTTTTGCTTGAAGACTTGAGCATAACTGTATGTCTCCTACTTATTGAAATGCACAAGACATTAATCGATACGCATTATGCACCGTGTTGGGTAGATAAGGGAAGTTTCATTTTTTACTTGGGAAGGGACTGGTTACAAACACGACGGAGTTGGTTCATGCAATAAGAAAGTTCTACGATTATGTTAGCATTTAATAGAATGATAAATTAATTGAAATTTTCATCGCTAGTTATTTAATATTTTGATGTTTGTATAATTTGTTAGTGCTTTGTAGTGATTAGATTTTGTGTTTAGATCGGCAAGCGCTCTGCATCTTCACACAAGATCAATGTTAACTTAATGCCAGAGGTGGAAGCTTGGTAACGCCAAATGAAGGTAGGCCATCACAAGCAGAACATTACAATGATTGTTTGTGAGTAAGGTTTACAGAGCTTTAAGGTACAGTTAGCGGGAAGAATGAACACCTACCTAGACTTTGCGTTAATACAACGTTGGCTTTTCCATTAGGGAGAGTCCCTTAGTTTTTACAGTATGGAGAATCCCTTGGCTTTCTCTGTATGGACCATAAGGAGCATTTTCCATGAATTTCTCGTCACCTTTGACAAAAAGCTTTTTGTTGTCAAGTATAATGCCTCAAATGCCCAAATATTCTATTTGCCTGGACACTATCGTCCATTGTTAAACTCATGACTACGAAAAAACAAAAAATCGATATGCTTAACATCCTCGTATGCAATTATCGAACTAATCTTGTTCCACCCCATACCCCTTTTGAGTTATACTCACTTTTTTTACTATGAACACCTTTATGGAACTATCACCACGCTTATTATCAGAAGCAATTCAAGAAAAACTTGCTACTACTGCTGCTCATCTAGACATCCTTTATAAGAACCCATCACAAAATCGCCCAAGAAGTTGTCATTGTATTCATAGCACACTGCATTAGTAGCGCAGTAACTGATATATCTGTACTTGAGCTCGTTTCTTTTATCAATGAATAAATATATCATGCTTACAAGTTTTATTTTTGCATTGTCTCTGTATGATTGCTTTCTACGTGATGGAAAGAGGAATCCTTGCGACGAAAAGGTGTTCTGTTTCATGTTATGTTACGTGTTTATGTTTCTAAAAGATAGCTCTTATAGGTATTTAAGAACCTCTTACCCAAGAAAAGAAATTTAGGAAACTGATTACTAATTTTGAGCTTTGTTTCTTAATGAAAAATGCGCGTGCGTGACAAGGTGAAAAGGGGGCAAAGCTAATGTGCTCAAAGAGGCTGAGCCTCCTTTTCAATGCCAAAAGTAACCATTACAACCTCGTGCTATTATTTTCCCGGAATTTTTTGTGAGGGCTTCCTTGTTCCTCGTGCACCCTGTGAATGGTATTCTAGTTACCATTCTATGCTCTATAGGCTGGTTCAGAGCAAAGAAAAAACAAGCGGTTGCCAGGCGTTTATTTTCAGGAAGGTCAGCAAACCCTTATTACGAGACAATCGTGTTATAAATTTCGATTAATTGCTAGGGTGACTATCGCAAATTATTGGAAACCTATTCTAAGGACTGCATTTGAGTATTTCTCTCGGTTAAAATAACTTGAGATTCAAAATGTTATGTTATGTTATGTTATGTTATGTTATGTTATGTTATGTTATGTTATGTTATGTTATGTTATGTTATGTTATGTTATGTTATGTTATGTTATGTTATGTTATGTTATGTTATGTCAGCATCTATGGGTATGCATAGTGTAAAAGAACTTTCTTTGCCATGCGGTTTTATATACTATTTTCTACTTTAAAAGGTCTTTTGCACTTTGATTTTAAGAAACCTTTTAAGACTAGCTCTAGTTCTAAAATCAACTAATATGTAGATAACTTTTTTGGCTTGATTTGATTCGATTAAATTCAAATTCTGTTGCAATGCAAAGACTAGCTGCATAGGTAGATTATAAAAAACAATTACAGAATACAACATCAAGCCAACATTCCTCATATTTTAGCTTTTTGTTGTCGCGACCTTTTTACTAAGCTTGTCAAATGTTTCTGGTTCATGGAAGATGTTTGTGCCATCAGCAAAGAGGAAAAATCTTAAATCTTTCGAAACTCTAACAGAAAGGGAAGGATCTTAGCATTGGTCTCTGAGACACACGACTTGTACCTAATCTTTAGTCAGTCTGAATTTCTACCATTGAAATTCATAATTAACTCCCTCGAATTTTTTCATATTTCTACAGTTTCTGTATAGAAGCCTTGAAAGAAGTTATTTTTACTTTTCTCCAGTTCATTTGCTATGTGATTTCGAAATTTGTTTGTGTACGTTTCGCTACGTAGTTTCTGAATCTTTTATAGGCTATTTTTGTGGTCGATCGCGAATTTTCATCAGAGCTTCCCCGCAGAAAGAAAATGAATGTTATTAGCTCATAGTTTATTTTGTTGTAGCTTTCCATTTTTGTGCAGTGAATGTCTGAATTGCAAGATGGTTCTCATTTGGACCTGACCATGACAGTTTTCTTAAGGAAACAGAAAAACTTCCCAAAGAAATGAAAAAAACATGAAAAAGAAGCGTGGGCCTAAGCAAAATTAGTTGTTGAAAGTTACCACATGTGAAGATTGGATTTTGAAATTAAGGTATAACTCTTCAAAGTTATTTTGCATTAAAGATTATTTCTGATCTGATATGATATTTTCCTCACGGGTGCTTTTCCTCCTTTAGCCTCACAATGAAATCGCTTTTTCAGGAATAAATTTTTCTCCTAGCATTTCGAGATTCACTCATCAACGAAAACATTGTAAAATTTTCTTGTCGATTCATTTTCTATCTAACTATCCGGGAATCACCAAAAAGGAGAAATATCATGAATCTGACGATTCTGGTTCTCTGCCAATCTGTCGAGGATCGTTCGACGTCTGATAATGTCCATAAAGCAGGTGATGTAATAACCACATTCGAAAACATAGCGACATTCAATTGTTGAAATTGATTGTTTAAAAAATTTGCTCTATTGATGGATATCTCGTAACTCCTTTAAAGGCCTGCAAAATAACAGGTGAACACGTGATTTTAACATTGCTTTTTCAATATTAAATGAAATCAACACGTGGGTCTTATGGAAGCTCCACTATTACGTTGAAATGCCTGGAATTTTTTGTATCGCTTTGTGTAAGGCCTAACTACACTAAGACCCTAGACATAGGCGAGTTCTGGAAGGTAATAGAATAGTTTCTTGGATAATTTCCCGTGAATAGCATACACAATAAGTATTCCCTGATTCGTTGGTTGCGTGTTAAACAAGAGTTTTTCTAGTGCTTTTCTGACTATCGCATTTAAAGATTACTTCACTCTTTTTTCTAAGAACAAATTTTGTAAGAACACCGAGGTAAGAGCATGACCAATGAATATTAGAGAAAAACAATGTGTTTTTGTAGATAAATCAATACGAAATAAGAAAAACAATAAGCGCAATCGAGTCTCAATTTATCCAAAAAATAAGGACATCGACCCTCAGCAGAAATTATCTGGTTCTTATAAAAGAAGTGCAATGTTCTGAAATTTTCTCTTTTCCATTTGTGACTCATAATCTCAACAGCACATGTTACGTTTGCCAAGACTATTTACAGAATTTCCAGTAAATTTTCTGATGTCCTGGAAACCGACATATGCCTTCCTGAATGACCGACACCCAATTCTGCTCGAAAGGATAACGTAATATGTTTATTACGTTTTTCTCATAGGCAGCTACTGTGAATAGGGAAAACTCAACAGAATTGAACATTAATTGTGGTGTCCCTCAAGGGAGCATATTAGGCTCTTTCCTCTTCTTGCTTTATATTAGTGATATATATAACTCCTCAAAAGTCCTTGAATTTCGTCTCTTTGTTGATGACACAATATTTGTTTGCTGATAAAAGCCTAGATACAATTGAACAAACAGTCAACTATGAAATGAAAAATGTTTCTGAATGGCTTTTAGCTAATAAGTTATAATTTAATGTAGCTAGATCTAACTTTCTTATAGTAAGACCTCATAAAAACAATAGAAGCATAAGCCTAAAAATAAATGACGAACATTTAAAACAAGAAACTTTCTCAGAATACTTTGGTGTATTAATCGATGAAAAACTTAACTGGAAGCATCACATAAATCAATTGAATGCTAAAATGTCTGAAAGTATTGGTATCTTTTATAAGCTAAGACATCTTGTACCAATAAGCTAAGACTTCTTAACTGGAGTTGTGCTAAAAAACTCTTGAACCATTAAAATAGGCTTACGTAAAGCTGTCAGAGTAATAGATTTTGCTTCTTACACAGGACACACAGAACCAATCTTCAAACGTTTCAAGTTATTAAACTCTATCTATACATCGAAACATTAAACTCTATCTATACAAGCTCGAAACAGCGAAATTTTTTTCCAAATTAGCCAGGAAAATCATAGTAGCTTTCTTCAAAAGGAATTCATCAAAACTAGTAAACTACATTGCGATAGTACGAGACAAACGTCCCGATCTTGGTTTTTCTCTTCCCTCTATTTCTACAAATTTCAAAAAAAACTTTCTAACATTTGATGAAGTTAAGCTCTAGAACTCCTTGTCAATTGAACTTAAGAATACCCGCAACAAAATCCCTTTAAAAAACTGATGAAAATATACGTTCTACAGAACTCCTAAGCCACTAGAAATAACAAAACTGCCCTTCAGCATAACAAAACTGATTTATCTGTTGTACTTAATTAACTAAATTTAACTTTGAGTGTTTGGTATATTGTAATTTGCTTATAAAAGATTTTTAAGTTTGAGTTTTGAGTTCTTTGAAAATAGCACTCCAAAAACAAAACCGAAAGGGGGATTACGTCATGCTGTTCCAGGGCTTTCCCCATTTGATTACGGAGGCTAGTCCGAGCCTGCCACTTGGTCGGACCATTGTCTATTGTCCCGGATAAAGCTACAGAAAATTGACCAATGAGGTGAAAAGTTTGTTTAGTGATTGTTTTTTGCGGTGTTTAATTGGTCAAGACTTCTCCGTTGAGCGACTTCCGATTATTTGCTCAAAACCTGAAGCAAAATGGACGGATTTGATTGGCTGTTATGAAACAGTATGATTATGCAACTCAACGACGATTGGTCCATTTTTCATCGTCCTAGACACGATAAAAATCTCTCTCTTCATTTTTCTGTTGTCACTTATTGCAATGATTTGGCAACGAAGCCTTGTTTACACTGAATATACCGTATTTAACTGTCAATGAAAGATGTTGTGGTGTCTAATTACCGAACCCAATGGTACTGTCCATGAATTAATCCTAGATCATGACGCAAACGGACTTGACTGCCTCGAAAAGGTAAGTGTTCTTGACAATGTTTCTGGAATGGCCTAAGTTTGCACGCGAGCAAAGCAAACGTTGAACATCGCGACTCTAGGTACGTTTTAGTGTCATTCTATCCTTAGGTCAACAATTTTATATCAACGGAATGCTCTAAAGTTTTAATTCTTTCTTGTTATAATTGGAGTTTGGAGTATAATTAAAAGTTTCGTTTTTGGGCTTCCCCTCGCAGAGCTTCTTCTTGATCAATCAATATGTCCTAATTGCAGGTTTGCAGTCGCCTTCATATCGTGGAAAGGGACTATTTCGGTCTTCGACATAAAGATGCAGTGAATGGTGTTGAATTTTGGTTGAACCTTCGAAATCCTCTATGCCACCAGGTCTCGGGAAAAGCCCCATACCGGCTAAAATTTGCCCCAAAATATTTTGTGAGACCTCAAGAGCTGCAACAGCCAACTACCAGGTAATTTTAAAATTTTTGTCTCTTCATTATGATCTTACTTTAGCTCGAAGTGTGATTTATTACAATATTAGACTACGCTGCAAGTTAAAGGCTGGTTTATATGCAAAAATCAACACGATTTGCATCCCCTGTGGTTCTCACAGCAAAAGAAGGTTGCCTAATCTGTCATGCCAGGACGATTTTCTAAATTTAGTTGATGGTCGAAGGATCAATTTCTTATAAATTGACGCTATGTTTCCTGTAAGGATCGGTTAAAAAATTTTCCTATTTAGAACTGTGTTAATCCAAAAGGATCTCCTTTTTTACATTTGTTTATCAAAGTAAAATCAACGAGCTATGTTTCTTTTTCAGGGACTTGTTTTATTTCACATGTCGACAACAGCTCAGAGATGTCAAGTATGATTTTACAAATGTAGATTCAAAAACCTTTGCAAAATTATTTAGTTTAATTGCACAAGTTGAGCATGGAGAGTACAACCCAAACTGTTTACCAGAATACTCAAGCTTCTTTCCTTGCGAAAAATGGTGTGCAGATTTCCAACAACTCGTTGAGTCAAGTCATTTGGAACTTGAAAAGATAACAGCAGATGAAGCCAAGATTGAAATTTTACATATTCTGTCAAATCGGCTTGAATATGGTGTCGAAACCTTTCATGTTAACTCTGCAACTGCAAAAAACACAAGCCTTGTTTTGTTGTGTCGACACGATGGACTGAGAATTTATAGAAAAGAGGCAGCGGGAAAGAAAAAGACACACAAAAAAAAGTCTGAGGATGAAGGCAATGATTCAGAGGTTGTTTTAAAGGAAAACACAGTTGTTGACAAGAAGCAACCAAAGTCTCAAGTGCAGCTCCTGCAATTGTAAGTAATGTTCATAATAGTTTGAAAGAAGTCAACCGTCATAAATTCAGCTGATTTAGAGCCCTTTGTCTCTGGTGTTTGGGTCCTACAGCCTTTTGTATTTGGGTAACTTCCTTATTATTATGTTAATGGCGGTTATAATCTTTTATCAATTCAATAATCTTTCTTTTCAGTATGTTTTTGCAATATCTCACGTGTGCTAGCTCATGGCACAGCCAGCGCCCGTCTCTATCTTACCATTGTATGTAAATTACCAATTCATCAAGTTGTATCCAACAACCCGCACGACCAATACAACACGGCTGCCAGATGGCTGCCATGCACAGCGCCGACTCTATTCACTCGATGTACACGAACACTGGCTTCCAAGCCACACCTTCGTGTCATAACCACATCTAACATGATCTTGCGTAAATTTTTTATTTAAATCTCCAATAAGGTTTTGCGGCCTGCAAAAGATGTGCTCACGTGAATACTCTATTTGCTTTCGGTTATTTTTTACATTGTTCTTCTAATTCAAGAGCTTCTCAATCTTCCTTATATAAAATGTAGAGGATACAGGCCCCAATCAACTGTTTTGCTTCGTTTTGTTTTTAAAAGGTACGTTCCAAAAATAAATAGTGCAACGACCAATTTTGGCCTCATCAAATCGTTTATGAATCTGATTTACGTGAGAACATTATGCAACGTTCCAGTATATTTTAACAGATCACAAGTTGAATATGTCTTCAAGTGTTGCAGAATCTTTTATATACAATTTTCAAAGCTTTCTTCTTGGAACATTGAAAAGTGCCTTTTTAAGATTGTACCCTTTTAGTCCCAATTTACATTGAAAAAGATGAGTTTTAAGTTGACTGCAGGCACAATTTCCTTCCAATATTAAACTAGCATTTTACAACATGATAATGTTAGGTAAATGGTTGTAAGAAATATTGCTCTGTATAGTTTTGGTTGTACTTCATCTATTTGGGTAATGTTCTTACGTAAAAAAGTCTGCCATGATATTTCACACTTTTGCAGCTGTGTATTGCATAGTCATCAAGTGCCCTTATTGTGAAAAGGTGCCTTCAAAATGTAATGCCCTGCCACTATAAGATGCGTCCTATTGGCCTGATCTTATTAGTGATATTAAAATGAACTTTAGTCAAAAATAGTCTACTCAAAAAATTAACACAAAGTTTTAGGGGGAAATAGTAGGTCATATTTTAACTTTTTCAAAGGGAAACAGTCTTAGATGTGATATATCTTGAATTTTACCTTCTTTTGGTTTTTTTTGTTTAAAAAGATGTCAGATAATTTTAACTTCCCACCCATTGGCAAAACATTTCTGCCAGATGAAACAGAGTGAGAAAAATGAACCTGCGTGTGTTGACTCAGATTTTGACAAGAACTTTACGACATAAAAGTGTCCATTTGAAAGAATTTACCTCTTCCTTTTAGACATTTGATTTTTTTGTTGAAAGGTGTGGGTTGATCTTGTTTGGAAAGAAAATATTAATGACTTTTTGTTCTGCTTCTTTTGAAAAGAAACAAGCTTTTAGTTATTGGATTTTTGATTGCTATCTGAACTGAGCCCACGCTATTGATTTACAGAACAAACCCCTTTTCCTGATATTGGCATGGGCATTAAGCCAAGCCAGTAAGCCAAATAGTTTTTTTGTTCAGGGGGGTTGCCTTTGCTTTTCATCACTTCGTGTCTTTCATTTCCTTGGCTCTGAACCAGAGTAAGAACCTGGGCTTTGAGTGCAGAATTCACTTAAAGGTAATGTGTCCAAATAAAAGGACTGCCTATACCCAACTTGTCAAGCCACCCATCAAAATAACAGTTTGTGATTGATCAGTATTCTTGCGATGCAAAACTGCTCACATGAAAAGCTGACCTCGCAGCAGGATAAATAAACAGAACGACCGTAATGACTGGGGCGATGACATGAAAAATCACATGTTTCTAAAAAACCCCGCAGAGTCGCTTGCTATAGCTGGACACATTACCTTTAAATGCATTTTTGTTAGAAGGAGGTATAGTATTACTGGAGCTTATTTTATCTGTAATTTTTCCATCATAAAATCCAGAGTTTTTCATAGACTAGCCATAGACTTTTGTTACCATATAATAATTTTGTTTTAAACTGTCAAATTTATAAGCAAACATTAAGTACAAATGCCAAGAAATTTTCCTTGGCTTGTTGCCAATGGTGAATGGTTTGTTGCTGATGACAAAAGCTCATATTTTTTATATCAAGTTGTTTCTGGTTTTTTTTCAAAATCTTTCCTGGCTTTGATGATTTGAATTCAGGGACTAGGGATCAGGCTAGAAATTGGGGTACAAAAGGGCACTTGAACTGAACACACCCCTTTCTGAACTTCAGGCCCATACATTAAATTAAAGACCTAATAAAATATATTTTCTTTAACCAAAATACAAAGATCATGTAATTGATTTTATTGCCAGTGGTAAGTTGGTTTTGTAGGGTAGTGACCTCACATAAAAGGAAGCATGTTTTCTGGAACCTCAGCTCATACATTTTTTTCAATTTTTGAATCAGTATTATCTTTAGTTTCTATGTTTCACACAAGTTCAAATAATTTTTTACTTTGTGCCCACCAAGAAAGTTATTTGCTTGGTGCTAGGTTTCTGTTTTTGAATCCTTCACACAGTGTACCTGTGTTTAAGGATGAGTGTTGCCAGTTTTTTTGGACAGTGCTAACATCCTGGTGTTTTGTGTTTATCAAAACAGATTAACTGCCTGCTGTTGACATTTGCTTTACAGTGTTTGTTTTTTATTCAGTTTTGCCCAGTAGTTTGCTGACATAGAATTCTTTCTTTTTAGCATTCCTTATGAAGAAATTTCCACTGTGTCATATAAAGGCAAGCTGTTCACTATTTCTTATGGAGATATTTCCTCCCACAATCAAAAGAAGCTTGGATTTAAACTCAAGTTGCAAAAAGAGACAGTCAATCTGTTTAGAACATTTACTGAATTTCATTCATTTTACCAATGCAAAATGGTCAAAAAATCTGTCATGGAAAAGTGCACTCGCAACTCTGTTGGTCGTGTTGCTTCGTTTTTCCGACCAAATACAAAAATTGGTCGGCAATACTTGTTTGATGTTGTGAAGACAAGACGTCAAGCATACAATGCTGCATGGATGGAACTAAATGCTCCTGACAAGCGGAGGCAGTCTTCCTTTTATTCAAGTGAACGTGCATTTGGAAGAAAGGGAAAAGTGGTTGATAGATTCAAAGACCAGAGAATGTGTCAATCAGTCATAATGAAGCGCAAGCCAGCAAGATTGTTCATTGAAAGTGACAGTAGCAGTGAAGATGACATTGCCTCTTTCCATCCATTTACAATGAAGAGAAAGAAGATTACCTCTGATATAAAAAAAATTGCAGAATTTTCAGAAGAGCAGCTACGTGACTTTGTAAGAACACTGCAGGATTCACGCACTTGTCAGGTATGCATGGACTCCGAGGTCTCTACTGCATTCTGCCCATGTGGTCATGTTGTTTGTTGTGTTCAGTGCTCTGCTTTGGTGAAGGAATGCCCGCTTTGTCGAGCTCACATCACTTATGCACAAAGGGTGTTCTTTTCTTGTGAGCAGCAAAGTTTTTGAGAATTTCTTCACTGCATCGTTTTGTATCACAGACATATCAAAGAACCCCAATGTAGATGTTCTGTGAAAACTATTTTCGACTAAAAAGTGATATTGGAAAAAGATGGGTAGCTAACATATAGCTTGAAATGGTGGGCTATCAGCTGCAGAGAAGTGGAGCTTTGTAACTGTAAGCAGTGGTGCCCAACGTGGCTGAATTCCTGGAAAGTGGTACAAATTGCTGTTTTAAGCATCTGGCTGGAGAATATGTTGATATTGTAAAACATAAAAAGATCTAAAATACAATAAATTTTGTCTTTTGATTAGCACCAGATTTACAACTGTAAACAGGTTTGTGGGTTTTGACCTTCATTCCTTAGTTGTTATTAGCTAACTTAGTTGTGTTATTGCCGGTATATTGATAAGACGGTTACATGAAGTACTTAATTTCAATGTTCAGGCTTTATGTGACTTTTTGTGTATGTCACTGAAAAGGTTTATTGTTTAACCATTTATGCTCGGAAATAGAATAAAAACTTAGTTGTAGGCTCGTTGCCAGTAAAAATTTTCCTATTGCCTTGAAGAATGTTCTTCAACCAAGCATGTCCTTTATCTGCACCACATAACCTTCAGCCGGCATACCGTTTTACTAGAATTACATATCCATGCATGTATATCATTTGTCTTTGTTGATTGTTTGTCATTTTGTATTTATTGCATTTTGTTGCAAGCTCCGTTGCTGCATTTTGTTCCTGTTTATGTTGTTATTGTCGTAGTCAGCACTTTTGTCTAAGTAAGCAGCTGTGAAGATTTATGGAGCTTTAATGCTACACCATTTATTCCAAAGCATATATTCCAGAAATGTCTTTTATATTAAACAAGATATCACCACAAGAACAGCTGCCATTTAGCAATTATATTTCTTTCGTTTGTTGTTATGCCAATTCTGGAAAACTCATGTCCGTTCACTCAATAAATGGAAATTCCAGTTTTAGTCCATCTGGTGAGCGGTTTGGCATTTGAAATGATTTGACTGCATCATCTTTACATTTACACATATTCGCTATTTTTATACGATTTGAAAAAAGTAGAATTTAGTTATCCTTATCTTAAATTGATGTTATTCTTGTCTCTGTGTGTCAATGTTGTCCCTGTCCTTGTTCCCATTGTGCAATTTTGTAATTTTGTCGCAAGCATGTCGTTACATGTTGTTGTAAATTCGATAAATATGGCTGCTATTATTTGATTTTAGCACATTTTGAGCTCTTATCTATCCCCCATCGTCTATGACATTTGTGCTATTTGTTTCAATAACACAAGAAATAATTTAGTTTTCTACCAGGGGCAAGGTTCCAATTGCTGTTTTCAGGAGAGTTTGAATATAGTTTAGATACTTTTGTTTGGAGGAGTTGAAACAATTGAATAGCAGGTTAAAAAGCATAGAAAATATATAGTTTGCTAATACTGTGAACATTAGGTCATTTGTACCATTGACCCCTTCCTTAGGCCCATTGTTCTTTTGTACTTTTGGTATACCACCAGTTCGTATGAAGAACTCTACTTACTATACGATTATGTTAATCTCATTTGTAAATGTATTGCCTCCGTTCCCATTACTGATACGAACTCATAAACACTGTACATTGTTGAAAATTGTTATGTCTTTTAGGAGAGCGTGGGGCCTCGTCTTTGTTGTAATCCGTTGTAGACTGTTGCAGAAGTAATGCTCGTTGCTTTGAAAACCAAGATTTTCTCCGTTCTATCAATATGGTATTGTAAGTGGGTTTTATGTCAATTTGCCCTGTTGGGTCATGCAAAAACTTATTTCCAGAAGGAAGTATTGTTACTCCTCTCCTGTGCTTGACCCCCGCTCCCCTATTTTAACGAGTTCATAAACAACCCCAATAAGATGTCAATTTCATTTTACTAAAAAAGTTGAACCTTGTTTGGGGTTCTCATCTATATAAACATTTATAATATTCACGCCTTTATTTTAACGTTTGTTTGAAAGTAATGGATTTTAAGAATTTTATTGAGATAACTTTTCTGAGGTTGAGAATTAGCAGGGTGCCACGGTTGTTTACTTTTCGGCACTTTCTCTCCCTATTTCAGCCCCCTAATTCGTCAATGAAAACCTTTGCCTTAAAATTCGAAAGGTCTCTGCGACAATAATATGCAGTAATTCTAGCCATGTCACCAGCCCCCTGTTCCCGCTTATGTAAACTGTTGATTCCCATCCTCGGAGTTATTGAATAAAAATTTTGGCTCCCTGAAAACGATGCCAATTTTAACCATGCAAGTCCAAAGCAAAAAAGAAAGGCCATTTTTATCCCCCTTCCTTCCTCGAATTGTGCTTTGTATATAGAGGTGATAAACTCCATTTCTTGACTTGAAAACCCCAGCCTTCAAGTGACGTGCAGCGGGGCTCTAAAAATACAATGATTTTTGTTGCGAAAGTAGTGTATTTCGAATTATCTAATTACTCGTTCTTTCGCATATCATTTCAAACTTTAGATAAAATGTATAAGAAATTGATTAGTTATGAAATAGTTGGAAAAATATGAAAAGGAATTTCTCCCTTGATTCGTATATACATTTTAATCATTTTAGGTTCAGTTTTTCATAGAACTTGAAAAAGTCTAGTCTGAGTCGTTTATTTTTTGTTTGCTCTTTCTTTGGTCACGCTAAGCTTGGGGGGGGGACAAAATTCAAAAGGCCACGCCCTTTGCTCTGCCAGGAAACACCATTTTACCAATTTTACCATTTGCAAACCCCAATGACTAACATTTGCTTACATAAAGGCAGTTTCAAAATCATAGAGCCACGTCATAAAAAGTACTTTTCAAAAATAGGGGCAAATAGCCCCAAGTCAGGGGACCCCAAAAAATCTAACAATTTTCCAAACAATAGCAAGACCATAACAATCAAAGTTTAAATGACGTCATGACATGGCTGGGCCAAACCTGCCCCAGGCAACAACAAAAACTTGACGGGCCTGCAGTCAACCAGCAAGTCGTTTAGTTAATTTATAGGTTTAGTTATTGAAGTTCACAAAATTCATTGTCTAGCAGTTCTCTATGGGTTACTCTTAATCATCAGAGCAACCTCTCTGATTTTTTCACAGAATCTTTTCTCCCCTACCCCTTTTACAGTCCGCTACTGTCCCTGAATGCTATGTTTTTTTCTGATCAAGGCTACGCCAATATTAAAGTGTAAGTGATTTCTACCTCCAGTCCCGATGGTGGCCCAGAAGATGCATCATAGATGATGTCAGAGAACACGCGAGAGAAAATTCCAGTTTATTTTCATGCTCATCAAGAAAACAAGCATTGTGCACTTCCATATATAAGGACCAAATACAGTATTCTCTCCAATAAACGGACACTCTAAAAAGCGGACACCTCTGATTAGCGGGCAAATTTTTTTTCTCCGATCGTTTTCTGGTCAAAGTCTCATAAAAAACTTTCTAAAAAGCGGCAACTTAATTAGCGGACACTAATCGACGGACGATATTTTCTGCACAAAATAGTCAATATGGCTTTTTCCTTTCCAATTAGCGGACAGTACAAAAAGGTAAGAGCCAGCGAACAAAAAATTGAGACGAATGAATATTTATTTGTTCAAATATTTATTTCAAACACTTTGACACTTGACAATCTAGTTGGCTTTTTAAAGCTTCAAGCTTTTTATTACCTTTTCTTTTCCATGATAGTGAAAAATTACTGGAATCTCCAGACCATAGCCACCTCCACGATTCAACCTCTTTCCAATGTTGTTGTGTTACGTTCAATTTGGTTATTTTTTCTTTTTTTTAGCGTCTAAGTTCAACACAATAGCAACTGATTACCCAGCTTACACCCAGAGGTGGTGCCAGAAACCTTCCGACAGAGAGGTTTGAGCTTCCGACAGGGGGGGCTAAAATGACTAAAATATGCAGTTTTCTTACGTTATTTTGTCAAATTTGCTCCGACAATAACCTAAAATTTCCTCCGATAGGGGGCTAGATGCTTCCGACAGAGAGGCTGTAGCCCCCCTAGCCCTCCCCTGGCGCCACCACTGATTAAACCTTTCAAATACAAAAATCGGGTCTATTTTCAAATTTGGGACCTACATTGCAAAACTTTCCAAAAGGCGGACACTTCAAATTAGCGGACAACTTGCTCTTGCCCCGATGGTGTCCGCTAATATGAGAGAATACTGTACTACTTCCTGAGGCTCCGGTGCAGCAAAATTCCATGTTCTTGTGTTTTTATGGTTAATTCAAGGCTCCGGTGTATTTGATATTGTTACATGTATCTATGAACAACTAATTAACCTCAACATTGATTTTTCCATACCTAAAATACTATCAATTGTTTCTTAGACCGCTAAACAACAGGTTCGCATGATATTTTGATAGCATGGTTTACTATCTGATAAAATCTGCTCTATTTTGTCAGAATGAGAGTAGGTTTTCAAGAACACATCACCTTTCGCTCCTGATTTTCATCACTGCCTGTTCTTAATGAATTTAAGATAGAAATTAAAAGCTGGAATGGCACAGACTGCACATGTAAATTATGTAGCACAGACTGCACATGTAAAAAGCCGCCATTGTGCAGACAGAAGGAGTTCGTTTTCTCTCTTGGACTCAAGTGGTAATTTTTCTTTAGGCTCGCGGCACTGATTGATCAACTATACCGGTCTTGTGCTTGCGTTTTTCTCATTGGCCTATTTCGATCAACAACTAGGTATATATTTTTCATCGTGTTCTTTCGGACCCTGATTCTGACGCTTTATGCTCTGAGGAGTGTTAGACGAAAAAGCTTTTAGTATGTTGTAAAATGTTTGCTTATTTCAATGCCATTTTGAAATTCTGTACCGCTAAAAAATTGATGAATATTATTACTATTACTATGTCATCGCTATTTTACAACAAAAGAAATGAGACAGTAATAACAATCAATTCTGAGAGTGTCATTTCTTACAAAAACTAACAATATTTATAAACTAAGTTATAAACTTATCTTAAGGCTCTTCACCCCGGTAAAAATGGATGCTTTTTACCAAAAACATAAAAATCTCTTCAATAACGATTTCTTTTTTCGTTTGGTTGCTTTTCTGTCAAATTGAACCATCATTTCTTGCAGAGTGTCAACATCAGTTTGAAGGCTGTCTATTTCGTTTTCTAATTTCAGTCTTACATTGTCTACTTCAATATCTTTGATCCAGGCACTCAAATTTTCAGGGGCACAATTTACTTCAGCGACCATTCCTGCTTTCTCTCCCCTCATGGTACTCCAAATAGTTTCGTAGACTTGATTTGTTTCTTCACTCTCTAAATCTGTCGTTTCCTTTACATGTAAATAAGAAATAGAATAAGAAGTATTCAAAAATCTAAACGTTTTTAGGTAGCCAGAACGTTCATTCTTCACTTTACAGAATGCTACCATACCAGGGCCGCCGCTACGGTGGGGCATGGCGGGTGTGATATCCCCCTTGGAAAAGGAAAAGAGAGCAAGAGTCTCTCTGCAATATGTGTCTTATAATCCTGTTCAGCTAATATTCTTATAGCCATAACTAACCACTGAGCCATTTCAAAATTATGCTTTATCGACCCTATATGGTTTAGCTTATTTGCTGTCTACTACAAAATTACAGTAATCTAAGTAACACTGACCATCTTCGTGCTTAATTGGCATTCAGCTTCATGCACATCCATTCTAAATTTTCCTTGGTTTGCTTCTTCAGTAACGTTAGCATTTATCTTTTCCTCTTCCCGAATAAGCAAATCCTCTATCAGAGCAAGTTTTTCCTTAAGAGTGCTAATCTCTTTTTCCAAACAGGCAACTTGCTTCTTGAAATAACAACCTCCATCCTTCCTACACTCTTGCTCTGATGGAGTTTCTTTTTCTTGTAGCGTTGTCGAGTTGACATCACATGGAGATGGTTGTAGCTGCTCTGTGGTGCTATGTTCAGTACTTGTCTGTATGAGAAAAGTTAGCGAGCTTCCTTACCTCAACTTTTCACTGGATAATGAACGACGATAAAAATGTATAAATTTTGTTCATATTTAAATATGAATTTTATCAAATTTGCTGAAAGATGATATAATTGTTTAAATTTCATAGCCCCTCCTCATCAGGGACATCAGGGACGGATCCAGAGCAAATTTGAAAGAGGGGCAGCTGGTAGTGGGGTCTCTGAAAATTTTTCCGAAATTTGTGACAAGTGTAAACTATATGCACCAGTTTCAGACCCTAATTACTGACAGTAGGCTCCCTATTCACTTTGTAAGGGAATTTCCACAATAATTGTTGTATTTTTTTTAGATAATTCTTGAAGTAAATAAACCTATAAGTCTCAGAAACTTTTGCACCTGATTCTCATTCTTCAAAAGGAGCGCACAATTTCCTTAAAAGGGGCGCCAGACTTGCTTCAACTCGGTGAGGGAGAGGCAACTGCTCCTAGCTGCCCCCTCCTAAATCCACCACTGCTCCTCATTATGAAATTTCATTCAAGTTTCCCAGTGATCTTAACAAAAAAAATTTTATTTTACCACAACCGATACCCCAAAATTTAGTTTCTACTTAAAAAGGTACCCCAAAAATGGCACCACCCGTACCAGTGTATGTTGAAGCTCCCCCCCCCCTTGGGATATTGTACTTTTATACCGTAACAATGCTGCATCCATGGAGAGCCAAATTTGCCTCTCTTGTGAAGAAACTATAGATATCTAGAGAACCAAACACAACTTACTTGAAAATCCAAGCTTTCTGTTTCCACTCTATAAGCATCTTTCTCTTCCATTTGATCAGTCAAAGTTATATTATCGTTAAACTTTTTCATCTTTGCAAGGAGAACTCTCGCCAAATCATTTTGCAGTGAAAGACATTGGATTCGTTTCGTAGTAAACCTTTGCTTTTCCATGACGCGTAATGCTTGCTCCTCTTCTAGTTTTCGTTTCAAATTTAAAAGCTTTAGGTCAAAAGAAAAGCATTAAGAAAATTTCGATTCAAATTTAGATTCTTAAGCAACTAACTACAACAGACTATGCTCTAGATACATACAACAATAAATTACACACTAAGGGCTAGTTGTGTGGGATAGTTGAAAATAATTAAAAAAGCTTTACCGTCAAGTAAAAGGTACAATTGTTTGCAAAATTGTATGATTTGAACCATGTTGTGGCTATGTAAAGTAATTTTATGAATATATTATTTGATGTTAGGATCATGGATTTATGACACAAAATCAGCGTTGTGTTTTAAATTGTCTAATTAAGCAGAAGCCCATAAAACAAAACACAATTAGATGAAATTAAACAAATATTTTTTGAAAAATATCGTTAAAATATCAATTGATATCACCATTGACTGGTTTGCTATAGTAGGAAGTAGGAAGGTGGGTTAGGGGAGGGGAGCAATAAGTATTCATCAGATAACCCCTATTTCATTTGATAAAAAGCTTTCTTTGCGTTTTATTCAGTGCTATACCCTTCTATCGCTTATTTTCATCGGAAAATGTTAGAAAATATGACCTACGCAACCAATTTTTAAAAAATTTTAGAAGATTAAGCAAGATCACATTTTGAGAAAATGCGTCTCTACCAATTGCCCCAGACCATAGAGTTAGCAAGCATTCCGCCTTGATTTTCAAGAAATAATTGTAAACAATGGCGGACTGGCCAATCGGCCCATCGGCCCGTATCCGGTTGACCCCCTTTAAAATCTGGCAAAAGGGTCCATCATTGCAGAAAAAGGACCCCATTTTAGGAATATGAGGCCTTAAGATGTCCCATTACGAATGATAAACGTCATGGATTACATCAAAACCGAGGTTGAAATAGCGTCATTGCATGTGGTTGTAAAAAGGATTGGGTCGAAATTTTGAAACAATACGTCTTGTCTAGAGTATGGGAGATTAATAGGGATTTTGAACTTTTAAATTGATGGAATTTTCTGGAATTTTGATTTTTCATAGACCCAGGTTCACTCCATATCCCCTGCATTAGTTGTAGGGTTCACTTTTTGCCATTGGCGAGGGTCGAAGCTAACAACAAAGTAAGAAATTGTGATGCAGTAGTTAACTTGCAAAACAAACCCGGCGTTAACTTTTTTTTTTACTCAAGCCATGGCATCAAGATAATGCAATGCGAATGATACTTCAACGGGGAATGCTGCATCTTCTTAAGATTCGTCTACCGAATAATCTAGTTTTTTGCTTGCGCTTGACTAGTTAATGTGAAACACGAACGGGTAAAGGTATTGCCTCATGGAATGACAAATTGACATAAAAAAGATGTCATCAAAATGACAAGAATTTGCCAAATTGCACATAAATGGAGGAATAAACTTTGAGTCGCTAGTGGTTCACAGAAAAGAAATCAAAGTTGTTGCAAAAAGGGGACAGGACTGATCACTGGTTTCTTGAAATGCAAAGGAATAAAAGCAACTTCGTGTAGCATTTAATTAAAATGGCATTCGAAATAATTAAACTAAAAACTTTGTGGAAATTGTCGTATGTAAGCATGGTTTGAGTCTAAAATACAGACATCAAACTAATGTAGCGGATGACTACCAAAAATTAACAGGAACCTTCTTGTTTTGATTTAGTTTTAATCTTTTTAAGATAGGATTAAAATGTGAAATTTTTGTACAGTTGTATAGAATATGAATTTGATGAAAATATCTGCAAGCTGGCCTCAGATATTCTTTCATTTTCAACTTAGTAATTCTTATGAATCTGAGTTTAGCTTTCTTATCATTTTAATTTTGTTTTCCAGAAGAAGGTATCTTGTGCAAAATTACTGAAATCCAAATCAGATCGAATTTTCATTATTAAATGCTAAATTTCAATTATAGTACTCTGCATCCATTTGTAATCAACAGCTCAACTTTGCTATTCCAGCTACATCTGTTATGTTACTTCGAAATTGATCGATTTTGATGAAGTGTTTACTTGACCACGCCCCAATTTACAGACCGAACCCAACTGGGCCCATCTCAGTTCTTCATGGCCGGTCAAAAATTCTGAGCCAGTCCGCCACTGATGGTAAGCTACCTTTATTTGCTTACAAGGGTCCCTACTTTCATCCCAATGTTGCAAAAAATTTGATAGCGATTTAGAAAGATCTGTACATGTATTGTTGTAGGCGTGGAGTTTAACATGCATCCTACCCTGGGTCTTAGAGTCTTTATAATTTAGTCTCAGAAATATAGTTTATATTAGTATAGGTTCCAAATCTTTCATTGGCTGAGCGAGAAAAATTCTCCATACTGATGCAATGAGCAAAATTAGCCAATCAGAATTCAAGAATATGACAACAAAAGTGCGCCGCAACAAAATTTAGGCCTATTGTTGTCATATTCTTGAATTCTGATTGGTTAATGGGGTATGGAGAATTTTGCTCGCTCAGCCAATCAAAGATTTGGAACCTATGCTGTTTATATCTAGTCACAGATGTCATGAAAATTACTGTTTACCGGTCTGTAATAAAGAGCTTGATACCGAATAAGGTACAGCTGTACACGCTACTTGGTGTGCAGAACAGGACGGTTCAAAGTTGCTACTCCGATCAGTCACGAATATATTTATTTTGCCACCGCATCGGTCTACACAACTGTATCCCCGGTTTCTTGAGGCTCTGGTACCCAGAGTAGCTCACAAATGTTTTATTAAATACACATCAAGCCATTTCAAATAGCACAGAAAAAATATAAAAGAAACCGAATCTCAGATTGGTGTTCTAAATGAGAACCTGTTTGGTGTGTTCGAAAATCAAAGTGGTTTGGGACATAAATTAAGCAAAAAATTAAAAATAGTAAGAATATTGTTATTCGGTTTTTGATATACCTCGCAATGCAGAACTTTTTCCAACATGCTTCTCTCTATTTCTTCGTTGGTTTGTCTACACAACCTTTTTTCTGTATTTTTCAAAAAATAAGAAACTTTTTCGAGACAATTCATTGCATTCTCTCTCAGCTCCTGATCTGTCGGTTGCCCTGCAGCTTCGATTTCACCAGTTGGTCTTTCCTTTTTGTAATCCATTGTGATAAAAATATCGCTCGCAAATCGATATTATTGCTGTACTTTTCCCTCAAATTTCTTCATGCAATACTTGGAACATAAAGAATACAATACTAGCAAATCATTCTTCTTTTATACTACAATGATCACTATAATTGTGACGTCACAATTGAAAATGCTCACTTGTTACGTCAAAATTGATTTCCAGCAAGCAAATTACAGATGGGATTTTCTATAAAATAATTCATTGATTAAATTGAAGTGTTTTTTGGTCACTTAGTCTATCAATACATGAATCTAAAATCTTAACAGCATGCTAGATATATTGTTTCCGTTCTTGCTTGGAAAAGTGATTTGTCGAGTTATGTTTCATCCTCCTGCCGTCAAGTTTCCCTGATCAAGGCATAAAATTGAAATCATGCACATATGCAGCATCCTTGATACAGCTGCTTTCGAAATTTTTAAAAATGTCATATTACAATTACATACTTCCCTTTAAGACAAAATTTAACACGCTTTGGCAGCTTAATAAACTATAGTTGTCAAAAAATTATTCCGTTTAAAGGATTTGAAGGCAGATATTTGACTGCAGCTGCAAAGAGCACCTTATTAAATGTTTCTGAGAATCTCAAATACAAAAAATTACCCCTCAAGGATGAGACAGTGGCCAGGAACATTTTTAACAATATCAACGAGGAAAGTTGTTATTGAACTTCTTAGTAAGTCTTGACCCTTACTTTTTTTGAAATTAAACCGTTTTCATATGAACAAGTTGCTTGAAAAGACAACTCTAGTGTATTGCTATACGTAACCTAATGAATTCTCACTTTTCATTCAAGTTAATAGTTAAAGTCTGCTTGATCGCATGGAATATACTATTTGAGCTCTTCCTGATCTTCTGAAAGATCTTATTCTCTGCTACTAGCGGACAAGGACTGCATAATTCAAACCTGTTTGCATGAAGTATGAATCTATACCAAGCTGACTCTTCACCAAATGCCTTTTCTTTATTAAAGATACTCACAAACATAGGCAGCAATCTACATACACCACCAATGGAATTATCGTAGATCGAAGGTCGTATTGTTCTAGATAGCGTTTAACTCATAGGGAAAAAACCCTTTCCTTAATAGAAGCTAATTAGTATATTTGAAATTTCTGATGGAACAGAATAGCTTGCAAAGAGAATTGAAGGAGTTTTACTCCAGGGTGAGAACAGCTGATACTAAACTCAGTTACAAGCAATACTTAAGGTTACGGTAAACGTTTTCTGGATGAAAACATCATTTTTTCGATTTTTTCACATTCAACCAGCCGAACTTTCAAGGCACACAATGATACCAAATTTGAAACAAACAGAAATTTTGAAAGTGGAAAAAATCCCATGTAAACAAAGGTTTCCATAATTTCTTTATCAAAACTTTTAGTTGAGGCCTGAAAATCTCTTGACCTGTTAAGCCGATTATCGTTGATTTGCGGTTGTGGTCGCATGTCTCATTTACAATATCGCATGGCACATCCATATATCCAATGTACGGCCGTTTTTATTTAAACAGGCTTATTGATCTTTAATCTTCAAGTGACTTGACCCGGATTACACTGTGGTTTACGAGTGTATCTTGCAAGTGCGATCAGTAAAATCCCGTTTTCTCCGGACTCGAAATTCCTCTACATACAGGTACGAAAAAGCTATTATGTACCCAAGGAACCAATCGAATGGCTCGAAAATTTGCACACAGCCAGGGCAGACGTTTGGCAAACAAAGTGTGTCTCAAAATTTTTTTATTTTCTCTGGTCCGTCTTTTATACCCAAATACAGCTGTGGGAGGGTGGAAAAATTATTTGCCAATTTTTGACAGGGTATAGTTTCAAGAAGAGGAGGAATTTAAAAAATCTGAGACAAACTTTGGTGGCTTAGGACCTGCACTTCCTGCTGGTCTATGTCAGATTTTGTTACCTCAAACGCAAGGGTACATAATAGCTTTTGAAGGTGGTACACTTTTTGACCAGTAAATTCGCATGGAAAACAACATATAACATTATTTGCCAATAATTTTTATCTGGCTAGATACGCCATAATCTTGTGCATCGAATGATATATAGCTGATCCAGATTCCTTGAGCCGTTTGGCCTTTGGGAAGGAAAAACCAATTTTCGTGGTCAAACGTTTACCGTAACCTTAAGATGAGTGCAAGGAAACGATGAAGGAGATAGTTCGTACCAAATGTTCAAAGCAGGGACATGTTCAAAGTAGTGGCACGTTCAAAAGCAGTGACATGTTCAAAGCAGTGACATGTTCAAAATAGTGACATGTTCAAAGCAGTTCAAAGAAGTGATATGCGAAAATTAACCACAGCTTTGGTTAACATGTACATTGCTACACACACGATTAAAATATATGTTTACAAATCTAGTTCCTCTGGATTCAGTTCGATTCTGTTGATTCTCAACACAGTCAGATCTTGACGATGCTCTAAAAGAGAAAATTGAGAAAATAAGAATAAAGACGTTTGTTTGGTAAAGAAATAATTTCCACAAAACTTGCAACAAAATGTTCACAACTGACAGCAGCAAAAACGTTTTCATTATAGCAAGGAAAACATAATATCATAAAATATTGGAAAACATAATATTATATAATATTAAGTGAAATTATTTTTATATCATGAGAGGTATCTTCATTTGGCTGTTTTGGACACAAAAAATCTAGGTGAAAGTTCAGATTGAGGTCAAAAGAAACCATTTGAATTGACAGCTTTTTTTACGCAGGTGCTAAACACGATACCTTTCCATCTCTTGTAGTTCTTTCTTCTTTTCTTTTTGAATACAATGACATTCCTGCCTTTAGTTTTTTCAAGAACAGTTGCTTCAATGTGTATATTCCTAAAAAATCAAACAGGCAATGCAAATGAACAGAAACTTAGGAACTTCGATCCCACAAGTCACTTCAATTTTGTGAAGTAGGTTTTGACTATGATTATAACACAAAAAGGGGATTATGACTGCAATTCTTTAAAAAAACACACGGCTACCAAGATAGTATATAATACTGTGCAGAATCATGAAAAGTGTTGAAGACTGGATTCTATAGAAGATCGTGGCCACCAATCTCGATAGCAGGCAAGGTACAAATCGAGATTAAGAAGGGATAATGATTGAGAGACTTATTCAGAGTTTCATACCATGCAGGTTGAAAAATTTGTTTTGAGCCATTTTCAAGACAAAATATGTTTGGTAATGAATACCATGTGCCAAGCAACTGCAACCATATACCACTGAAGTGAGAATCCTTATATGAAAAAGGAGCAAGACACAACTGAAGCTACCTTAATAATGGTTTGCCAATAAGGCTAAACTCTTTGCCTCCAACCATCAGCACCTGTTGGGAAACAATTGTCACAACATGTTAGATCTTATTTTTACATTTAATCGACCACAAGAGTGCATCAGGAACATGTAAACGAATATCTATCGTTTATTCGTAAGCATTCTTCGGTCTAAATAACGAAAATCTAAAATAGGCCAACCCACTCTTTTTCATTTGAGAAACTTTTAAGCAATGTTACGAAGAAGTATTTATAATAAAAGAACAGTATTTACTGAAATATTCCATTGCTGTTACCTTTTGCAGCTTTATCTTATCCCCGCATTCGGCTGCTACCTTGTGGATCATAATTATATCGTTCTGTGTTATTCTGAACTGCTTTCCACCTGTAAAACACAACCGTCATAGCATACATGAGGTACTACATGAGGTACTACAATGCATGTCACGCGCTCTAGACCTATGACAAGCAGAAACAATCATATAGATTGATGACATATAAACGACCGAGAAATGGCACACTGTGCATCGAAATAACATATGATGGACCAAATTTTCTAAATCACTGCTAGAAAGGAGTGCAGTGTCAGGAATCAGGGTAGAATCTCACACCTTCATTTTTGACCAACTGCTATCATTTTCTATGATATCAAATTATTTGGAAATATCAAAAGTGAATTAATGCTTGCAAGTTGTCAAAAGAGGGCCAGAATAACAAGGAGTGAGGGTGCAACTATATTGAACGCATTACCTAAGGGTTGCTGACATTACCAGAACACTATGCATTGGTAATTCAAGCGTTAGGCCTTTATTGTACAAGCTAACTTGTCGTTGTACAAATTCACCGATACCTGATGAAAAGAGATTTTTGGGATAATCAAAGAGGACTAATTTCGAGCACACTCAAGTTTAGAGAATGGGTCTAGGGGATAGCAATAAACATTCACTGACCGGAAGTACAAATGGAAACAGCTCTCTGAGAATACATGACAAAGATATCGAATCCAGAAAATTAAACTGCAGATGTTCTTAAATTTGTCAAAATTTGTTTATGGTTGTCTGGAAATCTTGATTATGCATCCAGAAAAGTCAGCAAATCGCTGAAAAGCTAATAGAAACTCTCACTCACCAATGTGCACAACTGCAAAAATATTCTTAAATTTTATACTTTGTGACATTGCTTCCTTCACTTTGCCAACAATTGAATCTACAGAGAAATTTTCATATAAAATACAATATTTTGATTTGCCAAAACAGCATTAGCATCTATGATGAGACTAGGGTCTGGCTTGGATTTAGATCTTCAAAAAATTTCACAAGTTTGGGCAAAGAAAAGACTTTTTAGCATATATTTACAGGTACGTATTTACAGGTGACAAATGGCATAAATTTTTTTTCACGGTTTAAAATAGCGAGAACTCTCGCGATACCAATGGCTGAGCGTTCCGCCCAAACTGATTTGCATCAAACTGGTTTGCATCAAACTGGTTTGCATCAAACTGGTTTGCATCATTACGCAAAATTGCATTAAATGTTCACAAACAACTGAACTTTCAAAAAACCTGTCGGGAAATATTGCAAGGAAAATGACAAAGAATTGTAAATGTACCCTCGTACCGATCGATATCAGCAAGACTTGCAGCGGTAAAGAAATAGCGAGGCTTTATGACCCTGCACTAAATATTGCAAGAACGTTTAATATCTGTTTTATTGTTACGAATGTGCAAGTTTTGAATCAATCCGCTAAATGCAAATATTTTTTCCAGCTTAAAGGATACATGTTGTATTTCTCTTTTTCGAAAATCTTTGTGTTTAAAGAACAGGTTGGTAAAAATTACCATGTTTTATTGGTCCATTCAAACTGAGCCCAAGTCACCTGTCTTTGCTGTTTTCCGCTTATTTGACGTCAGTTGATTGGCGTAAGGCTTGTAGCGCAAAGGTTTCTTATTTTAACAAAAATGATACAGGTGAAAAGCTCAGAAGTTTTGAAATATTTTACATCTTGATTCAATATGGGTTTAAATTTACATGGACATACACTGGAATAAGACTTTTGATCAAATAGTAGGAAAGGCAATAGATCTTTCGGTTTATTACCGAGAAACTGTTCTAAATGTTCAGACCAGATGCGAGAAAAACTGTACTTTGTGCTAGTAGGGTCACGTCGCCCTGATTAGGTATACCTAAATTTTTTTCTATTTTGCGTAGACTTAGACATAAAACTTGGCACTGACTATTTTTTCGCAATAGTTGATGCGATGTAAATTTCACGGGTATACATGCAAATCTGGTCACCGTTTACTAACGAACTGCAACAAAGAACAAAAAAGGTTCAAAAGAATAGAGTAATTTTGCTATGAAGGATTACCGTTATAGACCTAGTGTGACAGATTTGTTGCTTAAATTGAAATGGGACTAACTTGAATCGTATAGATAACTATTTAAACTGAAATACGAATTTCAAACAAGTTTACCAATCAGGTTTCTCTGGATCCTAATAATTTCTTTTCTCTGGAACTTGTACTTGTCCAATGAAAAGGAACTCAGACTCATGCAAGAAAATGCTCAATTTCGCGAGGGTTGATGTAGAAAGGTTTTCATTTTTTAATTCTACATTCCAGTATGGAACAGCCTGCCAGACCACATTGTGTCGGAATGAATGTGGATTCCTTTTACAGTCTATGTCGAAATCATCTCAGCAAATTTGAACAGTGTAGTTGACATTGCCGAGATTTGCATCGACCCAAAATTGTTGTTAAATGTATATTTGATGCTAACGACGATGGAAGGGTTTTTTCAAACATTATCATGATAATCACTAAGTTTTTATTACAGCCTGAATTTGTTTTTGTCTGAAAGGGCAACAAATAGACAAACCATCTGAATACTTTTGTGAGAGGAGTGGATATTTTGCATGCTTAACTTGTCTAAGAAAGCATATCAAAATTTTCAACACTGAAAATACATCACCTCTCTTAGAGCCTTCGGGGAGAATGAGACTGTTAGTTATGCTTGATTGTGTTTTTGCTTCTTCTTGTAGTTGAATAGCATTTGTTGCATTCGCCGAAAATCTTTTCAGAAAAACTTGCCTTAAAGGAAAAGAGAAATCATAAGCACAGAGTGACATGAGTAATTGTAATTTACTTGCTTCAGAATATTACATCAAATGTACCTTAAACATTATTACTAAAATGGTATTATTAAATGATGGATATATCTTTGGAGCATTGCATCAATTAAAATAGCACAAAAATAGTGTGATTAAATGATAAATATTACTATTGAACTCAAGCTATGTTTGTGAATTTGTTGAGTACAATTTCTTTGATTCTAACATATCTCTAAAATTTTTTAGTATAATTACACATTTTCAGCACACATCAAAAAAAAGTTTTAATGATGACATCTGATTTAAATTCTAATAAAATGATAGGTTACCATACATTATTTTGGCCATGCAGCAGTGAAACTCGTGTCTAATGATCATTGATAAGCTATATTGAACATGTCTGCTTGGGAAAGCTATCTTAAATAACACCAAGATAAATAACTCCTGATGAGGCAGGCCTGGTCATTTGAGGAGAGCCATAGCTCTTGCTACCCTCCAGGGTCCCCTCCAGACTCCCCTTAAAAGCTCAAGGGGAGCTACTGATTGCTCTCCAAAACTGGTATAAGTGCCATTTGCCCTCAAATAAAATAATTAATCTTTCATTTCTGTTTTTACATTTCTATGAATAGGTCACCTGAAATTACTAGAAGAGTTGTCAACTACTCCCCTGCTCAAAGTCTTATGACCAGGCCTGATTAGGCATGTGCTTATTGCCCCGTTGCAGTTCAAGCAGTTCTTATCATGAATATTAAACCAAAACTTAGTTTGTTTAAAAATAAAATTTCATATCATAGGGTCTTATAAAGCATCCAAATGAAATGTAGGGCTTGATCCTCCAAGTACCTGAGCTTTTCTCATTTTATAGCCTTGTTTGTATGGTGCAAAATTGGTAATTACACGTTCAGTTAATGGTCAAGACCATGACAATGTGAATAATCTATTCATTTGTGCTTAATATTCTTTAAAAAGATTAGCATCAAAAACAAAGAGGTACTGCCTCTCCTAAAAAACAAGCTCTACCAAGAAGATTGACACTTTTCCTGCAATTGGGAGATTACATTTCTGAAGAAGTGTTGTATTTGAGATAACAGGTCTTGTAGTTTTTGTATAGTGATGACAGAGAATATGCAATTCCTACAGAAATAATTTTCATGTGGTCACTATGGCACTGCCATATTTTTTGCGCCTAAACAATTAAATAAATGTAAATCAAAATAACAAAATCATTATATCAAAATCATAAACAAAATGGCACATTTTTACAGCCTTGTGAAACCTCTTATAAGTGTAGAAATAAATTGTTGCCTAGCTAAGTGCAATGAACTTTAAACAGGAACTTACTTTACACATGTGTTATGTCCTAATTTCCTGTCTGTCGTGGTGAAAATATACCTTCCTAAGAAAAAAAAATAGATCTGATTTTGATGAACAGACAATAGACATCAAGGACAAAAGTAAGGCAACACCTGCGAAGGTGATTAATGGCAGATTATGTAATAACTTTTGTTTTTTATCTGATTAAGCTAATCAGTCAATGGCACCCAAATAATACAGCAACGAATATTCCACTTTTTATTTTTCAAAATTTTAAATTAACAATTAAAGCAGATTTAAATTAAACAAACATTTTGTGGCTACCAAAGTAAGCTAGATTTGACAAATTTATTTGTTTTGGAGCACTGCCATAGCAGCCTAATGTCATTAAAGATATTACACTGTTAACTCCCCTTATTGAATCATTGATAACATCTTCTTTAATTTCAAGCAAGCAGTAAGTCAGTGATTTTCAAATTTCAAGGAAATTATATTTTAGCAAGGCAGTGGGGAAAGAGGTGTTGTATCCCTTAAGAACTTACTTTAAAAAGTTTGCAAGGCAAAGTTTGATTTCTTAATGAAGCTCTTTGTACAATTTATTGTTGGTCATTCCTTGTCAAAGGGGGACAAAGTTTTCAAAATGGACACCCATGGTCAAAGTTTTTTTCCTTTTATTAGGAACAAACAACACCTTAAGATAGAAACATTTTCAGTCCAATATTTCATTTGGCTCCTGAAATAAAGCAATTTGAAATAATGTGTTTTTTGGCCTCAATTTCTTTAATCAGCCATTTTGATTTTTTGAAGCCTTTAAAATTCCATAATTTTGTGAAATACCACCATTTTTCAATTAAAACACTGTCAACTCTGGTCAACTCAATAACACTGAATCAAAAACAGTGGTAAATCAAAGTCGCCAAATTTAAAGGCAGTTCTGTCATTTTCCAAGGTGTTGTTAGAGTATTCCCATACGGGATTTAAAAAACAGTGTCACAAAGTAGTTACGACAAGATCTCTTAACATTAGAGTTATTTAAGCAAGGGGGTGCCAAGAAGGCAAGTATCCTGTTGTAACTACTTTGTGGCACTGTTTCTAAATCCCATATGGGAATACTCTAACAACCAGGCCTGGCCGTTTGAGGCGAGCGATAGCTCGCGCTCGCCTCCAAGCTCCCCTCGCAACCTGAGGCGAGCTATGAATTGCTCTCCTAAACAGAACATGAAGGAAGAATCGCTCCCCTAAAATTTCCTATTCAGAGAATTATGAAAACGCACAAGGGTTAATTGGTTTATTTTTGTAACAGCGATTTCTCCCGTCATTGCATTTTTTGCAATTAACTTTTTGCTTGTTGGGCGGTTTTTGTTATGATAGGCATAAACTTTGATCTATTTGGAAAACGATAGTTAACCGAAAGGTACATTTGTAGAATTAGAACCTTTCAATCTTAAGAAAACAGGAATATTTTTGGAAGGAAAGTCGAAGAAATTGGTAGGAATTGTAGATTGGGGATATAATAAGACAGCAGGTCCCTCCCAGTAATAGAAACAAAACTATGCCTCAAAGAGAACAAGGTACTCTGTCTTGCAGATCAAAAACGACAACCAAAACATGGAATTCCACTATCCAGCGGCATTTACTGAAAAACCCAGATTGGGTGAAAACTATAACGGCAACATGTTTGGCATTATTGGCAAAGCCTGATCATCGTTCCATCTAGCAGTTTGTGAATCTATCTACTATATAAACATGACCAACCGCTTTTGTGTAGACATAAGTGAGTTCGTTTTCACCTTAGGACTCCGTTGGTAACATTTTCAATAGGAAAGCGGCACTGATTGGACAACCTCAACAGTCATGTGCTCGCGCTTTCTGATTGGCCTATTTCGATCCAAAACTGGGTATTTTAGCGTAAAGTTTTCCATCTTTGTTCTGACGTTTTATCCTCTGAAGAGTGCTAGACGTATAACTTCAGCTTGTTTTAAAAAAATTTTTCAAATTCTGTACAACAAAAAGATTGTTTTGCAAGAGAATGGTTGTTTTTGTGTTGTGCCAGCTTTACATGAAACTGAAAAAGTCTGTTCTTTTAAATACTTAAAGTAAAGGGGGTGCCTAAGTCACGGTTAAAGCAAATACAAATTGAAAGAAGTAAAACAGCACACTCCTGACTGAGGCAATTACATTAAGGCAACCGACAGATACTAAAGGGGCTTATTAAGTCATCTGTCGATTGTCTTTAAAGTACATTCTATGTGTTACTGATTTAGCTCGCCTCAGCAAATGAGGGGAGCGATTCACAGCTCGCCTATAAAAATACAAACGGCCAGGCCTGAACAACACCTTGGAAAATGACAATAATTGAAAAAGAAGGCCCCTTGCAAGCAAGTGAGCAGACAATTTTTATTACCCTGTTTCTTGGATTAGCATAAAATACACTTCAGAATATTCTTGGCAGTCACTTTCTTGCAATTGTTTCAATATCACTTTGTTTCAATTGTTTCATTGTCACATTTTACTGTTATTTCCATTCTATAAACGGTTACTATTTAACAATAAACGGATTAGTTCTATTCTTAAAATGGAGTTCCTTTCTTTTTGAGGTACCCTAGACATCGAGGCCCTTAGGCAATTTGCCCCCTATCATAGTGGCCCTGCTTGAGATCATCCTTTAGATCTTAGGATGATCTTGTATTGGACATTATTTTTTAAGTTATCTCATTACTTGCCAACCCTTTGAGTAACACAAACTAGGAATTTGAATAACAGCTACCGATGGTAGTAGGTAGGTAAGCAGTTAAACTTTCAATTTGCATGCAAGACTAAAGAATCACTGAGGGATTTGATGCACACACAAATATGCGTGCAAGTTTTCCAGCCTTGGCCGGCCCCAGGCATAGACTTCTTTCGTTTTCGGGCCTAGGTTACCATTCATCGTCAAACTCGATTTCGATACGCTAAAAGTACTCAAGAGATTTTTAAACTTTTATCATACCTATGTTGTTGCGGACTTGAGATGCAGGGCGAAAGCAAGAGCCACATATCATTTGTAAAGCGCTCCCAACTCTCGTGGTGCTAGCCGCCATGTTGATCGGGATTTTTCTCCCTGTTTCCCTGTAGTTGCCTATGCCGTTCCTGATGTTTGGCTCCAGATGATTTCAAGTAGAGAAGGGATGACGCTAAACATCATATTTTCAATTTTTATTTTTTCCAATGGGGGATGGGAGGGACAAGTCCCTCCACTTTTTCAGACAGTTGGTCCTTGAGATTCTTGTAAACCTTATGAGAAACCATTGGGGGGGGGGGGGGGGGTTGGAAATGGTCGTCGAGATCGTCACATTCAAATGACATTTCTTGGGAGACAAGAGGTGTTTTCTCCGGAATAAATGTTTCAGACAGGGGAAAAGAGCGTGGTCCAAAAGGACGTGGTCCAAAAGGGCGTGGTCCAAAGGGGCACAAAAGGGCGTGGTCACTGACACACCTTTTGTATCTTCCATTTTTATCCCTGGCTGGAGCCGCCACTGTATACAAATCGTAATTGTACTTAGAAAATACAAAAGCAAAATATTGCATATATCTAAATATATACGAAAACATAAGCATGTAAGAGAAAAACACAGAAAATGCTCTAGGAAGGGGTTAAATAATGTCAGACGCTTTTCAATTTGATTTTATCAAATTGGGTTATCAAAATAGAATACACAGTTACAATCTTGGACAGTGCTCTGAATTCCCGGTAGCGCAGTTTAGTATCTACCCCTCCCTCCCTCCTACTCAAAGCTAGAGCGTATGTTTTTATAGCAGAGATACCAACTTGAACCCCAATTAAAAGGAAAGACACAAAGTCTCAACATCATCTGTCTAAGAATTTTTTAGTTGTAGCTAACTTATCCCAACGTCAAATAAAGCAAAGCAAGAAAAAATGTTAATTCTTATCAATTCACATTTCTCCGGATAAAAAAACATACCCCATTGCTCAGCCCAGTTCATCAATCAGCCCAGTTCTTCAATTTTCTTTGTTACAGGTATATAGAGAATGCAATCATTAGCTAAAGTCTTTTTTGAGAATTAACAGTTTTAGGTAGATCGTTAAGAAAAAGGAGAAAAAGAATGGGGCTTAGAATGGATCCTGTGACAAATAACAAGAAAAGCAATATAGAGATAAAAGGTTATGGTATGGCCGATGAAAGCAATGAAGCAGAGCAAACAAGATGTCTCAAGCCACTTGGTTGACGATGAACTAGCTTTTAGCACTCATATCAACAATTTGTGCAAGGAGTGAGTCAGAGAATAGGTGTCTTATCTAGATTTCGTAACATAATGCGTACCAATGCTAAACTAGGAATCTACAAGTCAGCAATTCTCTCTCATTTGGGACGTTGCAGTACAGTCTAGTACTTCTCCAAAGTAGCCCTTAGAGTTGTTTACAATGATAAGTCCACGCCATATGCTCACTACCTTATGAAAGCAGACCTGCCATCTCTCCAGAATAGACGACTTCAGGACATTGCTCTTACTGATGTATAAAGTTAAAAACAATATAGCCCCACCCTATATAAGATATATGTTTGTTTGCAATAAAAGAAACTTCTTATGAATCAAGAAACAGCAACTTCATTATTCAGAAAATTCGTACAGAAAATGAAAGAAAATATTCAATAAGATACTTTGAGCCCATATCTGAGAGCAAATTAAAAAGAGCCACCAAGGAGGTACCAACAATTAACCAATTCAAAAGAAGTATAAGAAGAATGGACGTAGAAACTCTTCTAGACTGTAGTTTAGTTGTACGTAGGATTTTTATGTTTAATAATTAGACAGCAATCTTATATTTTATACTCTAATTTAACTTTACATTCTTTTTTTCGTTGTGTTCCCAATGAGCTTGTAAGCTAAATATTTTTGACACGTTTTTAAGTCTTTAATTGATATGTTGACGTACTGATTGATTGATTGAATTTGGTCCTATATCCAATTGATAAAAAAGTTTGATTTTTCTAAAATTTGCACTAAAAGGGTTTTTCTAAAATCTTGTGAGACCTTTTTAATTTCATGTCAACATTTAAACAGATCGAAAAATAAGATATATTTTCTTGGGTTTTCCTTCAGTCACAATCTGCTTAAAATGTAGTTTCTGACCATCTCTAGGATACCATACTTTCTTAAATTTTTCTTGACACCAACCATGGTCAAGACCTTTACTAAACCTTTCCACAATATAAACGTTTGATCCAAACAATTTCAAATGCACTTCTCCAGATTTAATTGTTATTGTGCATTGGGAACTCCGTTTACGATCTTAACCTTCACCAGTTCACAAAACCATGTTTGACCCCTCTCGTTAGTGTTTGATTTGGAATTCGAAAATTTGTCTAGGCTAAGTAAAACAGAGGTACATGGAGCCAATTTGACCATGTGGCATTTTACCGAGTTTGTCTTCACTGAAGCAAATCAGGGCCCGTGCCACAGGGAGGGGAGGGGGGGGGTGAGGCATGTCCTTTCTACTTTTTCGCTAAATAAAATTATAAAATCAGTTGAAATTATTCATGTAGGTAAACCTTTAGATTACAGCAAATACATTGAATAAAAGTACACAACGAAAACAGTTTAAGCAAATTATTGGCCACAAGCGTAGCAATTACGTAACAATTAGAATATCTATGAGTTTCGAATTTTATTATTATTCTTTTTCCTTTTCTCATTACTACGATTGCAATAGCTTTATTTTGTGAAACAGGCTAACCAGTAACAAATTATCTATGTAATGGAATATTTGTAATTGTAGTTTTAACTGGAATTCAAAATGAATAGATCATTCAATAGATCTAATCTGTAACTCACTTGCCAAAAGAATTTAATCATCCAATTTCCAAAAAATTATTCGCTTCCCAATGAAAATGGGAAATGTATCTCTCATCTTCAAGAAAGATGATGCAACTAGTAAAGATAGCTATACAGGGCCCGCGAAACGTATTTGAGAATGGAGAGGCCAGAAAAAAGGTTTTGAAAGGCTTTAGGAAAGGCCGACATCAGTTGGCGGCAAGAAAATTTTTAGAAATATGGTATCTAAGGCAGGGGCGGATCTAGAAATTATTCTGAGGGGTTCTAAAACGTAAGGCTTGGTAACCCAGGGTGTTGCTATGCACAAACTCCGTACCCCTGCTAATAAGCCATAATGAAATGTAAGTCTTCCATAAACTAAAAAGCCTGGATGCCTTGATTTATATAGTAATTTTTGGTTTCAGCTTTTATGCCAATTGAACGCAATTTGCAGCTCGCCCCTCTTATATTCACTTAGGGTACAAAAGTATAGAAACTGTAGTCAAATATGATATGATGGCCCGCAGTGGCAAAAGGCCCGAGCCCACTAATTTTCAAAGCAAAATTTAATTTTCGACTCTTTGCAGCCATTTATTAAAACCTGATCAGCTTGACCAAAAAAATAACGTGGCTGGTGGAATGAAGCCCTTGAAGTGCAGTGCAAAAGTTGAACACAGGGATTCAAACACAGCATGCATCAACATATGACGCCAAACCAAACAAAGAAGGCCCTGAACGTTTCGCTATGGGCCTGGCGTTTTGAGTATTTTCATGTATTTGAAATTCTTAGAGAAAAAAGTATTCGCAGGAATATAAGTAGGTATAAAAAGGAAACCCCTTTTGGTCAATAATAGTAAGGGCAAGTTTTTGAGATGTTTTTTATGTAGTTCTTGAATGATTAAAAAAAGAATAACAAGGGCTCGGGCAAGCTTTATCCTCTGAATATAAATCATACCTCATGGTCTATGAATAAGACGTGAAACACGGAGTTGAAACTTGAAACCGTTCTGATATATAAACCAAAGCGTTTACAAGTTCTGCCGTTACAGCATCGAGCATCAGGTAAAGATCGTCAAAAGATCCACGAAAATATATTGCAAATTTGCGCCTAAGCATTCGTCGCGTGCTGTATCATAATTCAACTCCCCCTGGTCAACCTCAACAGGGGCGGATCTAGAAATTATTCTGAGGGGTTCTAAAACGTAAGGCTTGGTAACCCAGGGTGTTGCTATGCACAAACTCCGTACCCCTGCTAATAAGCCATAATGAAATGTAAGTCTTCCATAAACTAAAAAGCCTGGATGCCTTGATTTATATAGTAATTTTTGGTTTCAGCTTTTATGCCAATTGAACGCAATTTGCAGCTCGTCCTCTTATATTCACTTAGGGTACAAAAGTATAGAAACTGTAGTCAAATATGATATGATGGCCCGCAGTGGCAAAAGGCCCGAGCCCACAAATTTTCAAAGCAAAATTCAATTTTTGACTCTTTGCAGCCATTTATTAGAACTTGATCAGCTTGACCAAAAAAATAACGTGGCTGGTGGAATGAAGCCCTTGAAGTGCAGTGCAAAAGTTGAACACAGGGATTCAAACACAGCATGCATCGACATATGAAGCCAAACCAAACAAAGAAGGCCCTGAACGTTTCGCTATGGGCCTGGCGTTTTGAGTATTTTTATGTTTTTGAAATTCTTAGAGAAAAAAGAATTCGCAGGAATATAAGTAGGTATAAAAAGGAAACCCCTTTTGGTCAATAATAGTAAGGGCAAGTTTTTGAGATGTTTTTTATGTAGTTCTTGAATGATTAAAAAAAGAATAACAAGGGCTCGGGCAAGCTTTATCCTCTGAATACAAATCATACCTCATGGTCTATGAATAAGACATGAAACACGGAGTTGAAACTTGAAACCGTTCTGTTATATAAACCACAGCGTTTACAAGTTCTGCCGTTACAGCATCGAGCATCAGGTAAAGATCGTCAAAAGATCCACGAAAACATATTGCAAATTTGCGCCTAAGCATTCGTCGCGTGCTGTATCATAATTCAACTCCCCCTGGTCAACCTCAACTTCCCCTGTTCAAGCTCAACTCCCCCTGGTCATAAAACCACTTATACATTTGACTGTAGATTGAAGCGAAGAAACTCCCCCTGGTTTGTCGGTATTCTTTGATGTTTTGGATTTTTGAAATCCATGGGTTCTCGCGCCAAAGTTTAGAACCCCTCGACCTGGCACCGTGATTGGCTAGATTCACTTCCACGGGTGCAGAAACTCGTATAATTTACAGGCCACGGGTTCCTTATGTGGCTGGATATAAGAGGAGACAATGCTTTCCGAGTCTGTAGAATGCTATACAGGACAACCAGGGGGAGTTTCATAACACTTCAATGCATGGACTGAAATAACAATGTTGAACAGTTGTGAGACGGGGCATCGAAGCGGAAATAACAATTTCAGGAGATGTGCATACTTCCCGGTATTATTTAAATGGTTTAAATAATAATAAACAAAATTGCGGTAGAATAAGCTTTAATCCCCAAAAAGTTTTTTCTCAAATCTGAGGGGTGCTCGAGCCCCCTTCGCACCCCACTGGATCCGCCCCTGTCTAAGGGATGGCAAGAAACTGCATCTAAAACTGATTTTGACTGAAGAAAAATCCGAGGCAATATTTGCAAGCTTCCATTTATCACTGTGTTGCATAATTTCCCTATTGTAATGTTGAAATGTAACAGGAAAGGTCTTGCAAATTTTTAGAATAACCTTCTAATTGTAACTCGTAAATAAGCTTTTCCAGATTTAAAAAGGAGCCAAAATGAAATGGAGGAGACGAATAAATGAATCAAGCTTTTAACAAGAACATTAACATTGAAACATCAACAGAAGCACTGAACCCCTAATAAATAAAAGATTATCCTAACAAAAAATAAAAGATTATGTAACAAAAGGACTCTGGATTTGTAAACTTTCAAACTGGACCGGTCAAAACGAGTTTTGATAGAATTTATAATTACGTCTAGATTTTCTCTTTCTTAGTAGGAATGGATTATTGATACAACCAATTTTTTCTCGATGATCTGCCGATTCTTCATTTCTCAAAAATATTCTTTCCAGCAGTTTTTTTTCTTCAACAGTTGATTTCATTGTAATGTTTTTGAGAAACTTTCCGTCAAGAAATAGATGTCAAAAAACTAGACTCCACCATTTGGTGCAGGCATCAAGTTATTCTAAATCAGGTTTCTCGATCTATTTTTTTAGCCATGGTGTTACTCGTTGTATAGTTTGGACAATGAGCGATTTTTTGACCAAATTCCTATTTTCAACTTTCTTGATGTCTCCTTTGCTAAAAACATAATTACTAAGCTTAAGCTAAAGTCATGTTTAAGAAATTACTAAGCACAGTTACTCACAGAATGGTAGGCTGATTTCTTTCCACTTTTGCCTCAAAACAATTATTTTGCTCTGCAGAAAAGTAGAGGGGCCAGAAAAGTGGAGGGGAAAATTTTGCATAGCTACTTTGATTATATACTGCAAAGGCAGGAAATTAATTCTCCGATTTGATACTGTCATCAGATAAAGGTGTAGAGAGATTTGGAACAAGATCCTGATATGAAATCAAACATGCTGAATCTTTGGCAATATTCAAAAATAAATTGAAGACTCTCGCTGAATTCAAATGCACCTGCGACCTGTGCAGGTAGCATTTCAGTAACGTATAATTCGCCGATTTATTGTAATATTGTACATTACCCATTTTATCTTGCTATGTTGTTAATAATTTTGACTTGTTATGTTGCTATATTACTTTGTTAGGTTTTATTAGCCTTTTGTAGCTGTTTTGTGCATACTAACCAAAAATAAAAGAATGAATAAGAGAATTGAAAAAATATTGAAAATTGGCTGAAATGGCCTTTTAAAAACTCTCATAAAAGAAAATCATTTGTTCACTGGAATGTCTGTGTGTTAATATCATGCAAAAGCTTTATACATTGTTCATTTCAGCAATCATCAAAATTTTAGTTTTTTAAGCTTTGTGAATATGTTTGAACTGAATATGTGAATAATTCTGTAACGAGTGAAGCATACATATATCTACGTAAGGAAAGACCTAGGTCTTGGAGAGCTCCAAAATGGGTTTTGTGAATTCTAATCAAGTGTTATCTACAACTTTACAGCTCTCCATGTGTACTTTATCGAACATTTTTGTGTATTCAATGAAGCAGACACATTTATCCTTTTTGCATCTCAATTTCTCTCTCCGATAGCATTCTCAGTATAGCATTTCTTGGGCCAGTGTCTTGAACAAAACAAAATTGCCCTTTTCATAACTCTGGACTCATCTTGTTCCTTGCTCTTCTCATCAGAACACGAAGTGAATTTTTATCACGTGACTCATGGAGCTTATCGTTCTATGCAGCTCGTAGGCTTTCAATTTCTTTGCACTGCTCGTTGAGCCAGATTTCCTTGGCTTCTCTGCATTTCTTCCTTATCTCTCTGTCTGCTTGCTCCAGGAACAATTAAGGCTTCTATTTCCTTATGTTGCAGTTTTGTGAGAACATAATCTGTAATACCAATTGCTTTTGCCATCTCTTGAAGGTTCACCAAAAAATCCCCTTAAACTGTCTTTCAAGTTTAATTCATTATGAGAAAATTTAAACTTACTTGTAAAAATCCCATTTTGTCTGTCTTATTTACTTTTCAAGAGGGGGAGGTTTTTGTTACCTTACAAAAATATAATATATTTACAACTGTTCTTCGACAAATAAAACACTATTCAATGAACTTGGTTTCTCAAGAAGTAGCCACGAAAGAAAGACCAATAAATTGATGCACTCTTTATACTTTGCAGTTGTAGACGGTAAAGTTATTTATCAAATTTATAAAAATCTGACAGTTTTCCGTGATCCCTGATTACAAGAACATTTTTTGCCAAAGCTAATATGCAAGAAAAATCCATTAAACGTTTCTAGTTCAAGTTTAATTTCAAACCAAAAAATTCTAAAACATGATATAGATATCTAACAAACAAAAGCATTGAACACAAAGCTTTGAAAAACAATATTTACAACATTTAGATTTCAGGAAATAATATAAGTCTACCTTGGAGAAAAATGGTATGGACCATCCCAACAAAAAAATTATCTGATCTGTTCTCAAAAACGTACTCCTCAAACAGTAAACCAATGCCAGAAAAAAGAGACAAAAGCCAATTCTTTCTAAGGTGCTGCCCCCCTCCCCCAAATCAGATAAATGTTATGAATTTCAGGCAAATTCAGGCATTACAATCACAATGAAACAACAATATTGGAGCAAGCCCCATACTAAGTCCTACTAAATGTTTAGCCTCTGCTAGGCAAATGGCAAAAGGGGAATGATCCCCACGTTTCAGTATATAGTATTGCCAATAAATGATAGCCAAACTTGTTCAGAGCTTCTGCTAATTATAATTTCTGACCTTGGTTGAATATGATTATGATTTTATTAACAATATTCTTCAGCTTTTACTGACATCTTTTTCTTTCAAAAAAAGCACTATGCCTAGACTATTCCCCCTCACCCCCTCAGAATATTGAAATAAAACACTATGCCTAATTCATTACATTTGGATTACTTTTCATCTTAATACCAATTTCTTACCTTAAATCCTTCAAACATCCAAAATCCTCTAAATTATCAAATCATTCTTCAAAATGATAAACTTAAATACAAAAATTACATTCTAACTAAATAAAATTTGAGAACAAAATCCACAACCAATTAAAACGCTGCGCAATGAAAAAACTTGTAAAAGAGGTCATATAGCGCTGCTTATGGCATTTTGGTAATAAGTTATTCAAACTGTTAATAGCTTGACCTTAGATGCATATAATCTACATCTTATGGGCTTTCACCAGCAGCAAGCCTCCTGTTGATGTCGTCAATAACTGGTGGCAAATCATTGATTGTGTCAATAACATAATGGGCCCCAGCATTAGCCAAGATGCCATAAGACCTTTCAAGCCTTCTTTCATAATCTTCAGCAGACAATTTTGAAATCTCCTCTTCATTCAGGCCACATAGTTTCCCTGTTGTATAAGAAAAATTCAAGATTCATAGAAGTTTTCTAAAGTAGATAAATGATAAATGCATTTGAGAACAAATGAAAAAGGTTAGAGGTTATGGCAAGAGAGCAGTTGGCATCTACTCAGGATGAAAACTCTGAAACAACTAAATGTATCATATTGCTCTAAGCTTTATAGCATGTTGAACCTTCCTCCCGAAAAATTATTGTAGCCTAAACCCCCCCCCCCAACTGTCAAACCTCTAAACCATTACATACACAACACTTTCTTGAAAAAGAGCATTTTTCTATGAATTGAACCCAGAAAAAGCCTGATGTTATCACTTACCGTTCTTGCCAGTCCTACACTCCAACATCCAGCTAAAATGCCTTCTCTAACACCATCAGCAGTGTCATCAACTTTCACTACTGCTTGAATTGGATTTACGTCAAGCTTGATGCAGTTTGCCCAAACCATATAAGGGTAGGGTCTTGCCTGGGGAACTTCATCTGCAGCAAAATAGGCATCTGGAACATACCCAGCTTCTTTGGCAATTTCTCTCAAAATATCAACCATGTCTTTAGTAAAGCCAGTAGTTGAGCCAATTTTCATTCCCATGTTCTTCTGCATGTGTTTGACTGTATCAACTGCCCCGTCAATCATTTTTGAATACTGACGTAAACAAGCCAGCTAAAAGGATAAAGAAAATAAGCAACCAAAACATTCCAATTTAAAAAGTGACTGCAGAAAGAGAAGTAGCAATATAAGTAAAAGAGAGGAAATGGATCAGACAGCCCCCTTTTTCACTGAAATACTGAGCATTTTATGGATGGAAAAAAGCCTTCTAGCATTGTTCACAAAAATGTGTCCCTTTGGATGAATGAGACAACCTTCACTGTCCTAAGGAATCATGGCTGAAAGTGACAACTTCCAATCTGTGTCTAGTCTCATCTTCCAATTTTTCCCCAGGGCCTCTAATATCTCTCGACGGCCCTGCCAACCATGTGGCTGTAGGTGTCAGCTAGGGGGGGGGCAAACTCAAGCAAGAACCATACCTGAGGGGGGCAGGCTTTAAAACAAGAAAACAGATGTATAACAAACAGGTATATTTGGACAAAATCAAGGTCATGGAATTATAAATATGCCAAATTTTCAAAATATCATTTGGAAAAACTGTAGCCAGAGGGGGCAAGCTGTTGTCAAAATTTTCATTTGGGGCACAGCCTCCCCCCCCCGTGCCCCCCTGCAGCTACGTGACTGGGCCCTGCCAAAGATGGTAATTTTAATCTTGTCAAGACTCTCAACCAAATGAAATAAACTATATGGACATTTAAAAGCAAAATTTGCAAGAGGGGGGGGGGCAAAATTTATAAAACTTGATATACACAAAAGTTATATGGTGATAATAAAAGTAAATGGGAGCAACAGAGGGAACAATGGAACTGAGGGTACCAAAGGGTAACGTTCCCCCAACTTTTTAGGCCATGCTCTTACTCCAAGCAGTGACCATATTTAGGAAACTGATAGTCCATTTTTCAGAGAAATAATGGTCCTGCCTATCAAACCTTCAAAGATTTTTTCATCTCTGGGGTCAGATTAAAGAGAAAAAAAATAAAACATCAAACAAGGAAGGGGCACTAAAGCTTGTTATCTTGAGGATGGATGGGATAGACTCAAGAGGTTTGTCTCAATTTTTTATAATCATCGAAAGCTTCTAAAATTTCAAGATACAAGAGGAAAGAAAATTTTTGGTTCACCAACTGATCAAGCCACTTTTCCTCTAGTGGGTAAAGCACTGAGAAATAAGTTTAGCTGGATATGTACCTGTGTAGGAACAAAGTTATCGAACATTCTTTCAACATCTTCTTCATCAGGGTACTTTCCAAACTTCTCAAACCATCTTTGCCTTACAGACTCTTGATGTGTTATCTTTCTGATATGGACCTTCTTGTAAGTACCCATGGGTTCTCTTGCTTCATCCATCGTGATTGGGACCCCTTCATTTTTGAAAACTTCAACAAAAGCAACTGCTGGCGCATACACACCGCAGTCCAAAACTGTACCAGCCCAGTCCAAAATGACTGCCTTGATTTTGCCTTGGTACTTGTAGACTGTTCTGTATTCAGTTCTTGGATTTGACAGCAAATGGCCTGCAAGGAAAGTTACTGTCATCATCACAATCATTATCAATCAAGATTAACCTTAATTGAGGTAGACCCCCAGTTGGGGGTATGCAGAAAACAATCTTTATGAGATTTAAAGCACAATACACAAGCAAGGGGGAAACTCACTTTGCAAACAGGGTACGAGATTTCCACAAAAAGAAAAGAATTTCAAGGGATTTTTACAGGGATGTCCATCAAAAGTGTGCTTGATTTTGAAACAGTGATTCCCCTTCGATATTCAAAGGTTTTCTGAAATACTGCAAATGGAGTCATTTGATTTGAAATAGGATAAGTGTCTTATGGGCTCCAACACAGGTTGAAAAATGGGGGGGGGGGGCAAGAGAATGTTTAACACTCATAAGAAAAGATTTTTGATAAACTCTATTGTTTTCCAAAAAAGGTGGGCCCCGCCTCCCCCTTCGTCGGAGGCCCCGCGTCTGCTTACAATAGCTAATAATTTATCTTGCGAAATTAGTGAGACTTCAGTTTTTATACTTGGATTAATTTTTTTCTGGTATTATACAGGTACAAAACTGATGATAAAAAAACCATCAAGCAATCTACCTGTCGTGATCGTGAAAGTTGTTTAGATATTTTTCAAAGGCTATATCACATGATACACCACATGGTATCACATGATTGAATATAATGGTAGCTGATTTTCGTGACCTGCTCAGTGCAAACAGATCCTATCATTAAACAGTACCAACAAAGCGACAGGAAATTTTACAAAATAGACGCCAAGCTATTGTTTATTGCAGTATTATTCTGAAGAAACGATCTTTAAAATTTTAACAATTTATGAAAAAAACGCCGACATGAGACAAACTTTGACTCTATCTAACTTTGAAGCTTTTATCTCTCCCTCTGTGGAGCAAGATAATGAAAATGCTTATTCTGAAGCTGTTTTTTTAATTAGAGTTCGATGCATTGAGTTCAGAAGAAAACCGGCGATCTAAAGTTGATAAAGAAGCAAGTCATTGCTAAAAAAATTGGCTATTATACAACAAAATAACATGCATGTAAGGCAAAGTGATATATCACCGCAAAATTTTGATGGTATGTTTTGGCTTGAGATTTTTTTTACCTACCTTGTCTTTGCATCAATGGTTTCGCAAGAGAGTCGCTTCTTCTGACCTTCAAATCATCCGTAGAAGAAGACACAGCTTCGTTGCTTGCCAGTCGTGAGAGTGGGAGTGAAGTTCCTCTGCCTCGAAGAAGTTGTCTTACAGCTGTTTGACACATCAACCTTGCCATCTTAGAATTTTCTTCGTTCAGAAAAAATTTTTCCGGACTGTATAACTCGTACTGTTGCCTTCACAGCACAACGAATTATGACGCAGTATGTACCAGTCAGTCTTGTTTTCAACGCGTATTGTGCTGAAACAATGCGTTTTACTAGTAAAAAGTCTTTAGATGGACAGACCTCCTTTTGTGACGTAGTTCCCTTTACCAAATATAGAAAGCAGAATTCGTTCGTCGACAGACCCTGGCCTTCATGTGACCGGAAATTCTTAAATTTTCTTCACGTTAACTTTGTTTTTGGTCAGCACTTAGGGCGAAACAAACAGTCTCGTTCTGTCAAAACAGGCCCGTTGCCAAGGGGTGGCAAACAGCATTGCCACCCAGATTAATTTGTCTTTATGTTTTTTTAAGGCTTTACATGGATGGCTTTGATAGCTCTATCTTGAGTTTTTTCATGTGTCCGTCAGCTGATTTAATTATATATAAGGTTGTTTTTTCTCTTTAATGTTCTTATTGTAATTTTGGATTTAATAATTGAATTTTAAACAACTTAACTAAATGACGTAACGTGTAATTAATTGATTTGCTGAAAAAAATGTTTCGAGTTTGAGTTTCAATGGGTTTTTTCCTCGTTTTTATTGGATTGCGATGGCAACTTGAGTTATGTCAACACTGACAGATAGCAATTTTTTGTATCGGAGTCTTCTGATTCCAGTGTAGGACTTAAAATAGCCCTTGGTGCTCAAAATATTCTGCCGATCCTAAACAAAAACTTCTCGGGGAAAGTTTGAAAATTATCTCAAAATCAAGATCTTGAAGTTTAAGAAGCGATGAATGGATTGGCTAAAATATTACTGCATCAGCTAGAAGAGGATAAATGGCGAATCTAGCCTTAAAAATCTGGGGGGGGGCAGGAGGCCAAACTTTCAGTTTTAGGGGCAAACGCTAGCCAGTACTTTGCGAACTAGTAGAATGTAAAACAGTGGCGTGATGCCAGAGCCTCAGAGAGTTAAAGGATGAAGAACGGGGGAAAGAAAAAGGGGAATGAGAATGGAAGAGGAAAGGGGAGAGACGAGGAGACTCGTCTCTCCCTTTTACTATTCCATTCTCCTTCGCAATTCCTCCCCCCGTTCTTTATCCTTTGACTCTCTGAGGCTCTGGCACCCAGGGTAGGTTCGGTCCGGCCTCCCATGTTGGTTGATGTTGGAGTGAAAGGAATTTCGAGAATGAAGTTTGACTGTAGTCTTGATTCAAATGTATTTTTATTTTTGTTGCCTTCATTTCCGGGAGTTTTTAGGGCGTAGCAACGCAAAATTTCCCCAAGGACTACGCCCCCAGAACGCCGAGCCTGTATCCTTTGACAGAGCCTCCACCTACACCAGTGGCGAAGCTAGCCAAAAATTGTTGGTCCTGCTATATGGACAGGGCCACGCCCTTATTCAATAGGAAAAGCCCATGGACAAAAATTCTATTTTGCAGATGAATTTTTTCTTAAATTCAGTAAAAAGCAAATTTTAAATCGATGTCTATCTTTTTAAAAATAAACCCATACTTAAACTTTTCAAACAATTCTATCTTAAATTGTAGTAAGCCTCTACAGCTGAAGTAAAAGTTCAAATTGGTGATAACTAAATTTGACGATAAAAGGGGGGTAGGGGTGGCATTTGAAGTTGCATATAATATATGTGTGTTATTCCAGATTTTGGTCGTATAAACCTGACCAATCTAGATACTCTATTAAAATAATTTTAATAAACAACAGAGTTTAAAGTCTGTAGTGGCAAGTTCACATATTCTGCAGAACAATTTTTCTGCAGCTGATAAAGAGAGGTACAATCGAATAATGTGTCGCATTATCAATGAAAACAACTTGATTAGATAAACCATTAGACGAGAAAACAATTCAGGTAGAAAAATGCAAATTCCGCTGAAATTGGTTTATTCTCCAACTCAAAACTTTCAATCACACAACAGTAAATTCAATTATGCTTTCATCGTCCTTGTCCAAGTCTAAGAAAGTTCTATTTAGGCCATCATGATATACCGTGCCTCAAACGATCGTACAAAGGCCGAAATCAGAGTGCCTCATACAGCCAATTCTTGTTGATTGCATTTCTTTCTTGCGAACTTTGGACTCTGTCTTGTTACAAATAAAATTTATGCAGCTCAACTGAGGCAAGTTTTGCTGTCAATAATAATATCATTGGTATTGCCAAAGCAGCAGAAAATCCGCATTCACATCGCCTCACCATAATACTGGCCTCCTTGCTAGTATCTCATAGCAGAACGAGAATGCACAGGGCAATTCTTGCAGTCCTGCTCTCAGAAATAGCAGGACCAACGGTTTTCAAAACAATGCTCTTTGAACTACGTGGGTGAACCCTCAACCAATCAAATAACAACTGCTTACGAAATGTTATGATGGTCATTTCGACGAGGTCCTGCTCTCGAGATTGAGCAGGACTGCTCTTTGTTTTAGACTATTGTGAAGCAGGACTAAATTCACAAAAGCCCATTGTGAAGCAGGACCAAACATAGGGTATCATAGTTATGAGCAGGACCGAAATACAGGGCTGCCGTAGAAGAGAACAGGACCTTGAGATTAGCACGGGATGCCTGTATCAGCTGGCGGAACTGGGGACTGTTTATCAAAAACAATTTGAAACTTTCTTTTTGCAAAGAAGAAATTGTTTATTGTTTACAGTAAATCTTATCTTTGGAAATTCTTGGTCCTGCTCAGCAGGACCAGCAGGACCTTTGGCTTCGCCACTGACCTACACTACAACCAGGCTTCGTCATACATAATTGAAACCAGCAAATTTTGCTTATAAAGTGCGCCTTCATCTAAAAGAGGCCTTCATAGGCACTTTTAACTGTCCCCATTTGATCATTAAACAGAAAAGTGTAGTGACCCTGCCTAGGCCTATTTTCCATCCTACGCCATACACTCGTTTCTGCCTATAGAGTACCGAAGTGATGACGTCATAAATATCTATTTTTAGAATTTCTGAATTTTGATCCCAGAACCTAAAAGAGCATCATGAAATACCTCTAAATATGCAAAATCAGTTAAAGGCACTACGAATTGGCTGAGATATGGCCACTTGAGCACAGGCTCTTGCCCCATCAAACCTCTGTTATTTGGTCTTGGTTCATAACTTTATGAACCAGGCCAGAATAACAGTAATCCGTTAGCAAACTTCAAATCTTCTGTTGGCTATATCTCCCCCAATTTGCAACATATCTAGCTAACTTTGCAAATTGAGAGGTATTTTATGCCGTTCTTTCAGATTATGGGGCCAAATTTAAGAAATTCTAAAAATAGATTTTTTCACACTTCATCATGACGTCATGACGTCACACTTCGGTACTCTATTCATCACATTCCACTTAACACGTAAGACATTTCCCAACAGGCAATTACAACAGCATTATCATTAATCACCATGAAGATCATCAGCATCAAAACACTGCTATTCCCACATGGCATTTCCTCTCCATTGATCATCTGTCGTCACCTTGCCTCTCCCAACCTATGCATTGTTTTCCTGGCGTCATTCGATTATTTTTAGAACAATCAGTTTAGTATATATGTATGTAGATAGATTCATTTAATTTAGTTACGATAACCCTAGTTCAAGTCAACATGCGTCTTACTGAAGCTCCTCTGACTCCGTGTTCTCTGCAGTGCTGAGGAGAGGGGGGGTCGGGGGGTCACTGACCCGGGGGCCCTTGGCTTTAGGGGCCCATAAATAATAACTCAATTGAAAAAAGTTTCTAAGTAATAATCCAGCCTCCCAATCAATATTAAGATAACATAATATTAGAGACAATAATGACAAAGGTCCATGAAGTCATTGCCTGCCTCAGTGTTAAATTTAATTTTGTTACGAATTTCTCATCATTGTTGGCTAGGGCTTAAGAAGTTCAAAAGCTTCTGAATGTTAACAAAAAATGTGATTGCAGGGCAACATACAGGGCAATATGTATGTAATACAGATTTGCACTATGGTATTCGCATCTATTTGCAACAGTGTGTTGGTTGTGGTCCAATCTAGTTAACGTTTTATTTTCATGCATTATGCTGTTAAGATATCAGTTATGCTCAAATTAGATCAAACAGCGGATCAGGTATGGTAAATATGATATTTGATGCGTATACATTGTATATCGATTGTATTTAAGAAATGCAAGGTTGAATGAAGCAGTGCGATAGGGAAGGTAACAGAATAAACAGTTGCCTAAAGTATTAAATGTAGTTGTGATAAATTATATCTCTTCCATTAAATATCCCTAAATCTTGTGCCTATCCCACTTGTTTTTTATTCTCAGTTATTTAAACGTATCATTTTGTACCTGTAATTTTCTATTTCTTTCTAATTCACAGGAGGGGTGAGAAACATGGATTTTCCGACAAAAATCTAACAAGCTTCTATATTTTTCTCATAAATTTTAACATAACATAACGACATCAGAACTGAAAAAAGATATTTTGATATATTGAATATTCTTATGTTTATTATTTAGATACAAATTTTTTCCCATCAAAACATAGCATTCAGAAAAACATAGACAACCATGTTAAATTTTTGAAAAGAGCAGAGGTTTTCAGACAAAATAGCATCAGTTTAGCTCTCTCTGACCCCCTCTATCTACACCATTGCCACCGGCACAGTTTAGCCACCCCCCCCCCAGATTAAGCAACCATAATTTTCAAAAACTTCTGGGGAGCATTCCCCATACCTCCTAGAAGCGTCTGCCTTAGGCATGCCTTATGATTTAATTTTTGTCCTGACCCGGGGCCCATAAATTCTCTCCGCGGCCCTGGTTCTCTGCACGTTAAATAAGACTACACCGAAGTTCTACTTGTCACAACTATTATACACAACTATTAGGTAACGCCGCTCAACAAAAACTCGCGTTCCTAAAAAAGGAACCATTATTACTTAGGTAGGTTTGCTCGTGTAGCAATAAGCAAGTACACGAAAGTTACTACCTGAGGCGGCACCATGAGTGCTGGAATTTTCGAATTTTGATTATTCTAGCTCGCTGGAAAATGCACTCATTGAAGCAACTCTTATTACCTTTAAATCTTGCTGTTGGCTCAAAGTGCTGACGAAAGAAGTCGTTGTCTCTCTGCTCCTCTCTGCCACAAGTCGAGTTGAAAAGGGCCGCGAGTTATTTTATATATACTTGGTTGCACTGTAGTTAAAGTTTAGTATAACAAAACAGAGTGAATAAAGAAAAATAAGCCTTGGAATCCTGTGACAGAATCTCTTCAGGTATCTAAACTTTATATGAAAATATTAAAAAATGCAGTCATAAATTACAATTAAATTATTCAATACTCTATTAAATTTAAAGCTACTTTAAAACAGCATTGCAAGAAACAAGCACGTGTTAACAGCTACAGTGAGCTAAAAACTAAAAACAAGCGATTGTTTAATGGTTGTCTGAAAGAGCAGTTGTGCCAAAAGAGATATTATTGATAAATTACTTTGGATGTCCTTTACCCATTAATGTTCTGAAGCCAGATTTTTGGTAGACAACATAAAGAAAACATAAAAATGCCATTTTTCATGCTATAGAATGTAAACTTCGCTATTCATAATAGGATAGACATTTACAAGTAGAATTTTTTTTTGGAATGCCAAATAAAAAAAGTCCATAAAACAGCAAGCAAGACTTTCAGACCTTTAAAAAAATGACCCAACTCTCTCTTTCAATGTGTACTAGTTTTGCTAAAAATATTACTTAGAGTCCTTCAGGGGCTTTCACCCCGGGGGGGGGGGTACTTGGATACCAAAACAACAAGGGTGTGCACTCCTAGGATTGTTTTGGTGAACCGGCTTTAGAAAAAAAAGCTAAAAATGACACCTGGCTTTAGAATTTCTGGAAAAAAGAACAAAGGAAAACAAAAGCTTTGGTGCCAGTTGCCATCGTTACCAGAACACAACAAAAACAATGGGCGGGTAGCTCCTTTGCTGATATTTTTGAATAGAAAAAAAAAGAAAATCAGGCAACCGGCTTTAGATTATATCCTTTGAACAGATACCCAGCCTTAGAATAAATTGCTGAAAATGATACCCAGAAAGACGTGCACATCCCGTCAGCAAAATATACTAAGTATCCCCCCCCTGGGGCTTTCACCTGCAATAACTGGAGGCAAATCATTGATTGTGTTAATGACATAATCTACTTCTTAGGGGCTTTCACCTGCAGCAAGCCTCCTGTTGATGTCATCAATAACTGGAGGCAAATCATTGATTGTGTCAATAACATAATGGGCCCCAGCATTAGCCAAGATGCTGTAAGACCTTTGAAGTCTTCTTTCATAATCTTCTGCAGACAAATTTGAAATCTCTTCTTCATTCAGTGCCACATAGTTTCCCTGAGGTAAGAGACATTTAAAGAATCATTACAGAAGTTTAGTGCAAATCTATTGATAGACATTTTGAACTGAGGAATGAAAGTAAACTAAAGTGTCATCAGAAAACAAGACCAGAAAACAACACATCCTATCCACAACCAAAAATGTAAAAAAACTATGAATTCAAGACAAAAAGCATTTAATAGAAGTTATGGCTGAACTTCATACGCATACCGTTCTTGCAAGTCCTACACTCCAACATCCAGCTAAAATGCCTTCTCTAACACCATCAGCAGTGTCATCAACTTTCAATACTGCTTGAATTGGATTTACGTCAAGTTTGATGCAGTTTGCCCAAACCATATAAGGGTAGGGTCTTGCCTGAGGAACGTCATCGGCAGCTACATAGGCATCAGGAACATACCCAGCTTCTTTGGCAATTTCTTTCAATATATCAACCATAGCAGTAGTGAATCCAGTAGTTGAGCCAATTTTCATACCCATGTCTTTCTGGATGTAGTTCACTGTTTCAACAGCACCATCAATCATTTTTGAATAATCACGTAAGCAAGCCAGCTAGAGCAAAAATTTGATTACTTTTTTCCATATATAAACAAATCATACTAAACTACAAATACAATAAACATCAAATATTGCCATTCACAGCAGGAAAAGGCACAGGGGCATCTAATTCCTACTGTGAATGGATTTTACATTACTCTTATAATTACTGATTAAAAAAAATATTTAAAAAAATTGGGAAGGAGGGGTTGCTGTGTCGGTATTATCATGCACATGAAGACATGTTCAGCCCACCCACCAGAAGCCCCAGGCCCAATCCATGCACAGCACCATCCATGCCCACTCATTCCAACCCCCTGAGCATGCCCCAAGCCAAGCTGCCATGTAACCCTGAACAGCCACCCCAAACTGACCAAGCACAGAACCCTGCAGCACATCACACCACCACAGGAATGCCTCCATGGTAACACATTGCACCCTGAAGCACCAGACACATTTAATTACTTATTCACAAACATAAATTTGATATCTTTAAAATATCTAAAATTATCTCAAACTATGCAACAACTATGAAGCAGCATAATCAAAAGTGAAAGGGTAAATACTAAGAAATAAAAGAAGTTACAGGCAGAACTATAAAATTTCAACCAGAGTTTTACATATGCAAAGTTTTCATGAATCACCTTAATCAGACAAGCAACACCTTAATCAGAGACTAAGGGAAGTATTGCTCCTTATAACAAACTTGGCTGGGGCCACTGATAGCCAGCTTGGGTCCAGGAGTTAAAGGCAATCGGTCACAACATTGATTGGTTATAAGAACAAAGGGATTTTTATTGTTTCCAGTCCCCCTTTAATTTATCGCATTTTAAAAAATATGGCGGAGCGCTGGAATCGTGTTTAGGCTATTGTTCCAGCTATTGTTCTCGTTAACCAATCCACAACAAGACAGATTGCCTTTAATCCTCAAATGCAAACTTTTCAACAGCTTTAATGAATTTTATGAATATTTGTTTTTAGATAAAGTGCAATAAAATACCTGCATAGGGACAAAGTTCTGGAACATTCTTTCAACATCTTCTTCATTAGGATACTTTCCAAACTTCTCAAACCATCTTTGTCTCACAGATTCTTGATGTGTTATCTTCCGGATATGAACTTTCTTATGAGCACCCATGGGTTCTCTTGCTTCATCCATCGTGATTGGGACCCCTTCATTTTTGAAAACCTCAACAAATACAACTGCTGGAGCATACACACCACAGTCCAAAACTGTACCAGCCCAGTCCAAAATGACTGCCTTGATTTTGCCTTGGTACTTGTAGACTGTTCTGTATTCAGTTCTTGGGTTTGACAGTAAATTACCTGGTAAGATAATGAAAGTTGTCTTGTAGATCTACATTTCATCTGTCAAGTAACTGGTCAAGCCTCAGTGGGCATCATGCTGGATAGCCATTGCAATGCTTATGATCTAAGGAAGCAATGGAATGGTGTACCCCTGAAGTAAATTTTATCTAAAAGTTTTTTGTTCAGATCCTGCGGGCAGGGATGTATTTAAGTAGCAATGATTGGCAGGGAGGGGGGTGTTAGACTCAAATTAGATTTTGGTGGCACACCTTTCAGGTACAGAAGAAAATTAGAGGGGAATACACCTCCTATACCCCCTGCTTAATCTGTCCATGTTCCACTATGAGCCATCACTTCTACAGTAAAGAACAAATTGCAGTACTTTTTTCACATAGGATCTTGTAAATTAAGGTTCAGACTGGCTGTTTTAATTTTTCTAAAAATTTGAGGCGGAATTTTTCTGAAGCTGTTCTTCAATTATTAGGGTGAGTGCTAAAAAAAATTAGGAAAAGACAGAAGACAGCAGTCTATTGCATAATAACATTGGATGTGTACACTGCATGTATTGCTTTTATCAATTAGTAAAAGATATTACCTGCAGTCCTGATGAAATTTTAATTGTTGTAGTTTTAATTTTTGATTTTTGAATCGCTTTTCAAAATTATTTAACAGTACCTCAGCCACAGCTTCTTCCTAATTTGTTTTCAATTATATTTTTTGTTTAATTATTAGGCTCAGTTTCCTTTTGTGATTGTTAGTATGAAGCTTGTAAGAAGAACAAAACAGAAGCTGCATGTGCATATGTGAATCAATAAATAGGTCTTTTGGGATCATGAAACACCACTTATAAATCTCCCATTACAAACCAAGGAAATTAAAATACGCAATCTTTTTTCTTGGTTAATTTCAAGAGATAGTCTTTCGAAAGCAAAAACGATTTGGCAGGTTTTTTTGGCTAATTTGGCTTCATTTGTAATGACTCAACGGGATATACACGGAGTTGTCGTGTGTGACGGAGTAACCCAGGGACTTCCTTTGTTCAAAGTTCACGTGATAGCCAAGCATGTGACTTCACTTTTTTATCGTGTGGCTTTGTAAATACTTTTGTGATGATCACATGATACAGAGGATAATATTTTTTGACATTTGAAAACAAACTAGGAACAAGCTGTGCAAGTGGCACATTTTCGATGCAAGATGCAAATATTCCATATCATCCTAATTTATTACTCATCAAAAATTTTCAGCTCTAAACGAAAGCCTAAAGCTATATCACAAAACCTAAAGCTATATATCGATGATGGGATTATTGTTAAAATTGCAGTAAAATTGTCCACCGTGAAACAGTCTAGCGACAGAAGAAATCGGTGCTCCAGTTTGACATTGTTTGTAAACAAGCAATGCAATCCTGAGAAAACATAAAAATATTTTAATGTTGATGAGTCGTTACCTAGCCTTCAAGATCCACAAATAGTTCATACTTACCGTGCCTTTGCAATAATGGCTTCACCAAAGAGTCACTCTTTCTGATCTTCAAGTCGTCTGCGGAAGACACGGGATTGTTACTTGCCAGTCGCCCAAGAGGAAGTAAAGACGCTCGTCCTCTAAGAAGTTGCCTTAACGCTGTTTGACACACTAACCTCGACATCTCTGAAACTCCTTCGGTCAAAATTTTCACTAACAGAAACTTTTATGTTATGGCTGCCTCAGAGCTGTGACGCACCATCTAGTGCCGTTTGTACAAGCTGCGTTGTGCTTCAATTGATGAGAACAATTGTGATTGTTCTGGGACAATCACATTGCTGCTTCAGAGCTGCTAAATGGTCAGACTTCCTATTATGACGTTTGCACCTTTCACCAAATTTGGTGAGCAGGGTCTAGATATGGATAGACCAATAGACCTCTTATTTGCACCTCTCCCTTACATGTTATCATCGAAGACACACACCTATATAATTCTGAGATTTTAGCTACATTTCTGAGACTAAATAATGAAGCGTGGTTACTATAACGGGAAATGAGTAAAAATGACTAGGAAACAAGAAGAAACAAGTAAAAACAACTAGGAAACAAGTAATAAACAACTAGGAAACAAGTAGAAACGACTTGGAAAAATTTAAACTGCGGCACAATTTTATTTATTTAGTGGAAATCCTGCATTAATAGCTATGATAGTAGATGTTGATATGGTAATTTTGTAAGAGGAATTAACCTATGAAAGCCTGATGTGAAATCTTACTGGCATTGGAATTAACATGAAACAACTACTGGGAAGGTCGAAATAAAGCAATTTTAATTCTCGGCTAATAATCAAGCCTTTTTCCCCCTGAATTCAACTGCTTTAGGAACTTACCGAAACTTTATAGAGGCTTTAGGGTTAGGCTCCCAAACAAAACATTTTTCAAGAACTACATTGTCAACCTCTATAGCTTGTTCCTCTAGTATATTGGAGTTTGTTCCTTTAGTTTCTGTTGCTTTTGCTGAAATTAGCGTTGTAGAAACATAAGTAAGCATTATCACTGGGTTTCCGTAACCTCATCTAAGACAACAGCTATTGCGGTGGAGAACGACATGACCGAACACTTAGGCCGCTGCAACGAATGCCCACGTGGATGGATAAGCTTGCCTCGTTTTGGAGATCTAGTCGTTTCTGCAAAGTCACAAATCGTTTCATGTTGTTTCCTTATCGTTTCTTCTCATTTTGTATTCGTTTCTTGTTGTTTCCTGTTGTTTCCTGCTGTTTCTTGTTGTTTCCTGTTGTTTCTTATCATTTTGTATTCGTCTCTTGTTGTTTCCTGTTGTTTCCTGTTATAGTAAACAAGATAATGAAGGCGCTGGCAGCCAGGAAAAACAAAAGCAAAGAATGCACACAATCTTGAAATAATTGATAATATGCAGACTGATACATGGTTGTAACCAGGGGCGTCGCGACCAGGGGGTGTGGGGGGGTGTCACACCCCCCCCAATAGTATCTCGATAGGAAGGAAGATAAAAAACTAATGACTTGAAGATTTGAAGATTTCTTGCTGGCACAAAATCTAAAAATCCAGGCACTCTAGGTAAAATTTGTCTTGTGTCCATTTCCCCTAAAAAGGCATGCTAAGATGGAAATAGGGATCTAAATTGGCAACCAGTGCTGCTTGTTACCTGGCTTTAGAAGTAACTGACAACATGGAATTTTTCAAGACCACGGGAAAATTTTACCAGTTGTTTTTATCTGCTGTTCAATTTGTTTGCAAAAATAAAAGAATTTTCGGTAGGATTTGGAGGATTGCTTTAGTGAAATTCACTTAAAAGAGTGCATTTTCCAGGGATATGGAAGCATCAGAATTCGAAATTTTCTGGTCCTTCGGCGGCAACCATGGTGCCTCCTCGGGTAGTTGCCCGTCCCAGTATACAGATTTGGCAAAACCATTAGGAAAGTCCGTTATTATCATTTTAAAATGAATGTTGTGAATTATATGCCACACAGTTAGATCGACAAAATGTATTGCAGAGGTTTGTGACAGCAACTTAACAATTTCAGGTAAATATTTTTTAATCGGGTAAATTTGTAGTCCACACCCCCCCCCTCCAACAAGGCACCATATCTCTTGTGCATAATCTTTAATTTTACTAGTAGTTTGTGAAAACCTCCAATTAGTGGAATGACTTTGTCGACCGTCGTGAAGCCACTTTATGATCATAATCTTGCAACAAACCGCTTCATGAGCATGGAGAAATAGGCAGTCTAGCTCAAAGTTGTTCGCCATGTCAAGAATTACATCAAGATACCACTTGCAAACGTTATCCCCAAGAGGTAGTGGAACAACTTCAAGATATTCTACAATCACTGTCAAAAGTCTTGGAACACTAACGTAGGTTTTCAAAGGCAAATTCAGCCATCCCCCTCTTCCCCTAGGAACAATGTTGATTTACTAAAGAAAAAAGTTATGGAGTACGCTTTTTCTTGTGGATTGTTTGATATTTTTCTATACTTTTAACATTGTTTTGGGGGGAAAGGGGGGCGGAAGTGGTAGTATTCAAGAAAACAAATGAAAAATAGAAAAGCATAGCGCAAAGTGTTAGGTGTTCCATGTAATTTTGGCAGTGATTGTAGATGGCTTTTTGACGTAAATTCGGTGACCAATTTCGTTAAAGCTGTCCATGATCCAATCGGATCGAGCATTTTGGCTCGTTTCCAGATTGGAGATCATCTGTCACCTTGGTCAACACCCAGGCAATGTTTCGCTTCAAAGCCCATTGCAGATGATTATCTGATTTGTCGTCTTTAAGTTCAGGAACATATGGAGGACACGCCTTTTTAGGAATCTTATAGACACAATAATATTCTTGTTCTTCTTCTATCACCAGCGACATTGCCTGGTTATCATTTGCTAGCAGCGTAGGGGCATCAGAATTGTTTTGGCTCTGCCCCCGTTCCTTGTAGTAAATGCGTAGTGCCTGTACCAGTCAGGGGCGAAACTACTGGGCGGGTATGGGGGGTGCTGCACCCCCCCAATCTTCAAAAAAGCAGATTTTGTCGGGCAAATTTATGGAAATTCCATCTAGAAATACGTTGTTGAGAAAAATCAATCAATAATTTTTTTTCTAAATGTATGAAACTTTCCTCATACATTCATAAGGAGTTATGCCCCAAAATTCTCTTAAGGTTTTACACTTACGGTTCGAAAGAATTGCACCCTTGGCTAGAAAATGGTCATACAGACGCCAAAGTTTTTTAACTAAAAATATTCGAATAACCGTAACAAGTAACAGAAAGTTTTAATCAGTTCAAGCGGGAAATAATATAAAATTTATCAAGAAATTGTAGTTAAGATATGAATTGCAAAAAACTTTCGAGTTTATTCTATTTCTGAAAAATATCCATGATTACAAAAACACGAAAATTGAGCTTTGATGATAGGTGTACCTGTAAAATACTTTCATTAAAAAAACTTTTCCTTGCTTGAGGGATTTTGTTATGGTGAATTGAGAGATACTTTGTGCTGGGGTGTCTAAAAATGTTGAAATTCCTTATGGAGCAACCGAAAGTTGAAAATCAAACTCAGAAAATGCAACTGAAGCTCTTTTTTGTTGAAATATTGTAGTTTGCGTAGCTGTTTCTAAATTCCGAAATTTCCAAGGTTTGTTTTGTTGTTCCACTTAAATAAAATTGAGACCCTACTTCAATCTCTTTTTGAATTGCTCTCTTAATAGCTAGGTGATTTAGAAAGTGAAGACTTTTTTTAGACCTTTTATAGAAAAGACAGGCCTTACAAATGCTTGTTTTTGGAAACAGATGTTTATAGCCAACACCAGAAAAACTAGAGGCATATTTCTTGACTTTAAACAAACAGCCTGGGCCGATGATTTCAGCCCTTGAGGCGATGTGCTTCAAAAATGAAGTTCATGTATGACACGCCCTTTCATCAAGCATGCCACGCCCTTTCGTCGGGCATCTAAGCTTCATACCCCCCTAATGAAAATAGTGAAGTTTCGCCCCTGGTACCAGTCAATGTTTCCTGACATCCATCTGTATCATCTACTGATCTATGAAGAGGTTTTCCTTTTTCAAAAACAGCTGGAAAGTTACTTTTATAAGTTCTAGAAACTTCAGCAGCCCATAGGTTATTTAAAAGCCTAACTTCTGTATTTGATATACCGTGGCCATGTTGGGGATCACTACCGCACTTTACTGGTCCTTATTTAGGATATCGAGATAAATAAACACTCATAATAAGTAACTTCATTGCAACGTTTTCTTTTTATTCCTTCCTTGTATAATCACGAGTAACTCAATACTTATCTTGTGTCACAAACAGCGATGCACAGCATGCCATGCTAACAATAGCTACCACATGATATAAACGAACCATTACCAATAGAAATTCAAGTTTAATCACAAACAATGATAAAACAAACAGCGAATTTAAAAACACAACAAACTGACGTAATATAAGGTTGCATCTTGGCACATCTCTTTGTTGTCTGTGATTGTCAAGAATGATTTTTTCTTGGTAACTACGGAAAGGAGCCAACAATTTTTAATGTTCACCTCGGTTACAAACCAAAACGCTTATCAGGGCCTTCAGCTTGTTAAAAATAAATGCAATAAAGATCACATTGAGCAAAATAAAAGAGCAACCCTAACAAAGCAAAAAACCATTGAACAGCTTTCGAAGAAAACATCGGATTTTTGATAAAAACTTGAAAAAGCTGGGGGGCCAAACAAGGGGCAAAGAAAATTACTGGGAGCGTGACCCCTTTCCCCCCTCCCCCGTAGAAACGCCACTGATGTTTACTCCTGTAATCGCATGTTTACAAACTTCCAAAATTTTGGAAGGTTAATATTTGACTTGCCTCCAACTCACTTTGACTGCCACATAAACGGGTCCTATTTTCGAAGGCAACATGTGACCAAGAGAAAGAGGAAACGTAACATTGATACGAGGTTCCCGTTTCCATTTCCGCCCTGATCCACACTTCTCAGAAACGAAAGCTCTGTTTCAGCATTGCTGAAAAACCTAGCTGCACCCATTAGCAATCTAGTCTTTCTGCAGCGACGAACGATCACAGAGTTTCTATACGTTATTTGTCGAGACCATTTAATAAAGGTAAGTGGGATTATACAAAATACCTTGGAGTTACAAAATGAAGGCTGGAGCGGTCACCTCAAGTGACCATTCTGTGATGCTTAGCGCAACGGACCTTCAGTAAAGCTGCCCAATTATTTCGCACCACTCTCCTGGAAAGGTTTTATAATGCATTAATATGAAAGCATTTTTAATCATATATTATATATCAGTAGGTGGGGTGGAATAGTCTTAGGAGCCCTTCCTTTCCCATCTTTGTCTTCGTCAGTAAATTTTTCTATTGATGACCCTCCACCCCCTTTGTCTGGAAGGTCAAGCGACGTCACTGATTTTAGATAACAAAACAAGATATATATAGATAAATCATGTAGCCAAGTTTCAGGGAAATCTTTCTTCAAGATTGATAAAGGGCCTAAATTGATTTATAATGCGATTAAAGAGTTTTTAAAATTTAATAAATATTGGCAGGATTTTTCATTCTGACAGGCTCCTTTTAGAAACTTTAGGGTAAGTTGTATGTACTCTTGTAAGTATGTGCATCGGCAACAAAGTCCATACTCTAGCACTGAAAAAATACTCTGTTGGAAGCATTATTCCTATGAACAAATGACAGAATTTCTGTTTGAAATAGAATATTTCCTTCGCATTTAATCAATCTATGTCTACCACTCTGTAAATTATTTAAAAGACATACTTGCTAGAAGGCTCACAGTAAGTCATGAAATGTTTATTCCCACTGGTTGATGGAATATTTTCATCCTGACAAGCTCCCAACTTTAAAGCTTTTTACAAGTTAGATAGTGACAGTTTCAGAATGAATTTAAGAATCATACAAAGTACTTTATTATGTATTTTGATTATGTCCCCTTTGGGTTTTTTAATTATTATGCCTGGTGAAATCAAAAGAAAAACCAAATAAATTTCAAATTGGATAATTTCCAATCTCCACATATTTAAAGCATAGACCTAGGTGTCTGATATTTCCAATTCTCTGTAAACTAAAAGAAATGACACTTTTTGCCAGAAAAGAACCTGATTTCCTCTGAAAAGTTACCTATTTTGTCCCAGATATTGTTCCTTTGATCACATGCTCCCTTGTTGATGCAGTAATCACTAGGTTGTGATTATTGATTTCTGGCATCACATGTCCTGTTAGGAACAAAATGTAATCTACCCAACCTTTTTGACACTGTGCTGCTGGTTTGATATCTAGCATCTATCAATGAATAGAAATCAAGCTATGATATCGAATATTTGTAAATAGAATGCACATTCTATTAAATAAATACCTTTAAAGAGTATTTTAAATTCTGATTGCACTTATTTCATAAGTATGATTTTCATAATATCATAATAGTTTTACCATACAAACAAAACAAAATAAAACAAACAAAATGAAAGAAAACAATACGAAAAAGAGATGAGACGAGACGAGATGAGACAAGACTAGATGAAATGAAACGAAACAAAATTACAAAGTGTTCATAATTTATAGTTTTTATAGTAACAACCTTTTCAAATAAATCCAGGAATTCAAAAAGAAAATCTGGATGGGCAGAAAAGGGAGCTTAACTTAATTTTGAGTCAGGAATTCTTAATTAAATGTTTTGATGCTTCTACTGCTAGAAAAAGCATTTCTCAATGTCTATGAAGTTTGGGCAAATGTTGTGCCTAAGCAACTATTGAATGCCAAAGAATCAGGGTGAAACCAATCTTTTTGAATGGATAAAACCATTTTATACTTTACTATATGTTGATTCAAGACTTTCTGATGCAAAAATATTAAGCAATGATTATCTGATGCAAAAATATTAAGCAAGTTCGCCCTTTATTTGCAGTTTTGCAATGGAATTAGAAAATGAGCAGATAGCATCCTTATTGTTTGATGGATTCATAGAGTCAATATTCCCAGAAGGTGTTCCAGAGAGTCGAGAAACATCTGTACAAGGTATTTCATTGATGTTCAGCCATCTTCACACAGTTTCAAGGCACATTTGCATGCATTACATATTCCTATGGGATTAATAAATGAAACCTTATAAAAGAACACCAAATTAAGCAGTTTAACTAAATATGCACATATTTTTAGAATAAGACACTTTATAGGAATCTTGGTTTTCTGAAAAGTTAGATACAGGGAAAGAGCATCTTACCTCAGATGAAGAATTAGAAGAATGAAAATTTTGTCTTGGTTTATTCTTGGTTTATTGATTTCTTGGTTTATTCGAGAAAAGAATATTAGGCAGCATTCTTTTCTCGACTAATCAGGCCCTTTCCTGCCCAAAATTAATTTTGATTGATTGACCAAATTATTTTTCGAATGATATGTTGACTTTGATATGTTTTAAAGGGTGTTCAGCCGCTTAATAGCTTGTTCTTAGGATGTTCTTGGAGTGTTCTTGGGGTGTTCAGCCTGTTCCTAGAGTGTTCAGTCTTTTAGAAATGACGAAGAAATTATCCAAGTTTTTCTCTATTTTTAAGCTTTTCTCATTTTGGAAATCCAAAAAATAATTCAGATTTTCATGTACCCAAAAAAGTAATTGTATTATTGACTGGCCCAAAAATAACTTTAACTCAAATTATAGATCCACAAAAGTAACTCCTATCCTAAAAATATTAAAGTATCAATGCCCTGGGCTTGTATTATGTAACTAAAGTATGCTTTAATTTTAAGAATATTGCGAAAGAGAACAACACAAGTAAGCCAAGCATCAAGTGTCTTTGGACAAGTGTGTTGGTTAAAAAAGTATAGAAAGCTATCTTGTGTCATTGCAAACATTTTCTTCAATGGATGTAGGTTTTAAGTTTAGTAGCCAGCCGCATTCAGGAAATTTTGTCTTATCCAATCAGATACAAGTGCAAAGAAAGATTTTAGATTAGATGGTGCCATAAAAAGCAAAACAGTTCCGAAAGATATACAAGAAACACCAACAGATGTACCTGTTGACCCAAGCAAAATAAATCGTACTGCTGTTAAAGAATCAGTCGCAGAATTGATTAAGATTGCAGATTTGCTTATAGTACCACAACGTGCAAAGAAAACAAAAGAGGTATTTATTAGCTATTTGATAATAAAAGCTTCATTTTGTAAATTCAAAAGGATATCCTATTTTTCATAATTGGTCACTAAAAATAGGCCGCACTGCACTGAAACACAGTGATAAACCAAAATCCTGCGCTAAAGATTTTGTTATTCATTTGAACGGGAAATTTATCCGGTCCAAAAGTTCTATTTGAGGAGGATTTGATACTTTATAATTCAGAGAATTGTTTTTGTAATATTTGACATTTTCACACAGTCAAAAGTTTTTATAGCGGATGCTATTAATGAGCTAATTCAACTTGGTGAGCACAGAATAGTTGCAGCCCAAAGGAGAGCAGGGCATGGCCCCCCTCATTTTTCAAGGTTCATTTTTACAATTTTGTTTCTATCTTTCTGTACCTGGGTCTTACTTCATCCTGTATTCTGTTCTTTGTCTTAATGTATGCCAAGAGTTGTGGTAAAGTTAACACCTTTCCAAACTTAATGATGAACTAATTCAAGCCCTAAAACTCTTAATATGTTATTGCAGTTTGACAGATCAAATCAAACTGAGATAAAACTGTATATCGAGTTTTTTGTTTTTCTGCAAATTACAGTTAGTTTCTAATGTTCTTACAAAGTTTTTAAAGAAAGTTTTTATATCATCTTATCATTAACAAAATTGAAACAAAAGAACGATTACATTTTATTGTGCCGTTCAAAGCAGGAATAATCAAGAGATCATCTGGTCCCAACTCAAAAAGCATTTACAGCTATGCTACTTTTTACAAGCAAAAGAAAAATTTTCAAGGTGGCTAGATGCCAGATACAAACATTTGTAATTCTGGATTCAACCTGAATTCAAAATAGAAACATTCAAAAAGAGGTTTAATATAATTGAAATTGATTGTAATCAAGTAACTATAATCTTATTGCTTTCATTCCCATCATTTTTTCTAATTCCTTTTTTATAGGATTATGCAGCTGAGGTAGATGATCTACTCAGTACAACATTGAATGTTCGATATCAGGCGTTCAAATCCTTTTTGGATTCATTATTTGAGCCACTCAGTGTCAATGAATCACACGCAATTGTGTTGTATCTCATCCAAACTCTTGGTCCTAAATATGGTGCACAGCTTGTGTTGAACTGTAGGAGATACTATAAACAGACATATCAAGATGTTACGGTGGGTATTACCTTAGTTACTTTCCTTACACGATTGTCGCTTCTCTAGACCAAAGACTGAGATACAACTTTTTGTTTGGGGCTTTGGGGCAGCCCTGATAGATTATTTTCAGGGTGGGCCTGGGGGGCAAGGCACCTTCGGCCGCACTATACCTCGTTTTTTGCTCTAGACCAAAGCCTAGCAAATCATACCAAACTTGTTGCTGCTCTCGAAACTTGAGACAGTCTTTACCGAGGTAGTGTGCAGTGCATAGGGAAACATGAGTGGGCAAAGGTGAGTTGAGGGAAAGAAACCTTGAGGGCACACCATTTATAACACCAGAAAACGCCCTTTTTCGAATATATTTTATGAAATGGGCAGGGAAGGTCCCCTCATGCCTCCGATTTGCTACGCCACTAGTAGTTTGAGGTTACTTGCTCTATCTTTATTAAACAATCGAGCTTCCCTGCATCAATGCGTTGTTTTTTTGTGGAAAGGTTTTACAGCTTTTTATTCGCCTTCAATTTATACTTACACTTACAATTTTTATCTACAATATTCTCCAGTTTCGAATTTTCAGCTATTGTTTGCAAAATATTAAAGCTTTTTTATATTTTTGTACCGCTATATTATTTTTTTTGACGAATTGATATCTCCAACACATTACATCAATCGCTTCAACAATTTTTCGGAAAACTGTAAGGTCTTCAGAATCATCAGTAACACATAAACTTTGCCCTTTCAGGCAAAACTTTACAAGGAAAAAACTCAAGGCAGTTCTGTGTAACAAGAAGATCAATGGTTAGTCCAGAGGTGTGTTATTTTGGAAGGATTGACTGGTGCAGAGCACTCCCTTGTTACAAAAGTCCGGATACTGATTTAAATCTTTGAAATTAAAAAGTGCTGCATTTGTATTGAAAATTATAGTAGAAAGCTGTCTCATATTTGATAAGATGAATTTATTTCATAAACTTCTCTGTTCCTCTCAACTAGCAAGATCAAGGAAGCCATCCTTGAAATACAGAAGCTGATCTAGACTGAACTAATAGTGTCAAATTCTTTCAAAATATAAATAATAATTTAGTTACGGATAAATTTCTTATAAAAATTGCACATTCATTATAACCTAGTGAAACATATGCCAAAATTATTCGTTGAAAAATAAAGTTCCCCCGTCATGGTGAGTGTACTTCACTGACCAGCATAGGAAATTGTAATTTCTTTGGGAAAAATAGAACAATGCATTATGCTCTGCTCCTCTGGTTTATGTCTTCCTATCAGAAGTTTTATCATTTGCCCATCAAATGCCATATGTGTGCTCCACTCACACGAATTCTGTGCCCGAATGATGGACGCAGCCTGTTGGTTGCTATATTAAAGGGCTCTTTTTGCGGCTGCTGTAATCTAAGGTCTTATTTGCAGACGCAATCATAAAGAATAACAACAGATTTCTCCAAGCTGTAATAGATATTTTTAACTTACGATTAGATTATGTTTTCAAACCAGAAAACCTTTTTCAACTTTCTCACAAAACTAACTGCCTAATTGTGTGAAAAATTAAATACATAAGAAAGAAGTTAATGATACACACAAGGTCTATAATAATATAAAAATAATAATAAATAATTTGTTTAAAGTTGGCGTACTAAATGAACGGCTGATAGCTATAAAGAAGCTAATTAAGGCCAACTATCTATAAAGAGTTAGTATGAAATAGAAATATATGATACAATATTAAAAAGGTTTAAGGTATAATGTTCTAAATAAAACCTAACCCAGCAATAAATTTTTTACACAATCTACAGTCGCATTCTATAGGGTGTGCTCTTAATTCTTTTTTAAATGTTGCCAATGATTGGGACTCTCTTATACTGTGAGGTAGTGTTTGCCACAGTTTTTGACCTAAATATCTCACAGTTTCTATACCATAAGAAGTTGTCCTGGCTTTTGGAATGCAAAGATTATTTTTAGTTCGCAAATCATAATGTACATTTCTTCTTTCAAAAATCTCACTCATGAAACTAGGGTTCAGGTTATGTTTGGTTTTGTATATTTCTATCTATTACTAATGATGAGACTGCGAGATATAATGCTTGCAAAGTACTGATATGTTACTGCGTCTATTAGAATAACAAGCAGACTAATTTTAAAATGTGTGTCCTATGTAACTTTTTGGTAGCAACCATTAAACCAAAATGCCGAGAAACACGAATAAGAGCGTGATAGTGTAGTAGCTGCGAAGCACCGTTTGATAATTTAGCTCTTGAATAAAACTCAGATAGAAAACATGTTGAAGACTTAGCAACAGTGGCGGCACCATGGGGGTATGAAGGGGGTATTTACGACCTCACTCTCATCTTTTCACACGATCTCAATTTTTTTAGACCCTATTTTCATCTAAGAAAAATTCAGCTGAAACGAGGCAAAAAGGGCGTTGTCTCATTTGCCACTGCTTAGCAAAACAATATTGAAGGGAGCAAATCTTTTAATGATATAAAACAGAAATATAAACCCAATGTAGAAATACACCAAATGCAAAGTGATTTCTGTGTTGTCCATACATGGCTGTTATACATGGTACACAATGATACCAAAATTGAAACTAACAGAAATCTTGAAAATGGAAAAAATGCCATGTAAACGAAGGTTTCCATAATTTCTTTATCAGAACTTGTGGTTGAGGCCTGAAAATCCCTTGACCTGTTCATATGAAATGCTCACATGAAAAACGTCCACATTGAAAAAGATACCAATGTCACCATAGTCCATGCTGGCACATGTAACATCAGAAAAGAAACAAACCCAGACGAATTAGCAGATGAAATTGTGTCAACGCTTCGCGTGATTAAATCAAGATTTCCAAAGATGCAGGTCGCCTTCTCCAGTATTTTAAAAAGGACTGATGACGTCGAACTAAATTCCAAAGTGCTAGCAACTAACAAGATCTTGGAAGAGAAGCTACTCCTCAGCGGACTGGATTTGATTGATAATAGTAATTTAAGGTATGGAAATATCTCTTCTGATGGACTCCATGTAAATGATGGTGGGGTCAAAATGTTTGCATCAAATTTTAGTAAATACGTAAGATATTGCTAGGGGTATATGGGAATTATTAATAAAACGCCAAACATAAGCAACAAGAAAAGAAAGGGTTTAAAGATATCTTAACATAGTGTCTCTACGAAACCATAGAATAGAAGTAGAGCAACTATCGAATGAATATCAACTAGATATACTTGGACTTAACAAAGCTAGATTGCATAGAGACATTCATGACCAGGAAGTCTCTATTGAAGGTTTTGAAATACACAGATATGATAGGGATACTTCAGGGGGTGAGGTAGCTACGTATGTCAAAAACACCCTTTCCCATCATCGAAGGGATGATATAGTGGACCCTAACCTTGAAATTGTTGGGATCGAGATCACCCCCAAACAAGCTAAGAATTTTCTAGTCGTGTGTTGGTACCGCAGGCCTACGGATGGCACCGACAGTCCTACTTTTGATGCTCTTTCTAGGCTCATAAAAAGATTAGATACAGAGGGCAAAGAAATGATCTACCTTTAGAGGACTGGGTTTTTTTTGCATACAATATACTTGCATCAGAAAAGTCTTTCTTGGAAGAATAATGGTGCATTATGACCCAGTAAAGTATATATTTTTGAATTGCCAGTTTGTGAAGTATTCCAGAAAAAAATTATTTAACCTAATTAATGATCACGTGATCTCATTAATAATTCAAAATGGCTGACGAAAAAATTTTTTCTTCATCATTTCAATAATTTTGGAGCCAAAAGAGGACATTGTTCTGGTCACTACCAAAGCAAATTGCATTTACTATAAAGTTCTATCATCAGAAAGTCAGGAATCCAAATTATATTCAATTGTTTTATTATTTCAGTAAATTATTGCAACTAAAGAATCATCTGGCTCTGAACCGCTTGACTCGTGTTCTTATTTTGATACCAGTTGCTATCACAAGAAAATTACCTATCCCTGAAGTAACTTACAGGAAATAAAAAAGGAAACCTTTCAAGAGAAATAATGTTACTTATAGCCAAAAGATATTGCTATGACCAAACTTTCAAGAATTCTAGATATTAGGTAAAATAGCAAAACAATAGTTCATTCAAAAAAAGTTAGTATGCAAAAAAAAGTTTATGAATTGAGATGTTCAGTAATCAAATGATTTGAAAGAGTTCCAGTAAATTAGACTCTAGTATGCCATAATTTAAAACAGTTCCTATCTTTATTCAAGCAAAGATGTACATTGCACATCTCACAGGATATGTATGTTACATGAACCCCTGCAGCACGTCGATCAATTTTGCCAATCTTTCCACCTCTGCTTGACTTCACAGTTTCTTTGCATAATTGGCAGTCTTTTCTGTCTGTGTTGTACACAGGCAGATGTACTCCTACATTCTGAAATCTGAGCTCATTTTCATGTGCTACAGATGGACGACCTACAGTGCGCTTTCTTGCACGGTATTGCCCTATCAGCAACTCTATCAGCTCCTCACGAAAGTTTTGACGCTTGGGAGTTTTCTTGCCAACTTCATGAGGGATGAAGCATGATCCCAAGATGAATGCATTATGTATGCACAGCTCAAGAATATGGAAAAGCACCCTCCTGTACCATTTTCTTGACCTTCTTCCAATGTTGTAAAATTTGATCATGTGATCGCAAAAATCGACACCACCCATTTTCTTGTTATATGGCTGCACAATAGGTGGGCAAGGTATTTCAACTGCTCCCGTGTGTCCTTTTTTACCACGGCGCTTCACAACTTTTTCTTTATCCTGGATATCATCTTTGTATTCTGGCTCATGTATTGTAGACAAAAAATGTACCCCTTTGTTGTCAAGCCATGATGTGGCCAAAATACTTCCATTCATTCTCCAATCTGAATATCCACGATCTTTTCCTCTTTTACTTGCAATCACTATTTCCTTCGGAAATCCGCTTCTGTCCACTCTGGCTGTTCCACTTGCATAAATTCCCTTTTCCTCTAAGGATTTGAGCAACCAAGCCTTGGTGTAATAATTGTCCAAGTACAAATGATGATTTACATCTTGGTAGCCTTCAGTGAGCTTCAAAACTACTTTCTCTGCTAGGCCTTTTGAAATTGTTTGGTTAGCATCTTTCCCTGTATAGATGACAATCTCACTAACATACCCAGTGTCAGATTCACATAACACAAAGGCTTTGATGCCAAATCGTGCCCTTTTACTAGGAATGAATTGACGAAAGTAAATTCTTCCTTTGTATGGGATGAGGCTTTCATCAATGCATATGTCTCTGGATGGTTTATATACATTTCTAAACCTGTCAGAGATCAAATTTAGAAAGGACCTGATTTTGAATAGAGGATCATGACCATCTTGTCCTCTTGGTATTTGCTGATTATCATTACAAACATGCAAATATCTATACAGCTGCAAAAACCTGTCTCTTGGCATTACCTCTCCAAAAGAACTGACATGTATAAGCCAATTGATCTTTCTCCAATAGTCCTTTATTTTAGGTAATTTCAACAAGCCCATAGCTAGTAACAACCCAAAGAATGCCTTCATCTCTGCAACATTTATGTTCTTCCAAGAAGACACATTTTTGCCAATAGCATTTGCATTTGTCATGTCAACAAGTAATTGCCATACCTCATCAGTGAAATACTGCTCAAAAAAAACTTTAGATGATAATTTTTCTGGGAGGCTTGTACTTCTCATTTGTGGGCCTTGTTTTCCAACAAACAGTGGAATTGCCCTTTCAGAGCATGTTTTGTTCCAGTTTTTATCATTAGCCCACTTCGAGTGCTGAGACTCTTCCTTTCTTGATTTCTTGGATGCCTTGCTAGCAAGATTTTGGCTTTGAGCATGAATATGTTTTTTCGGTCGGCCACGTGTCACATTGCTTACTGCAAATCTTGAAACGGCTTTTCCTTTTCCAATTTTCCTTGTCTCTTTCCCTGGTTTGAAAACATTTGTTTCTCTTTCCAATGAAATTTCATCAGGACTTTCAGATTCTAAACTTTCTGACTTTTCATCTACCTCTTTCTCCAAACACAATGACGATGGCCTAGGCGTTACAACTGACCCAACTGCAACCTCACTTTCTGATAAATCCATGGACTCACAAGATTCAGATTCTGATAAAATCTCACAATTAGAGTCTTCCTCATCGTTTTCTGATATTTCGCTGGCATCACAGCTACTTATATCATCAAAAACAAGCAATGCTTCCGCTGCGTCAAACTTTCGTTTTGAATGCGACGCCATGTTGAATTGAAAAATCAGGTGAGATTTTCATCTCGCGATATTTGGTCTTGTTTCCATGTCAACAGCATAAACATGAACAGATATACCACAGGTAGTTCAGAGAAATGTTTAAGCATCTGAACAGCCTATAGTGAGGAATTTTCATCAGGTTTATATGACATCATTTCAAGTGACGTCATGTTGTCACAGATCTGTGACTACCGTCCCCTAAAGGTTAAGTTTTCAGAGACTTTGTGGGAAAGAATAAATATACACACTTCTTCAGGGAACATGTTATTGACATTTTGTTATATTTTCTCTTAACGGTATTTCCTTTTTGGCGACATATTATACTGTAACATCCCTGTTTCAATGCGATATATAAAGCCCCGGCAAAACGACTGGACATTTGCACTGGTCACACACGCTGGATATTGCTCACTTTTTCAGAGTATGGACATCAAGAAAATATTGGTGGTGGCAAAACGACTGAACATTGTCCAGTGAACTTTTTCCCTGTTGAAGAATGCGGGTGGGAAAACTGGCATCAGGGCATCTCTTTACCTTTGAAAATACACTTTTCATGGCCCTAACCGTGTTATCTTATGAATTAGAGTGTATTATTGAAAAGTGGCTAGGACTGCTAGGTTCATCAAAATCACCGTCCTCGTGCTCTCTGACATCGCTTTCCTTATCGGAACTAAAGGTTATCTGATCAGAAGATTCATCGTTACTAATTAAATGCCTTTTTCTACTATTGGTCGAATTGAATTTTCACGTTGTTTCCATTTCGTTCGCGGTGTTGACTAGGAAAGTTTGTTGAAGATTTGAATATGGGAAATAAATTGACGCCAAATCCAAACCATTAATCGATTGCGCGTGCGCGAACTGGACAATGTTCAGTAGAGTGGCAAAACGACTGAACAATATCTGTACTACGGTGGCCCACAGGTGCCACGGCAAAACTTACTTTCTCACGGCAAAACTTTTTTTTTCACGGCAAAACTTTCTTTCTCACGGCAAAACTTTCTTTTTTCACGGCAAAACTTTCTTTCTCACGGCAAAACTTTCTTTTTTCACGGCAAAACTTTCTTTCTCACGTCAAAACTTTCTTTCTCACGGCAAAACTTTCTTTCTCGCGGCAAAACTTTCTTTCTCACGGCAAAACTTTCTTTCTCACGGCAAAACTTTCTTTAGTAAAAAACAATAACAACAACATTCCAATTGGCCAGAAAAGATGGAGAATGGCAGGGACATGGCTGATGTTGTGTACGTGATACTTAGATCTAATCAATGCTTTAGACGTTTCAAACTTCGCAGATTCGCGAATACCTACATCTTCTCTTGATGATTCTTGCAGAAAGACAGCCCAGAAATGGTCTAAAATTTATCTAGGTTGGGCTAGGCTAGGCCTATATGCCTATCTCAACGAAACAGTACCGCATGCAAGGTCTTTGATTCCTTTGTTTTGAAAGCAGTGAAAAAGATCAATTCGTTGAAAATTGGCGTGCACATAAAATTCGTGCAAAAAAATCTCGTACGTGCACTTGGCACGCTCGATTGTGGCTTGTAAAAAACCTATAAATTGGGTATTGTGTTTAATATCATATCATATCGTACTCACAGGGTGGGTTGATGGCTAGGTACTTAATTTTTCGAATAATAGTAACAACAATGAATAAAGAAATGAAATAATAAGCATGGGCATAATGTAAGGGTAGAAAAAAATACGACGACGAGAATCCAATGTAACGAGATAAAATTTTCAAAATAAATTAAATTTAAGTAATAAATTAAATTCAAAGAAAGTTTTGTCATGAGAAAGAAAGTTTTGCCGTGAGAAGTAAAGTTTTGCCGTGAGAAATAAAGTTTTGCCGTGAAAAAAGAAAGTTTTGCCGTGAGAAAGTAAGTTTTGCCGTGAGAAAGCAAGTTTTGCCGTGAGAAAGAAAGTTTTGCAGTGAAAAAAGAAAGTTTTGCCGTGAGAAAGAAAGTTTTGCCGTGAGAAAGAAAGTTTTGCCGTGAGAAAGTAAGTTTTGCCGTGAGAAAGTAAGTTTTGCCTTGAGAAAGAAAGTTTTGCCGTGAGAAAGAAAGTTTTGCCGTGAGAAAGTAAGTTTTGCCGTGAGAAAGTAAGTTTTGCCGTGAGAAAGAAAGTTTTGCCGTGAGAAAGAAAGTTTTGCCATGGCACCTGTGGGCCACCGTACTGTACAACATCAGTGAGCAAAAGAAATTTAATCCTGTGCACTGAACATTTTTGGCTGCCTTCAAAATCGACTGAACAACATTCAACATCGCTGAACAACACTGGACAAGGTGGCAAAACGACCCAACATTTACGCTGGACATTTGTCCAGTCCATGTTCAGTGAAAACGTCCAGTCGTTTTGCTGAGGCTTGAGATTTTAACCTGCCCCGATGTCTTTTTACTTAGCTTTTGCTTGAAGCTGGTCATGTTTTTCCCTAAGCACAAGCTATTGCTAAATGTAATTAATTTAAAAGTCCAACAATTAGAGTTCACTAAGCGATTTGCTCTGTGATGTGAAGTAATAAAGAGGACATGCGTAGAACAAGGAAAGAGCAAGAAGACTTCAACCAAAGGTGGTGCACAGAAATTTCGTGAGGAAAAGCTGTGAGACTTAAAAAAGGATTCAGCTACGATACAAAGCTTTTTTTATCAAGCAAAAGCCACAAACGTCACAAAAAACAGCAGGGTCTTGCTCTTGCTCCTTTCAATAAACTCATACAAGTTATGGTAAATTTATTAGGCATATACTATCATAAGTCAAATGGCCCCCCGCCCAACAGGTACTACACGATAATGGTGCTACACGATAAAATATCAACAGGGGTGCCCATGTTTTCTTTTTGGGGTTAGAAATTGACAAATCGATATTTTTGGGCTGCTGAAAATCATTGTGGTTTTCCGGAGGATTAAAAAATTATTTGTCACAAGTTGAGTTTGATAGAAGCTTTTCCACTTTAAATATATAAAGAACAGATTACGTGGTAATTTTTCGCAGCCAAACCTGGAGTTCTTAGAAAAACACCTGTTAGATGACATCTAGAACGATCACATTATCAACATATAAGTTACTGTATTTAGAAAGAAAGTCAAACCAATGAGTTAAAATTTTTGTTTATTTACTATTTAGTCAGCAAATGACTTATTCAACATGTTCTGTTAACCAGCATTCATCTATGCACACAATTACTGAATTTAAAAACTTGTTTTCCTTACAGACTAACATTTACTTGCATTTTCCGAGGAGTTTTTTATTTGCTATTTTTGTGGGCCGGTTTGATCAAAATTTGCCCGGGTCAAAAAAATTAGCCAGTCCGCCCCTGATGGCAACATCAGTAACATAAGCAGGGCAGGCGAAACGTTAATGAAGTAGGGGAGGGGGTGAGATGTTTAGATTGTTCAGGGCTTAAATAAAAGCCACCACCATGGTTAGGAATTCTGGCCGAATTCAAGAAAAATTTTCGAAATATGACATTATAGGGATGGCGAGAAATGCATCTAGAATATTACAACATCAAGTTGTCGAAAGGAAGATCCTAGGCAGCACATACAAGCTTTCATTAACAATAATTCCCCATGGTTCAATTTTTCTTGGTTTTGACATGGCGATGGGAATAAGTTGGAGTTGGCTTTATATTAAACTTTCAAGCGCCAGAATAGAACAACGTTTAACAACGAGGAATTGAAGTTGGGAAAAGTTGTAGAGAGACCAAAAAAATCTGGAAGAGCAACAAAAACAACTAATGTTTTTAAAATGCTCTGTCGGGATTTACTACTTGAACGGAAAACTGTGTTTGTGTAGAGCCGACTCTCCCAGTAATTCTATGAAATTACTTCCCTGATTGATAATTACTTTCCAATTACCGAAAAGCCAATATAATATTCTCAACTTTTAGCAACAAGCCCAGCATTTCTAACACACAGAACTTTGAACAAATTTCTAAATGCAATTATAAAAAACTCTGTCTTGTCGATTGAAGACTGTTGTAATTAGCGTACGTCACGTGACGCTATTTAATTTCTATGGAGTTTTTTTTGTAGTTGTTGAACAGAGTTGAGGAGTTATGTTCCGAAGAAGAGTTATGGAGTTCAAATTATGAACTAAGTTTAATCTACGAAAGTTATTATAGAGTTACGTTTGCGTTGTATATATTATTCTTTTGTAAATAGCCTTTTTGAGTTGAGGAAATTATTGGAGTCAAGTTTGGAATTGGGTTGTATTCAGTTATGTGTTATCTGCTAGGATTCCACGAACCAGGGTGAAGAAACACATGTTTAAATAAGAAAAACAACCCAGATTCAATTTCACAACAAAGACAGTAAATAAATGTTCTCAGTAAGAAACTTCCAAGAATAGCGAGTCATTCCTTTCTATGTTTAGATATCGATTCATCTGTACATTTATATGAGCATAAAGCTTGTAATGCATCTAAGTGTTCCAGTTTTTATCTCGTTTCTTTTTTTGTAGTTTACAATGGGAGACATTCAAAACTTATTCATTCTTTTGCAAGCCCGTAGACTGTTGCACTGGGTTGGGGGACATGGATAGAAATAAAGCTTTTTCTATACCTGCCTTACTAAATACTGTCAGATCAAGCTGCGCTTATAAGATCTACAAACACAATTTTTGCAAATTATTGGAAGGGGGCATTGCCTCCCTGACCCCAGTGTCTATGGACCTTTTTTTTCCAAAGTTCGTCAGGGCAAATCTCGCATGGTTGTTACCACGTCAGCAAATTTTTGAATTAAAAACTAGCACAGTCAGACCCAGTGGCGACTCCAGCCTTATACCTAAGATCTTTGGCGAGTCATTCATGTTTTATACTGGAGCAAGATATGGATGTACTGGAGCAAAAATTTTGTCAGATCTGAGGGAGTTGAGCCCTTCTGCTGTTTTGATCTATACTCTCAAATCTATGTGGCTAGCTTTAAAATGATGTACCTTACTAGAAATTGAGTCACAAAAATTGTCATTTCCTCCTTACCACCTTAACCTATGATTAAATGAAAACATTTAAACTGAGGGCCCGAGTAGAAAATTTATCAGATTTTGGAACTTCAAGTTAAATATCGTTCTATTGCATGGGCTCCGACAAAGGTTGAAAAGTGGGGGGGCCAAGGGAAAATTTAACAGCCATAACAAAAGATTTTGAAAAAACTCTTGTTTTGCAAAAAAGTTGGGGGGTCAAGGCCCCCCCGGCCCCCCTTCGTCGGAGGCCCTGTATTGTATTAGGGGCCCAGAATTCTCCTTGCTTACATGGGCCCCAAATTTTGGAAAATGCTTTTTCAGTACTTAAATACCGCAACGTGATCCTTTTATTCATTCTGTATCCACTAATCTTGAGAGAGTCTCGGTGTTGTGGCAACAGAAGAGGGCCTCTACCAAACAATACGAGTTTTCATTTAATAGCAAAATTAAGAAAAAATTGTAATAATTTTGGGAGGGCCCACCGGACGATCGCCCGGTAGCCCGACCGGCCAGTCCGCCCCTGGTTGGGTAAGGATCAGTGTCCAAGAGGTGCGAAACTGCATTAGCGCCGTACCCCGCAACGTTAAACGGTTGTCAAATGTCCGACGAAACCCCGAAATTTCCGACGACGCGAGCCCCCCCAATACACCAACAATTTTCGCCACTGGGTATATTATTCCACCGTTTTGAACTAGAACAGAGCAACGCTTTTAAACAATTCCAGATTTTTTTGGGGCTTTCGATACCATGTCTGTTTCCCGTGGCATAGTTGGGGAATTAAGACCTTGTCATAAATTCTCCCTGGAGATTGTTGAAACATAAGTTGTTGACAATTTCACAAATCATTACAGAAAGAATAGAATGAGGGTAATGTCGATCCTTTGGAACATGGAAGAATCCCCGATGAAAAGAGATAATGGAGGAAATAAATTGTAATAGACTAAAGACTGACATAAAAGTTTTTCAGAACAAGTTTTTCTAAATTAAAATAAGTGTTTTGGCTGACCAATATTCTTCTGTTTGTAAATAACATATGCGCACCGAATACCCCCCTTTCTTGAATTTCGAGCTTTCAATAAGCCCCCCTCTCAAATAAGCCCCCTATCCAACATTGAATTTTAAGCCCCCATAGTAGGTCTTAATGGAATTTTTAGGTTAGGTCACAAAAAAAATCTCAGCGATGACATTCTATTATCAAACAATGGATATTGACTTTGTTACGAGAAAGAATTTTCGATAAGGGGTAAAAATAATTTGAGACATTTAGAAAGCCAAAAGACTCATCAGTTTTAGGGGGAGGAGGGGGCGGTTAAGTATGGAACTTGCCCAAAGATTATAGATACAACTGCAGAATTGGATCCTGAAGTGCAAAAAATGTTCCTGATGTAAATTTCAGCCTCACTTTTGTCACCTTGATAAAAAAGATCTTCAGAAAGAAAAGACAAAGGACAAACAGAAAATTACAAAACTATCAGTCTTTTAAGCCATAAGTCTATGCTTTTTAAAATCTTTATACAAGATTTCCATACTTCAGGTTATTAAGAAGCAAGTCATATGAAGCAAGTATTTTTCACGTTTTTATTACAATATTTGAAACACAAAACTCCATCTTCCAGAGTTGATTGTGCAGCCAAGAAAAAATTATTGTGGTCATCAAAGATAAAATAATTATTAAAATGGAAACACAAAACACGCAAAACTTATTCATATCCTGACATCCATATTCATATCCATATTCAGATCCTGCAACCCCCCCCCTCCACACCCCCTCCCCCCAACACACCAAGGTGATTCTTAATAAAATCAAATAAGCATAATGTTAAAGAATGACATTTGTAATTTGCCTTCCTACAAATGGAACACAGTGGAGCAAATCTGTTAACTGTTGCCTGATTCATCATATGCATATGAGGAATGCAGCTTGTGTAGTTGAGTTGCCTGTGAACAAAATCATCTTGCAAATTGGTTGAATTGCCTTACTTACAAAAATTTTGCAATGACTTGATGAAGACAAAATAAAACTACAAATAGGTACCCTTACACAAAAATACTATACAAAATTGTAATCTCTTAGTTGTTTCTGCAGAATCTGACAGCGTTTCGGCAGAATCTGATAGGGGGTTTACTCAGGGTAGGGGAATTTTCTAAACTGAATATTGTCTGGGGGCCAATTTGACAGGGGGGCTTATTTGAGAGGAAGGCTTAATAAGGATTATTGGATTACAAGCAGTCAACATCAATAATACGTAATAGGTATGTAAGAAACCTACATTTGATGGCTCTATTGATAGTTTGATCCAAATATGCAGTTAAGGACCACAGCCTACCCTAGTGTCAATAATTACTAAATCCTACCAATATGAAAACTACATATAAACGATTCTGCTTTCCTTTTATCATCATCTTCAGCTGTTTCCCTCTATGCATGCAGCCTAGACAAGAAGCAGATATTCAAAAATTGAGAGAAGCTCATTTGGAACAAAAAGCTTGAAATAATTTACATTTAGCTTCTATCACAAAGAAAAAATCAATGATTTTTTTGCAGTTCATAGTTTCACTTATTTATCAAGCAAAGTAAAAGAAGCATTAAATTTCCCCTTTTTAGCAAAAATCAGTTTTTTATTTTATATTCAACAGTATAAAAAATCATGCAGTTAGAAAGAAAGAGAGCTCATTGAAACATCCTTTACAAAAAGTTCAGAAAAGAAAAACATCATCTATGGGGTCTACTTATCTCCAACTAGACTTCAGGAAAATGTTTGATTCTAGCCAAAATTAGAAGTTTGTTCACCAATAAAGATATTTGGAGAGGGTATGCTCATTAAAGAAGATATGATTATCAGCCAGTGACACATAATTTCAGGTAAGTTGGTGATAGAATTACATGGGTGATAGATAGAAAATTCTTTTCAAACAGTGAAAAAAACTGCAATGTAAGTTGTAACCTTCCACAACAAAGCTTAAAGCAAGTTTCCATTGCAAAAAGAAAACCCTTTTGTTTTGTAAGTATATATAACAACAAACACTTTGCTTCATGTGGAAATCAAAACAGCTATTTTTGGTGAATATTTGGAGAAACATCTAAGATAAATCTGCAAAAGAGGATACTCACAGCTTCATCTGCATACTTTTCACCAATATACATCCTTGGATAAACCTGAGACAACTGTTGCATTGTTGATAAAACATTGCTGAACAGGTGCAAAACAAATACAAAGGAGGCCATATCTTGATCCTGCGAAATGACCTCATCTACCACTGCACGGAACACTTCATATGATAAGTTTGAGCCCTTGTCTTTAACTTTCTTAATCATCCCATCTGTTGCACTCTGTAACAAGTCATCAATGGTCAGATAGGCTGCAGAGCCATCTAACATTATCTTTTAGTCTGATGTAATGATAATCTTTATTTCCATTATGATTAAGGTCTTCTCTAAAAGCAAACTTATAGAATGCCTATCTTTGTTTGAAACTTGCTGTGTTGCAAATGACTGAGGTCTAACAACATCAGATGAAAAATTTTGTTTCATGAAGGATCTTTCAAGATAAAAAAATATAATCTAAGACATGGCAATGATTTCTAGACCCTAAAGGTTAGTAGCCTGTGCACAGACTCAACTGGTTTTTCCAGAGATTAATTTAATTAAATGGAAAATTTAGACTGAATTTCCCAATCAACTAAATTTCCAATCAACTAGATTCATCTCTGGGAAAACCATTCGAGTCTGTGTGCAGGCTATTGGGTCAGTGGCTATGCACACTCTCTTTTCACTGTCAGAAAACACCCTCTTTTCAGCGGGGAACACTAGTTCTGCCAATTGTGACACCCATGACCAACATTTGGGTAAACTTTGGGTAAACATTTAAATGTATTTTGTTTAAATAGTTGGCCTCAATTAGCTTTTAAGCTATATATTATTAACTGCCAATTTTAAATCAAAGAACTAATAACAAAAATAATTAAAAAAACACTATAAAAAGGCAGATTCAAAATCAGAGAAGCATGATAAAAAATACTTTGTCACATCCTTCCCTAACTTTCCTCATCAAATTATTAAAAAACAGAAGATCTGTTTGGCCATAAAGTGGTGGTGGTGTCCCCCTGGTCCTCTGGTGGTCCCATCATTGCCAAAGATGCAAACTTTGTTTATTTTGTCCTTCTGAGTGGAGATCAATGATAAACTTGGGCTAATCTTACTGAACAAATAAAAAAGCAATCAAACCTTCCTATCACCTTCCAAAATCCCAAATATCCCAACAGATCAAATGTTGGAGCAAGAAAATTAATCAGCATGCCCTTACAAAATAAATCAATCTAAAAATTGGATATATTCTTCAAGTTCTGTTTCTCATCAAATTGAAATTCAAATAGACTAGGCAAATACCAGACCAGTCAACTCTCCCGATAACACTTGGAAACTTAATGTTTTGGATGGCAAAGTCCTCTCTATCGTTTTCACCGGTATTCTTTTAACAAAAATGGTTGCAATGGCATTCTTCATGACAAAATTTTTATAAGAATTACACAGAGTTTGCGAATTAATAAGAAGCTCGAAAAAACCATTATGTAGATGTTTCCTATAATATTTTTGTCATTAACTGTTTGCCTACCATGACTCTTTACAGATGTTGTTTATAAATTTACCCTTAAAATAGTTCTATTATTTCATCTTGATTCAACAAATTCCAGGAATCTCCCTGTTTTGGCCAAATTTCCCTGTTTTTTACGTAAAAATCTATAATCTCCAGGTTTTGAAAATTTTAGGTTGACAGGTCTGACTATAGCTGACTTTAATCAGCTGTTTGTTAACTATATTTGATTTTTCTAGCCTGCAGTCAAGTGAATATACAATGACCATGATGATGATGATGATTATGATTATGATGATGATAATGTTATTTGATTCATGTTAGCTACGGTGAATAGCAAAGCATTTTACAATTGTTATTGACACAAGCATACAGTATACTCCCCCCAATGAATTTTACATTGTTTTTGGACATATCTCGAGGACCGTATTTTAGAAAAGTGGGGGAGTCCAGACCACCCATTCCCCCCCTTGGGTGCACCACTGACAACATCCCATTTTAATTCAGTGATACAATCAACATTTTGTATGCCACTTATCTCAACCTGTAAGTTGTTTTGCTTGCAAGACAGAATTGATACTTGTCTTGGCAATTACATGGAGGCATGAAAATATTGAAACTGTGCAAACTTTGCTCAAATAAATCAAAGCTCAAAATTTCTTTCATTCATTTTATGACACTCATATGGAAATAGACACTGAGCGCAAAGACAAATTCTTCAAGTGATTTTATTTTTCTTACCTGTATTTGGCATTTATACTCATCATTGAGTTCATCACCTGCCATTGCAATATTGTTAGCTGTGTTGTGGATGTCTTGTTCATTTGGTTGCACTGCATTGTTACTTCCCTGGGCAGTCCATTCATTCAGTGAGTCTGTTCCTGAGGTAACGCTAGCCACATCATCACCAATGAGTTGTAATCTAGAACTATATCCAGTTTCAGCCATAACCACATTCTCTGATGGGAGCATTCGTGCTTGTAGTGTGTGGCTCTCCCTTTGAAATGTTCCTGAATACCGTTTATTACCATCTGACACAGCATTGCTGCCTAAAAACAAAAGTAATAAAGGTTTAGGCCATGTAATATGAGTTTTAGCAGCTGCATTGTAAGCTTCCTTTCTTATTTGAGAGAAAACTTAAATAGCTTAGTGTCTATTTACAAATTAAGTGTGCTTCAAAATATCAAACCAGACAAAGTGTCTTAGAATTTAAGGTATGGAAACTCATCAAAAGGATGAAAAACAGAATGGTAACCTAAAATGCTTGACATTCTTTGCAGTGAGGTTATCAGAATGTGAAAAATGTTACTTGAATTAGTATGACAATGAGAGAAGAGTCCTGTGAAATATGCTTGGCTCCCATATACCTTGGCATTGAAAAATATGACGATGTCATGGCACAGGTTTTCGGACTGCTCAAGGTAAACAACAAAATTGGAGCATTATAAAAGATATACAAGTAAAAGTACTATATTACGTTCCTTTCAAATCAGTCTTGGATGTCGTGAGAGATAAATGAGTCAAAAAAAGATGTTGAAAGTTATCTGAGCATATTGATACTTTTTAGGTTTCAAAGTTTCCAACAACATGAACATTTTAGGAAAAGGATTGAAATATAGGTCTAAGTTTAATATTTGAGCTGTACATTCACTTCTGCGCTTTTAATCTCCTATTCTCCTTTGCCTAATATTAGAGCCTTGCATTGTGAAATAGCATATTTTCTAAACCTTATGTTTGCAACTTGATGCAATGATCACATTTTAAATAAGTACATAAATTCCACTTCTTCATAATTTAACTGCAAAAGGCTTCTGTTTCTGGTCTGCCAGATCATAATTTTTAAACGATAATTTTGTCTAGAGTATCTGATCGTTCACATCATGCTGATAATTTTGGATCGCTACAAGGTTAATGGGATATTCCAGTTATGTTTTGAAATGTTTTATTAAACAAATAGAACATCATGATTATAATGAACTTAAAATTATTTGCGCATACAAAATGCAAAATGATGGTTTCTGGATGTTTTCAGTTTCTAATGTTTATTTTAGGTTTTTTATGAAGATGCATATAAAAATCATTAAGATTATAAAGAATTAGTGCAGAAGGGTCTACCTCCTTTGCTTTAGATAGCTATTAAACATACTTCTATCAATCTGAAGTTCTTTTAAATATCTTTATGTTGTAATAGATCAAGTGGCTTGGTGGGAATGTCTGCCATCTTCTCATTTAGTACTTAAATATTAAAATCCCATGCCAATTTGTTGGAACAGTATCATCTTTTTTATTTTTGAAAATGAAATTTTACAAGTTTGCATGGGTTGCTGTAGTTTAAACATTTCACTGGATGGTGTTAAATCAACATAAGGAATTGTTAGTAAATTATTTTCCTGAAACCTTCAAACATTCAGTCTCAAAAGCATATGGCAACATAACAATAAAATAATTTTTTGTACAGGATAACATTTGAACAGTTACAATTGTTGTTATAAATTTATATACTTATAATACTGGTTGTCCTGTTTCCTGGATCTAAATGAAATCGGAAGAAATCTTTTACACTAAAAACGCAGAAATTTATTACATACATGAACAAATTTGGTACAACCTAAGTCCACTTTTTAAGTTTCTCAACTAACTCTTTGAATGCCTCAGTTTAAAGCAGCTCTTACTTGGTCAGATTTTGTTGAATTTGACAACGGAATTACCGTGTAAAAAGAGAAATCGAATGTCAAAAGCCATCATCAGATTGTCGAATTCGATTTTTCAAGAATCAAATGTGTTTTATTCCATTCGACAAATCGAAAGGTGAATGAATGGCATTCTTGCTCGCTCACACTGCTACGTCATCCAAGTTACCATGTTCTGTATTGTTTCAGTCTGTTTGCAATCAAACGCAGCCAAAGTTCAACAAAAAGGAAGAAACAGAATTATTCATTGCTAAATACTCATGTTGTCCTTCATGTAGTCATTTCCTTCGGTGAAACGCAACTCATTCAAATGTGTATTGTATGTTCCAAATACAGGACATTGATTCAGCCATTCTTTTGTCCATTTTGTTTGTTTTTGACTCTTATTTCTTGGTTTTTTTAATACCAGTGCTATAACTCTGGCAGCTGAAGCAACCTACTCCATTTCATAAACAGAATTGAGGCATTTGACTCTTATCTTATTCCACAAAATCTGATCACGTAAAAGGGGCATTTGATTTGACAAATCTGAAGCAAAACTAGATTCAACATAATCAAATTCGAGAAAATCTGACCGTTTAAGAGCAGCTTAAAGGTAGCTCATTGCACAATTTAGCGCCCATATACAGAAATGCTTTCATGCATATTCTTTTTTCATACTTGGTAATCACATTTGTAGTTGCTTTTTCTTCGCTTCCTTTTTCGTTTGAAAGACTTATCAAAATGGGATTCAAGTTAAGAGTGCTATCCACATAGATGCCAAGATATCCACAATGGTATCTACATGGTATTTCATTGCATTGTTATTGCTGGTTGGGTTTCTTGAGATATAATTGTACTTAATTTTTACGGAAAATGAGTTAGGAAATTGGTAAGAGAATTATTTTACCAGCTTGAATTGAAAATGGGAATGTCCTGGGATAATTTAGCTTTTGTTTATCGTGTTGCCACATTCAATTCTATTATTTTTTGACGACGTCGAGTGGGGCAAAATCGTAAAATTTATGAAGAGGTGAAGTTAAATTATAAAACAATTTAAAAGGGAGTTAAATTATTTAAAAACTACAGAAAAGGAAATCAATTCAATAAATAAACACAGATTGTATATACTTTCATTAAACAGGTGTAGAATTGCAGGGAAAGGGAGGGTTGGGTGGCTTGGCCAACCAAAACCGGAAATTCAACAGGACTTCAAACTAAGTATGATTTTACCTTGCCATTTATTCTTGTGAGCAACAATTTCTGAATCTCCTGTCCAAACTGCACTTTCCTTTGCTTTTCTTATCTCTGATATCTTTAAAAACTCTTCAAAAAGAAGTTCGGCCTGCTCCCTCTTCGTTAAACGCATGTTGCCAAAACGTAGTCAATTATTCCAAAGGTTTCTGACGTAAAAATCTAAGCTCTTTCTACTCCTCTACAGGCAAATGAAGTCACAGCTCTCGTTAATAATTTTTTCTTTAAAGCGAAGAATATGAATTAGGTGAAAAGTGAATATTTGTCAGCTCGCACACAGCTTGCGGCCATTGGTAATGCAACTCAATATCCAAGTTGATAAACAGATGACGTCATTTGTCACCTGACAAAAGGAAGCAGGTGTCCACAAGCCAGCACCTATTTCTAAGAATCGTTCTAGCCAATTTTTTTCTCAGAAGCTTATCAAAAACAACAGTCAGTGAAGCAAAATGAGATGGCCGGCTGACATTTTGATTGTAATTTGACCTAACTATAGTTTGAACTGTAACAATTATAAGATATTAAATGAATCAGAGCCACGTCGAATTTTTTCCGGACTGTCGGATCACCTCCATAATTTTTTACAGCGGCCATTTTTGTGGAATTGATTAAAACATCTGACTATTCTTCCTACTCTAAGGATCTAGCTGCCATCTCGAAGAAAACTCCTTTTCATATTTGATCAATTAGAATCCTAACACTTAAAGCATATATTATACAAACTAAATCTTGTAAACATCCACAATTTACACAATGAAACATCAGCAGCATTAAAGTGCCACTGAACTGAAAAAAATCAAAATTTGTTTTTTTGATGTTCTAAGTCAAGTCGGTGCTCCTGAATCCGATGCTGAAGTTCGCTTTTCGGAATTGTGAAGTGTTTTGAAGCCACAACGCTTCAAAGTTGCGATTTTCAAGACTTTTTGTGCGAAAATTTGTGCGCGGTCTGTGAGGAATTTCAGGAATGTGTGACGCATTAACGTTTATAAGTCGCAGAAGTGATGCGGGCTTCCGTACTGAAGACTGTATTTCGAGTGCGATAAAAAACCAAAAAAAACGTGAAGTGGATGGAAATAGTGAGTTTCTTGTAAAAACTTCGAGCCCATACGAAATAAGCAAACTTTTTGCGTGCAGTTTTTACCAAGACTTCATGCCGATCAATTACCTTTTATGAATTATTGAGCGTGTCGAATAAGAATGCTTTTACGAACAGCTTTACAAATTATGAATAAAAGTGAGCAAATTGATCAAGGAAAAAGTTGATATATTATAGAACCACACAAATTGCACATTTTTCGGCGCTTTTCCCACTTTCCAACTTGCGTTGCCACTGTCAAAGCATCAGTTATTGCCAGGGCCGTCAAGATGGGATAAGTTGCCCCAGAACCTCGTGGTCAGGGGACCTCAAAAAGTAAAGAAGTTTATTTTAAATGGAATTGATTAAAAGTCCATAAGTAGCACGGTGGGATATTTTTAAGCTTCTATTCATACCCCATCTTTTTGGCGTATCAAACTGCCTATCTCTATCAAGTTTCATGCTGGTATCGCGATCTAATGGTTAAATTGTGACAATTACTGCTTAGAGGTTTGGAACCTAGTACCCCACCCTATAAATAGCACAAATGGATATTTCTAAGCGTCTATTCACACCCCATCTTTTTCAGCGTATCAAACTGCCTATCTCTATCAAGTTTCATGCTTGTATCATGTTTTACACAATTTGTAACTTTTTATCTTCTTACAGCCCTCACTATGGCTGAATTGACTATATAAATCTGAATGCGTTACTCACCCCAGCCTCTTTTCGCACGACCTACACGCAAAAGAACCCCAGAAACCCCTATTTGTGGGCTCCAAATTAAAAAACTAAACTTTTTTTCGAAATCAGCGATGATTAGTCTACCAGAATCAACAATAAAAAAAATTCCATTTTTTTCAATTCAGTGGCACTTTAACAAGAGCGATCGATATTGCGTCTGATTCCTCCTGGTAACTTGTCAAAGCATGTGGTGCATTAATTTCATTGTCAGACACCTTTGCCCAATGGCTCTTTCACAAAATAATATTGCTATCCTTATAAGGCGTTTCGATGTATGTATGTAAGTATGTATGTATGTATAATGAAAATTTTAAAAGGATATGTACATCTAAATAAGAAAGAACTGCTATCAACATGTGTCCTTTTAGTCCTAATAAAGAGGAACATGATTGCATGCATAAATAAATAAATAAATAAGTAGAGATATTCTTACAATTTAATCAAAACCTTTTAAAATGTCTTAAAAATGAAATTAAAATTTACTTTAATCTATAAAATTTTTATCTACTTAGAATGCTGTAAAAATACTATAAAAACAATTTAATTAGAGAATGAATCTACTTTGTTCTCAAAATCACTGGTGTTTTCTCTGATATCTTTAGCAAGTTAGTTGTACAACTTGACGCCATTAAAAAAGAAGCCATTCTAAGCAAACTCCAGTTAAACTTTTGGAATTTGCAAAAGGATATTTCTCTTCTTTGTCCTCGTATTGTGGTGGTTGATTGTAAAATGATCTTGAAAGTTTGAACATACATTTCCGTTTAGACACTTGATCACCAGTAAGATAGCATGCTTATCGATTTCTTGTTTCAAGTTGCATGTCTTTGACTTAAATTTAAAGGAGGCTCGTGCCTCTATCAGTCTATCAATTTTAATTTCTTAAGCTGGGTTCTTGTGAGGTTCAAGTGAACGGTGCAATTGTAAATTAGAGCTGGAATGATGGCGCTAGTACAAACGGCATTTGCAGCTTGATTGGTCATAAATGGCTTCAGCTTGCACAAAAGGCCAAATTTTGACGACGCTTTCTTGTACTTATTCTACCAAGATATTTATATGACTGAGTAGAGTTTATCATTGCAAAACAGGTTTCGGTCTCTCGAATCGGGTGCAGCAGTTGCTATGCGTTTTGAAGTGCCAAGCAACATGCACTCTGTCTTAACCTACTTCAGGTTAATAACAGTGGACTGTATTTCTTTACGCAACCCTGCTTTCTGTAAAGCTGTAGGGTATTTTTCATAGCATTCCTTGTGCTTTGAATTCTATTTAAATTAGATAGGTATTTGCAAAAGCAACATTTATCTCTGTATCATTTCTCGTAACATTAGCAGCTTCTGTCACAATCTACTATTTGACAGTTGCTTTTTATGATTAACGTGTGAACTATTTTTTTGTGTGAACTACAAATTTACCTGATTAAAAAGTTATTGCCTGAAATTTTTTAGCTGCTGTCACAAACCTTTGCAATATATTTTGTCAATGTAACACTGTGTGATAATAAAGGAATTTCCTAATAGTTTTGTCAAATCTGCATATCGGGACGGGCAAAGGATATAGTTACTCCCTGAGGCGGCACCAGGGGTGAAAATGCAAATTTTTTTAGGGGGGTGTTCTTTGAAGGGACCGAGTTTTCGCCACGACAGACCGATGTTTGCGATATAGATATTGTCGGGGATAACAAATTTACCTGATTGAAATATAATTGCCTGAAATTGTATAGTTGTTGTCACGAACCTCTGCAATATATTTTGAGTGAATCTAACTCTGTATATAATTAGCAACTAGTTATTTTTATACGATATGAGCCGACTTTCCTAATAGTTTTGTCAAATCTCTATATCGGAACAGGTAAAGAATATAGTTACTACCCGAGGCGGCACCATGGTTGCCGCCGAAGAAGAAGGAAATTTTCGAATTTTGATGCTTCCAGTTCTCTGGAAAATGCACTTTTTAAGCAAATTTAACTAAAGCAATCCTCCTAACCCTATTGAAAATTTTTTCTTGCAAAAAAATTGAACAGCAGTTAGAAACATCTGGTATAATTTCGCTATGGTTTAGAAAAATACCATGTTGTCAGTTACTTAACAAGCCACGCTGGTTGTCAATTTAGATCACTCTTTCCAGCTTAGCATGCCTTTTGAATGTTAAAAAAAATCTGGATTTCATTGTGAATTGCAGTTCGAGAAACTTTGGGGGAAATGGAAATAAAGTACAATTTTATCTAAAGAGGGCCTGGATTTTTAGATTTAATGCCAACAAGAATATCATATTTAATTTAACCAACGGAGCAACTACCTTTGCTTGATCCTTTATTGATATAATGACAGGAAGGTCTCTGAAATACCTAAAGCATTTCTTCCACCGAGCGGATTTTACCTGAAATTTCCAATTGAGATACTATTGAGGGAATATGACTGCTGCTCTCGCATTCCCCTTAGAAATTTGCGCATCCAACGCCGCGCATATCACGGAAACAAGATAAAGCATGTTCATATGGCGAACAAGTTATTGTTGTCGGTGGCTGCTAGAGTTTTTTTTCCAAAGCAGCGTTGGTTGGGACCGGACTGGACCGATTCTGTCCCCTGTCATTTTTCGGTGATTAGCCCTTCCTAGAAAATGCGCCCACTATATGCCTTACTTTACTGCAATACAGTGTGGTACCAGCAAAATTGGGACCAGCTTTGGGTGTGATAGACAGAAATACTAAGCAGATGGCTAGATCGGGACCGACTTTATTGCTATCAACTTTCAACTGGGACAGGGTGATGAAATTATTGGGGGGGTGTGACACCCCCCCACACCCCCCTCATTTGCGCCCCTGGACGGCACCATGGTTGCCGGCAAAGGAGGAGGAAATTTTCGAATTTTGATGCTTCTAGTTCCCTTCTAAATGCATCTTTCACTAAAGCAATCCTCCTAATCCTATTGAAAATTATTTTTGTTTGCAAAAAAAATTTTACAGCAGATAAAAGCAACAATTTCGCCGTGGTCTTGGAAAATACCAGGTTGTCAGTTGCTTCTAAATTTAGATCCCTCTCTTCACCTTACTATGCCTTTTGAATGTTAAGAAAAATCTGGAGCTCATAGTGAATTGCAGTTGACGCTTCTACTGAGAAACTTTAGGAGAAATGGAGGCAAGGCACAATTTTACCTAAAGAGGGCCTGGATTTTTAGATTTATCGCCAACAAGCAATCTTCAAATCTTCAAATCATTAGTTTGTTTACCTTTATTCATATCAAGGAATATCATATTTAACCAACGGAGCAACTACCTTTGCTTGATCCTTTATTTTATGACATGAAGGTCTCTGAAATATCTAAAGCGTTTCTTCCACCGAGCGGATTTTACCTGAAATTTCGCCCCTGAAATCGTCGTGGCGCCCCTGAGTGTTGCACAGGTTTGTCAAACGAGTAAAGGCGACCTGGGGCGGATTCAGGGTGTCGCACAGGTCGCAAGGAAGACCGTCAGATTTTTTAAAATTTACTTTTAGACTTCAGTCGTTGAAATAAGGCAATCATGTTTGCCACAATCTTTTATTTTCCCATGCAATAATTTCCGCTATACAACAATTTCAGATCCATTTTCGGAACAAAAACATAAGTTTGAGGTAATCCTTGAAGTAAATTAACCCATAGGTCTCAGAAACTTTTTCACCTGATTCTCATTCTTCAAAAGGGGCGCAAAATTTCCAAAAAGGGACGCAAGACTTGCTTCAACTCGTTGAGGGAGGGGCAACTGCCCCTAGTTGCCCCCCCTTAAATCCGCCACTGGTTGCAGTAATAGAGCCTATGTTGAAGCCCCAACTCTACAGCGTGTTTTATGATGCGCTACGCATTGGTTTGAAGAATGGTTCTGGGCATAAGCGTACGGCGGAATTTTTACAGGGGGGGGGGGGGGCGGTAGGATTTTTGCCTGAGTACAGAGGCATGCATATATTCATGAGCCTGTTGGTGATAAGGAACTTGACATAGGAATATTTACATTACGAGTTCTTTTTCACCGAAATATCTTAAATAAAAATAATCAGTTGAGAGTAGAGCAAACCAATCAGAGACATATTTGGGGGGACATGCTATCCTTATCGATTCTTCTATACTATGTCTACTGTTCAGATCTAAAAGTTTGATCTAAGTTTCTCATAGATAAGGGCAGCAATGTATAATATTTTCCAATATTTTACTTAATATCACTTAAAATACTATTATTAACTCTTGAATTCGACTACAGTCAATAGAAATGTGAGTCCCGACCCTTTCCATGTCCAAATGTATCAATCATCGCATTCCTGTCACTTTTCAAAACTTCGTTTGAAAATTTCCTCTCGATGCTAAGTAGTGCCAAATTGCTCAGCCGTTCTTGGCCCATGGTTTATCTGAGATATGTTTTAGCCGTCAAAGCTTAGCAATACACTCCTTTTTTATCAGAACAATTTTATAAGAACACGAGCCTCAAAACTGGTCAAAAGTTAAGAACAAATTAAGAACAAGCTGAGGCTGAGCTTCTGCAAAATGCAATTTCGAACAATGTTTTTTCTCAAAATCGAGGATTTTTAGCGATGTGTGGGTGCTTTTTCGGTGAACATTCAATTTGTCAGCAAATTAAGGCTGTCTCACTCACTTTGTTGGCAAATGAACACCTCCTTAGAGCGAAAAAGCTAGCAATAGCACTGCTTACACCCTCTTAATTTAAGAACAAGTTTAGAACAATCCAGCCTCAGATTTTCGAAAAAATTAAGAACAGTCAGCCTGAACTTAAATTTACTGGTTCTTATAAAAAATAGAGTGTATTGCTTCATACAGGAATGGCAGTACTTGATGCAAACCTTCTCGAAACATTTTCTGGACAAGCATTGCTGTATTATTATCATAAGATTCAGAAGCGCTTTGCTTCTTGTAATTTTCAAAAACCATCTTACCATTTTTAAGGCACTCTTGGTCGATTCGATAATGCAACTATATTGACACGTAGCTTTCAGTCTTTGGGTTATTTGAAGATACCACGAATGTTCAACCAAATTGCCTAAAGTAAGTCCCATCACTTTCCAGTGTCATTTCTGCCCAACTATTTGCGGATAATTTTTGAAAATTTGCCCGACTGACATGGTTTTTCGAAAAACTGGGGGCTACCGCCCCCCAGCCCCCCCGGCCCGTACACTTATGGTTCTGGGACTTAAAAACCTCTACGACCACTGATAAAAAAGCTACAAGAAAGAAACCAACACATCTTTCAAGCCTGTCCCATGGTTCATGAAATTTACAGGGTCATAGAGGACTTTTACATGGAACGAGGAATTGTAGAGGAACTTTTGCGGACTGGTATTAGCAAGCAGTGGAGATGGCACAATAAGTTGATGTTCAGCTGTTCCATTCCTTGTCGGCATCACAACCAATGGCGGCGCCAGCCACTACGCTCTGGGGGGGGGGGGACAAAACAAAATATTTTGGACCACGCCTCTTTTAGCACCAGAAAACCCCCTTTTACTAACAAGGAATGCAATTTTTACCTGAAGGGAACGCCCATTACTTACTTTTGGCTATGTAAAGACAGTTTGAAAATCATAGGATTACATCACAAAAGGTACGCTGCCAAAATATTACTCCTCCCCCAACATTTTCGCATCGGATTTAGACGAAATGCAAAATTGATCCTGCCGAGAACTGGGGGCTGGGCCCCTATCATGACTCTACCCTTGACCATGAGGGAGGCCCCCTAGACCGATTGTTAGGTAGCGTTTATGTGCGACTGTCAACTTTTATTCTGTATCCGCCCTTGAGGAGGACCGTGTTGTAAACAACATGATGATAAAAAATAAAACCCCTTTAGTGAATATATTAGGCGTCTCTTTAAACATTGTAAAAAATATATTTTTAAAAAGTAAAAAGATTGAACTTTTTATCGGACAGTCTCGCATCTTTGAAACCTTTGTGAGACTTGCTAGAAGTTTGTCAAAAAGTTTTGTAACAAGTTCTTTCAATCGCAATATGATAATTTCAAAAAAACACTTGCAAGATCATTAATGGTCATTTTTGATCATTAATGGCCTTGTGTTTGGTGGAAAGTGACATATTTTAAGCCATTTTAAAATGCTTACTCTTTAACTGCTGCAGAGGCACTTGAATATTTTCGTAAAAATGTACCAACAATATTTTTTATGAATGTGCTCGCGGTAGATCCCTGCCCAAAATTTAGCAAAGTCCCCCCCCCCCCCCCCTCCCCGTGCCTCTCGACACACCAGGCGCAGATTTCCAACGTGACAAAGTCCAGGCCTCTATTCAGTGCAATTGAATCAGAAAGAGGGTAATCGTTGTTAGACTGCTCAAAGGAGGTGTCGATGACAACTGAGGATCGATGCACAGTGATCGGTAGAAGAATATCCTTGGAAATATGGATCAAAACGCGGAATATGTTGATTGTCCCTACCCTGAAAAGAGTTCTGTTTCATTACGTCCAAACAGTCTTGATCTTCGAAGTAGAGAGAACGCACTTTCTAGCGATGAAGCGGAGACAAGGCACAGTTGGCCGTCGGGCTGCAAAGACCCAGCAGCAGCCAAGTTAAAAAGACAATGCAGGGTTGAAAACAAACCAGATTTGAAGCTCAAACTCGAAAGCAAAGAAAGAATGAGACAGGAGACGAAACTTGTGATTCTAGAATTCCTTAGCAGTCTACCACCAGAACCAGAAAGAATTAATGCAAGATATCGGAGAGAAAACAGAGGACCAACAAATGTCTCCAAAGCGAAGACAATTCACTCGAGCGAACGACCGTTTCTCGATGTTATCGAGAAGAGGAAAAGACTTCCTGTTATTCGTCGTAACAGTGAGGAATATGACCAGAAAGTGAGGGAAAAACTTGCGAAGATGGCTAAACCTTTAAGAAAGAGGCTCACTCCTGAAGTTCGTAGTGATATAGAAAGCTTTGACAAAGCAAAGCTGAAAAAGGAAACCAATGGTCGAAAAACAATGCGAGATTTACCCCATTTAAGGTATTTAGTTTGCAACCTTTGAGAAAATTCTGCAACCAGCAAACACCGTTTTATTGCCTGACTTCTTTCATACAAAGTTCTTCTATTAATTAGGGCAATATAATTTATGGTAAATTACACAGTGTCAACATATGCTATCACGTTTTGTTGTCAATTTATTTTTTATCGATTTCTGAAAAAATTGTTTACTAATATGTTGAAAATTCACCTCCATAGATTTGCTGCACAGGCATCAGCCAAGCTTCTTGATTCACCAATTACCACAGTGACAACAAGACTGGATGAGATGGGTCAGGACATTATGAAGGACTATCCCCAGCTACTTGATGAGCATCTGTCAGAACTATTAACACCACTGGAAATAGAAAATAAATTAACATATGAGGAATTTTCTGTGGTAGCAAAAACAGTATTTGAAAAACAGCTAGCTAGATTTACTGGGTCAATATGGACCAAAGTAGCCATGGTGTTTTATCTTGTAAAGGAGGTTTTGTATTCTGGAAATTTAACTGATATTCAAGTTGAATTACTTGTTGATTATGCAACTAGGTTCATTACAGAAACTTCATCAGAAAAAATAAAAAAGGAAGGCGGATGGGTGAGTTTGAGTTTCATAGTTTTCAAACTTGTTGATGTAATTTACGTGGTTGCACTTTCCTTTAGTTATTAATCCTTTTTTATGCCTATTCTGGAGAGCATAACCTGCAGTAGGGCTTCTCGGCAATTATCTTGTTCATTATCTATTTTTTCCATTCCTGAAGATGGAATGCCAATAACTCACAAACATCCATTAGCTTTAACTACTTTGCCTTTCTGTTAAGCTATCCCTAATATGTTCCAGCCCAGGCCTTGCACAGGGAGATGCTTGAGCTTGGGCACCTAGAAAATTATAGATGAAACTTGATTGATCAAGCACCTAGCATGGTTTAACATTCTTTAAACTGAATTGCAAACATACTTGAATGACAAAGCTTCAAATAGGCAAATGTTAATAAGCTAGACCTAATTCATTTTAGTTTAATTCATTTTATCATATGACATAATTAATTGTATCTGGGTAATACTGTATATTGCGACACATTTCTTAGTTTTTGGGAAATCCTTTGAGAAGCAAAGTATCTTCAGAATAACTGGGTACAAGATTTGCTTTTGCCTGTAACAGACAGTAAAAATTTTTCAAATGTACTACAATTTCTCATCAAGATAAATTCTTGTAGGAAATTACTTAGCAAACCTATCTGGGTAGGTTCCAGGACTGAAATAGGGGCAGTGCTAAAAGTTCCCACAAAGATCCAGACTTGTTCATTTTGACAAAACCATAAAAAGATACTCTTTAGCTTTAAACAACCACTCGGTTATTTGAAATTCATGACCCAAAGATTTCTTTGTTTAGTAAAAGTTTCATATTTCGTTTTTCACATAAGTTTTTTGCCATTACTCCAGGCCACTCTGTTTTGGTCAAAATGATAATGTAGGTGTTCCATTACCCAGTTTTCCATACGTTTTCATATCCTTTGTTCGAGCTACATTTGAAAATGAGAATAAATGACTCCATTTCCGAATGCCTCACTGTTCCCAATAAAATGATATGTTTTCAAATGATCCAGTTTTCAAATTGCTCCAATTTAAACAGCATTTTCGAATTATTCTGGTTTGATTCTGAATGACTCCCTTATTTAGCATATTAACTGAATGCAAAATCAAAAACAAATTCATATGAATCCGTTTTCATACAAAGATGGAGTAATTGCACTAGGGCCTAAAAAACTTGTTCCTTTTTGTTGAATTATTTTGTTTTCAAGAAACTTCTTCTAAAATTCTGTAAAAATTATTTGGTTTTATGAAAACCTTATATGCATTTTTCAAAAGGTGATACACCCCTTTAAATACGTATATGACATTTAAAAGGCTATCAGGTCTTTATAAAGTCATAAGGTCTCCATTTTATGCAATAACCAATGCAACAATTGCCATTTTATGCAATTACCACCACTGTATGTGGCTGACCCCATAAGGTGTAAAAGTGTGGCTTCAGGGAAACTGCTCATGTTACAGGGTTTTTCATATCAAATACAATCTTGTATTTCTTCTTTAGGTTGCACTGAAAGAGAATGATGGATTTATTGACCAGAACATATTAATGCATGATATTTACAATCCTCTTGGGGCAAAGGATGGTCAAGATGCCCAAGATGGTCCATCTTCATTGGTTGAGGAAGAGCCTGACACTGAAGAAGAGGAAACATATATTGGAATGTTAACAAACACTGTTAAGAGCTGGACTACTTATAGTGCAGCCGCCATGGCAGTTGGGATTGGTTTTGCATATGCATACCTAAAGCAACAATGAAATAACAGAGCTTGTTATATTCCAAAGATCTTCATTGTGCATTCCAAAGATTTCAGCTTCTGCCAGCGTTAAATTATATCCCACTATCAATGTTCTCTGTAATGAACAGTCCCAAAACATCATTTGGAACTCCACAATTGGTCTTCTGATTCGGTGCTAGAAAGATTCATTGACCTAGCAGATATGTCAAATTAAGTTAAAAACTTTCACTCCAGTGGATTCCCAAGTTATTCAGAGATTTTTGAGTCAACAGATTGAACAAATTCAAAAAAACTGCACTGTCTGCCACATGATATCAACCACATGCTCTTGAGCTTATCATCATTCATTTCTCTGAGAAATTCAAATCTTTTTTCATGATACCTTCTTTAGCAGCTTGATACGTATTACGTAGTCGACCAATACATTCCTTCATTTCCTTTTAGTAAAGATGTAAGATAGTATTTTAACTTAAGTCAAAATAGGAACTATTGAATATATTACTGATATGAGCAGGGGCGGATGCAGAAAGAAATCTGACATTCGCAAAGTTTCGACCACGCCTATATGACCACGCCCAAAAAAATCAGTCACATTTTACTATAGTCTCAGAATCGAAGTTTTCCACTTAAAGATGTATTTTTCCTTATATTAAGTTTTAGGATTAGGAAACAGAAAATGTTGAGGCTCAAAGGTTGAGAAATTTAAGGATAAATATTAAGAATAACAGCCAGGTCTGGATTTCATTGACAATTTGGCATTTTACTTATTGAGTGAACAAGAAAAGAGATCTCTGGAAAAATTTTGAGAAACACTCATCAAGTTTTTGTTGTGTTGGCATGTTTTGTTTCCTACATGGCTTTTGTGATGGAAAAACAGCAGCAAAGATTTGAAATGTCCTCTTAATAATGATTTAATGGCAAGTCTAGGCACAGAACCACAAATTGTCAAGAACAAAGAGGATGAGCTAAAATAAGGGTATATTAGATGTGTGTATCACCCCTTCTCAGGGAGAAAAACTCATGAAAAACATTTTATGTCACTCACTTAAAAAACAGCCATTTAAAGAAAGGAATCTTAGTTCTATTTATACAATGATATTATTTAACAATCAAATACTGTGTTTAGTGTAGAAATTTTCAATGCAATATCCACCCAAATGTTTGACTTCAACACCAAGTACCTTAGGGGCTCAGAGCTTTTCTGTTATTTATTTTGTGCATTCACCTTTCTATCTAAACTGCTGTGTGATGTGCCTTAAACATGGCCAAAAATACCAGTTAGGTCAATACACATCATACAATTTTAGTATTTTCAGGTGTTGGTAAAACAGCAAATGTAACAGAATTTAAAACAATTCATTGTCTTTCAATAACAAGAACATCATAAATATATATTATATACAAATTTTAAAGGTACATCAAACAAAGTCAGTAATGGCAAAGAAATAAGACAAACATGGTAACTTTTACTATATGGATTTATATGAGATATTTACTTGGCAGAACCAATTTGCTGTGAATTTCTTATTAATAATGTAGTAATTCCCCCATTAGGATCATTCCATTGATTGCACTTATTTACTACCCATATTTACATTTATTTACACACACAATTATATAGAAAAGAAAACTGTCAGTCACTTGCAAATTCATAAACAAAAATTAATGAATCTTAAGGGTATTTCAGAACCAAAAGTTTCAGATGGTATACTCTTATAGTGTGGAAACCACAAATAATTTTACTAGTTTTAGAGGTTAAACTCGTGAAAAGGGTTACCATATTTATGGCTGACTTGAACCCTAAAAGTTCTGATTGAAAGCCTGCATAAAAATGGCTATTTACCTTAAAATGCAACACGTATTTTTCAAAATATTATTTGAGTCTGAATCTCTGTCTAAATAACGTCCTCCATCATGAAAATGAAAACATAGGCAAAATTTTGGTTCAACAATTTTAGGTCCAACTGAACTGTCCTCGCATATTGCCATCTATCAAATTCCATCCATCAACCAAAATCTTCGACAAACTTTGAACATCTTCATAAGAAATCCGCTGATTCAAATTAAAAATCATCTTATATTTGACTCCTTTCACTCCCTCTGAAGTACAATTGCTTCTCTTCTGCAAGCAAATATCTCCACAGCTTTCCAACAACAATCATGGCGGTTGATGTGGAAGCGAGGTTTCAATCTGCTCTCTTTCCAAGGTTCTCTCCCTCAACTGGCTACCGAACATAGTTCGCATCTACCTTCGCCACATTCGCAAAAAAATTTCCCATATACATTTCCTATTGGTTTTCAGATGGCTAAATAACATAGCTTGACTGACATTCGCACAAATTTTTGGCATACATTTTTCAGTACTACTTCATTTGCGCACGCATGCCTAATATATTATAATTCCATTCGACATTCGCATCAAACCTTATTGGTGCTCTCTGAATTTATGCGTAAAAGGGGGAGCCCTCTTTCGAATAAATCATCTCTAAATCACGAAAACGAGGGAATAAAACCTAAAAAGTAAACAACAAGGTGACATCATAGCAACTAGGGCAGGAAACAAAACTTTTATTTCTTGTATTCTGTGGACCTTTTTTTTATTATCTGGCCATTTCTAGTACAATATTCACAATGCTAAAATGTATTAACAGACAATTACAAAAAGACATGTGGAAATCTGACATTCGCCAGTGCGAATGTTGCGAATGTCTGGATCCGCCCCTGGATATGAGGATGCAGCATCATGACTGACTTTGTGATGCCTCTGCCATGTTTTCTTTTACAAGTTAAAAAATTAACTTTATATTGCAAAATACTTATCTGTGATGCAGCAGAAGCATAATGCCTAGATCTGCTAACAAATTGATACATTTATTTGCCTTGTGATTCAAGGCAGTGCCCTACACATAGGGATGAAAATACCGTCAACTGAGGTTTACAGGATTTTAATATTCGCTCAAAGTGCTCTTTTCTGACAATACTGGTCCGGTTTCACCAGTTTCCACAACAGAGCAACTTTGAAATTGTAACTTCAAAGACAGTTTTATTAGCTATTCCATGTAAAGCATCCTTGGATGTTCTATTTATCTATCACAGTAAATGGTGGCACAAAGCCTCACCCATGATTGCCAACTTATTTTCTAAAACAAGAGACCATTGTATCTTGTTCTACAAGAGCGAAACGTTTTCATCCACGTCCCCAAGTCAGGCTCATTTAAAAAGGCCATGTGTGACACTGTGTTAGAATTTGAGAATATAATTACTGTTATAATTAAATGTAATTTCAATTGTGTAAAATATTGTGATTGATTGGAAATTCTGTGTTTTTATTAATAGAGTCTGTTTCTAAATCTGATAGTGCTATGTTTTTGTTCCATGTCTTTCTACCAAATCCCAGTACATTATTGCGTATTCACAGGGCACTAGTGATTTGTTCAATGTCTTAACACAACAAGAAACTTTAACAACTTAAAAAAAGGATTTTTCTGAAGAACGGCTATCCAAAAGATTTTTCTTCCATATACATTTAGAAAAAGTCTAAAGTTATTCGGCTGAATTAAAGTATGTTTCACATTTTCGAGAGTGCTCAGTTTATTTAAGACTATATTGGACCAGTAACACCTCCTTGTAACCATTAAAAAAAGTCAGATTAAACAGTCTTATTTCATTCTTATGCTACCTGAGCATAATTACAATGTGGATGCCGTTTTATCAAACTTTGCCTTTGCTGAAGATTACAATGTGGATGCCGTTTGATCAAACTTTGCCTTTGCCAAAGGTTACAATGTGGATGTCGTTTGACCCTGGGACCGAAACAGTAGTCTATTACATGGTGCTCTTTCGTAGCGAACCATTGGGTTTTGCTTCCAAATTAAAACTATGGATCATCCTTTCTTTAAGGATGGCCCCTTGCTACAATGGCTACGCATCTTTTTCTGCAATACCTCCAGCTGTGGTACTTCAGGGCCCCATCCTTCTAACATCAGACCACCATTCTGTGACTATAGGTATCATTAGATGTAAATAATCTACCAACTCTTATTGGTTCCGAAACAGTGATATTTGCAGATTACATAACAATCCTGTCACATGGGCCCTCTTTCATTAGTTTAACTTGTATCATACTAAGAGATACGGACAATGTTTGTTCATGCTCTTCTAAAACCACCGTGTTTCTCTTTTTACCAAGACAAAAGTATACATTGTAGTAAGCCACCGTAGCAAGCAAATTCGAAGATTTCACCGTTTAAATCCTCAACAATCTGGATACTGAATATGTTATCTCCTATAAATGTTGTCGTTTCACATTGGAGATCTAGTTTGGCTACACTTTACATATTAAGGGTATCTTGAAAAAAAGCTCTAGCTTTCACACAATTAGACGTGTGCATGAGATAAATTTTATCTTAAAGGTAATGTGTCCAGCTAAAGCAAGCGACTCTGCGGGGTTTTTTAGAAACAAGTGATTTTTCATGTCATCGCCCCATCGTTTTGTTTATTTTTACTGCTGCGAGGTGATCTTTTCATGTGAGCAGTTTTGCATCGCAAGAATACTAACCAATTGCAAACTGTTATTTTGATGGGTGGCTTGACAAGTTGGGTATACGCAGTCCTTTTATATGGACACATTACCTTTAATTGTCGTTTTTCTGTCAAGTCATTTAGACTACTGTTCTCCAGTCCTCGACAACCTCAGCTGCAGCCAAAAAAGTGTTGCGTATCTATCGTACGAAATGCTGTAAGTTTGGGTCCCAGGTTGAAAGGTTGCCTGTCTCTGCATTAAAGAAGATTTTAGATGCCCACAAGTACACACCTACATACATTATGATTAATCAATGTACTTTTGCCTGTTATTCGTCGTATTTAAGTTATAGTAATTTGAATTGGTCATACATTACGAAAACTGCCCACTGGTTTTTAGTGAGCAGTGCACCTTCAGAAGGCAGCTCACACAAAATTTATTTTGGCGCATAAGAAATATTGCAAGAAATTTTTCGAAGTAAATTTTTTAAAATTTACTTTTTAAAAACCAATTTAAATTTTTTTTATAAATCTCTCGCAAGTGGAGATATGAAGTTTATAATTTCATTAACTTTTGATATTTCATCAGCCTGGGAAATAACCAATTAACCAATGTCAGGATACCAACATTGCCTTTAGCTCGCTGTAAAGCATGCTTAAGAGGTTGTATCGCATGCATAAGAGGTTGTTGAAGTCTATTCGAACAAACCTTGCACAGAAGTTGGGCAGATACTGTTTTTGTAAAGTGAATACGCGAAAATGCCTCAAGCAGGCCCATTTTTAGTAGCTTTTGCTGCAGCTGCAATATTTGTTGGTATATCTATACATAAAATCGATGAAGGTGAGGCATGAATACAGAACTATTTATTTTCTTGTGGTAGGCCTAGTTCATCCGTACAATTGCAATGCTAATTATAGATATCAGTCCATGTTATTTGACTTAAACGTCGATGACAGATCATTTTCTTATATGTTTATAAGTTATATTAAAAACTTAATATTCTTTAGGGGGAGGGGGGTTGGGCTTTGACCCATATAATACATTCAGAAACTTAAGAAAGAGCACGCACCACAAGCAAAGGGTGAGTGCCTTCACTGAGTTAGGGTTTTTTCAGGTTTAGTTTTTACTGTAGCAGCGCCCATTTTACCAGAAAAATTCTTGGTCAGTGGTGGCTATGATAAGTGCCCTTTCAAAAGGTGTGCCAGCCTCAAGTTCTAAATACCTCTAATATTAGCTGAATATGGTTATCCCGCTAATATTAGCTGATTATGGTCAACAATCTAGAATTTTGATCCAAAAACTGCTTTTAGAAGGAAGTCAAAGCTTTATAAAGCTTAGTTTAATTGTTTCTCAAATAAATGAACAGTGAATAAATTATTTTTGTAAACCTGACCCGAAAAGTACTTATTTAAGCAGGAGGGCTTATTTAAATCTTGTTGCCAAATGGGGCTAAGATGAGTGGGGACTTAATTAATGTGGCAATAATTAGTAAATATAAGCAAAGAGCACACATTTCAAAACCACTCTAATGAACTTGCTGTTCAAGATTTGGAGGAATCATATGAATAGAACAAAATAGGGATCGTTTCAGCGCTCTGTATCTGCCGTTGCATAGCAGCATTAAAACCAATTTTATAGTTATATTTTAGGGGTCTTGGGTTGTGTTGGTACAAATGTTTTTGTAGGTCTTTGTTATTTGTAATATTTTAAGGTCAATCACTTAAAATGTTAAATATGCTATGGAGTAAGCAGCTCTTTTAAATACATTGTATATATAAAACTTTCAAATCATTCAATTTTAGGCCATGTTGGTGTCTATTATAGGGTATGTTTGAATTTTTTTCTTGATTGTAAGATTAAAATATGCAGTTATTCCCTACCTGGATCATTTTTTGTCCACATGCAAAGATTTGACATACAACAGACCTAACTTTTGTTGAACACTTGCTTCAATTTGCGTCACATTCATAGGTTATGCATCACATACTTTACTCAGATATTTTTTTGCATATTCTTTTAATTATTTGTAAATTTTTTATAAAAACTGAGCTTAGTTTTCAAAATGTCAAAACACTAAAAAATAGTGCTTTGAGTATTCAAACTTTAATAATCAACAGTTCATTTGTGTATCTTTTCTATTCTGGTTTAAAAGAGGCAGGTACAGTATGTGTTTTTGGTGTATGAATTCACCTGGTTACAAGGGATATTCTCCAAACTCTTTTAGCTGTTCGTGATTATCAAGTACTTTTTAGCTGTCAGACAATTTCTGTTCTACATACATGATTTTTATATAATGTATCATCCCCATCATTGTTAGACATTTTTGTTTTTGGTCAATTACAAGTTGGTTTAAATCAAATATTTCTATTCAGGGTGGTGCTCTGCTGAAAGGAACAAGTGGTCCAGGTTATCACATAATGATACCATTTATCACCTCCTATAAAACAGTACAGGTATTGTCTTTTAATTTCTTGTAAATTTATAAATTTATATATGCTATGGTATGTCAGGCCAAGAAATGTTTGCAAGGACAACAAATTGCATGTCTGGATCAGGTTTGAAATTGGTAGTCCTTCCAACAATATTTGTTAAACAAAGTCTTTCTGTCTACCTAACCTTTCATTTTGTGTGGTTACTGCCAATTTGTCACCAAAGTATTCGATGTTAAAATCAGTAATGTCAACAGTGAAGAAATTGTGCTTTTCATTAGAAACTTGACCTTTGATTCAGGAATCTCACAACTTTTCAGAACAGACAAAGAAAAAATCAAGCAAAATCGCAAAACCACCATCCTGAAGTTTTCATGTCTTTTTCAGAGTTTGAATTGCAATCAGAATCTCAAGAGTATGAAAAAGTCTCTCCCTCTTCCCAACTGATTGCATTATCTATGTTTCCATATTTTTGTTTGGAGCTTCAGGACGAATTTCTTACTTGGAGTATCTACAACTCGTTCACCATTTTTCTCAAATAAATATCAACAGGTCTTTCTATTGTAGCATTTCTATTTTGTTACTGTCCAGTTCTTGTGATTCCTGCGACTTTCAAAAGCACTCGGTTTCTAAAAAGTGTTAAACTGAAAGGTCTCGAGGTAAATCCTTGATGACACTGTTTTATGTGCCAAAATTTCCATAAAGGCTAATTGCTATGAGAAGGTGAGAATTAAATTATATTGACAACAAAAAAGTGACATTTGTCGCTAATTTTTTCTAAGTGCTCTTCCTTTCTGATGTGGGTGAGATATCTTTGCAAGGGGGGGGGGCAATATTTCACAAATTTAGTTTTTTATTTCTCCTTAGAGATTTCAAATGCTAATGCCCTTGCCAAATTATTGGCACATTATGCTATTTACCATTGTTACAAATGTCTTGTCTGCAAGAGGCAGGAAGATCATTTGAAGAAAAATCAGTCACTATAACTCATGGTGTTGCTGAATGCAAGGTCAAGTTGCTAAAGGAAACAACGCAAATAGCGTCCTCATTTACTTTACACCAAACAGTTTGTTTACAGATAGATGGCAATCACCTATATAGAGCACCAAATTTAAAAAAAAAAAAATTTAGGCACTACTGGGCAGACAAAACCCTAATAACCCCATCAGGCCCTAGTGGACTTGGGCAATCACCCATTTAACCCCATACTCATTTGCAATTTCTAGCTCTTGTGACAATTTCTTCATGTATTTAGGTATAGAAGCCCAATCTATAATGGCTGCATGATATTTTAGCTGTTTCCAAAAACAGCTTCGAAAAGGACAAAAAAAGAAAATACTTTTCCATTGTAATTTTAAATGGTACCAGATTATTTTAGAGTTATATATTACTGGTTTTCAAGAAAGACTTGTATTGCATCATCCTGTGAACTTTGGAAAGCAAAAAAACCTTTACCTTGACCAATGTCTTGAAAATTCATGCTTTCCTAGATTCATTCTTTTAGATATTTACAGAGCTTTGCCGATGAAACATAACTTTGGCTCTGGGTGCACTGAACAAGGTTTCAGGAAAAACTTCTGATGCAATTAACCTCTATTGTTCATAGACAAAAGGGATTAAGCTTGTTAGTAAACAAATGCTGATTTTCCAGTGCACCCACCCAAATTGCCACTGAACCAAATTCACTAATCCCTTAAAGGTTCCGTCATCCTGCCCCAGAGCAGGACAAACTCTGGAAAACAGAAATGGTCAGCAATTAATACATTATCTCTTGCCACACAAAACCCAAAGCCAAATCGTTCTTTGTTTTAAACCACTTTACATTAGCCAAAGAGCAAATAACCACTTCACACACAAACTGCAGTACGCTTGAATTTCCAAGCAGAAATCGGATTATCTTTGTCAAACTTGAAAAGGTATTCTTGATTTTACACATTAACAAAGATAATGAGTTAATTTATGTCAGAAACCAGTGTGCCCAGGGCCTTTGAACTTTTTCTTTAAGATGCTTATAGAATAATTATCTTTTTTCATTTAGACAACATTGCAAACAGATGAGATAAAAAATGTCCCTTGTGGAACAAGGTAACTGTGTTTACAACATAGGATCTTGTGCGGCTGTTCTTTGCTATTTTTTGCTCTGTATTATCATTTTCATGATCTTGTTTGACATTCAGAAAGACATGTTTCAAGAGATAATGAGTGACAAAAACAAACTATAATAATTTGTTGTTGATGTCTGGAGAATGTGGATACCACACCAATGGCAAATTGTCAATTTGTTTACAGTGTAATTATACCAGCCTGAAATGTTTGCATTTTATATTACTGCCTATTTTATAATTCATCATTATTTTAATTATTTTTGCTGGGATAGAATTGAAAAATCAGTTTATGAAATGGAACAATAAATGAAATCAGTAAATGCTTCTGAAAAAGTCATGTGATTTTGAAAATTGTAACCTGTCTAAGTATTGAAAGTAAAGGACCACTTTTGCTGAAGAGTCCAGGGTGCACCAAAACATGTAGTGACAACAGTATTTGAGTAGTATTTAAAAATCATAGGGCAAGCATGGTTTTCTTTTCATTTTGAGTTTTTAGAAACTGGTACATATCAAAATATATAATTCAAACTAGTGTAGATAGAAGAGTTCCTTTTCTCAAGAATTATGGAAAGGCATAATTCTTCCTCTCATGCTACTTCCAAGCTTGCAAATATAAATATATGCATACCTTGAAACATGACCAGAGTTTTTGTTATAGAAAAACCTATAAAATATAAGATGTCATATGAAATTTACTCATTTCTGCTTTTTGTGCTATTTACTAATATGCCATGATATTTACTAAATGTTTTCCTTTATTTCCAGTGGCGGTGTGGTGATCTACTTTGATAGAATAGAAGTGGTGAACCAACTTCAGGCAGAATATGGTATAAACGAATGTTAAATTTATTTTCTGAAGAAGCATCCACAATACTCCAGATCTATATATTAAAAAATGGCTTTGAAGAAAGCAAACATTTTACAGCATATTGAAAGCTTTTTCGTCTGACATTCCTCAGAGTATAAAACATCAGAATAGGGTTCCAAAAGAACAAGATGAAAAGTATATACCCTGTTTTGAATCAAAATAGGCCAATAAGATAAATGTGAGCACATGACTGGTTTACTTGTCCAATCAGTATTGCATGCCTATAGCAAAATCACCACTGGAATCCAAGAGAAAAACAAACTTCCTTCTGTCTACAATTACACAATAGTACCTTTTTTGTTTGTATGTAAATCAATTCCAAAACTGCTAGATGAAAAGATGACCAGCCCCTGCCAATTATCTGATGCATGTCTAAAATGATGACAAGATTTGCAGTCAGCTTACTTACATGCAAATGCAAGCAAGATGAATTTCAAACTTTTCATTTCTGAAATGGAAAAATGATACCTTAAACACTATAACAGGGATGTGCTACTAGTTCATTGGCAAAAGTCACAGAAATAATGGTATCACAATGCCTGCACCCAAAAATTTTCATAAATTTCTGAGAATTCAAAGGGAAAGAGAAGAAAATGGATAAATTACAATTGCATTTTTTTAAAATATTAACTTAAAAGAAGTTTCTCCAAGATTTAACCAGAAAAACTTATCCAAATAAAATTTCATTTTTATTTTTTAAGAATGATCATCAGTTTGCAGTTTGATGGTTCTGTTCATTGTGTGAATTCCCAATACCTGTTTTCTTGATACCTTAATGAGTTCCCTAAAAGTGCTAAAATTTACATTTTGAAATTATGATGTCCTGTATTAGGCTAAATAGAGACTTTAAATATAGGATTAGGAGTCCCCCCAATATAGGGTAATAGATTTTCCATAATATGTGGTCCATGTGAGCTTTGACGTGTGTTCTCGATATAAACAGGAAATCAGAAACCAATTCGAGATTACACAAGCAAAAATAAACACAAGAAGCTATTAGTGTGAACGCAGCCTAAGTTAATGATCAGGTCTACTTAGATTTCAAATGTGTAGATGGACAGTTTCTGTAGCAGAGCACTTTCTCTCGGAAAAAGGGTACTTTCCCAAATGTTCTCTAAAGTGCTAAATAGACCCCTATTTTGCTAAATTAAGACTTTTAGTTTGTTGTAGTTTATTAGGTTTGTTAATAGCACAAAATCATGACAGCAAAGCAGTACAAACTTTGCAGTGGGAAACAAGAAAATATGTATTTTGCTTATTTTTAACAATCAATATATTTCATCAGATTGAATAGGAACAGCTTTGAAAATATGATATTTGTTTAAGTGCTTTAACTCTCTACTCTAGTTTGGTTAGGTCAGTTTTTCAATCTGTAAATTTTTGATTTTGTAATTCTTATTGAGTTAATTTGAAAAATTTGTGACATGATTTTGATAATTGTTGTTTTATTTTGAAATTTGATCAAATCGAATAAATCAAATTCACCAAACATTCCTTTCTTTTTTAGTCCACTTGACTGTGAAAAATTATACTGCAGACTATGATAAAACATTGATTTTCAACAAAATTCATCATGAACTGAATCAGGTATGTCAAGGTATTACTATTGCTATTCAAGATGTAGTGGGTGCTGTAAAATATTAAAATGTGAATATGCCATCAATACTCTGAATTTATTCATACATTCAATTTTGCTTAAATATGTGTTTGTTTAGCGCTTATAACGGAAATACATTGGTCACAAGAATCGAGTAATAAAGTTGATTGACTTTTTTTCGAGTCACCTTAAGATTTACTTCCCTGCATTTTTGTCACAATCGTCTACAAATCTGCCTTTTCTGTGAGATATCTTTTGCTCAAGTATGTTTGTTAGGCGAAACGAAATTTTTGTCAAAATATGTATTTATTTAGCGCTTATAAACGGAAATTCATGATTTTGCCATTTTCAAGGTACGTGGTTCAGATAATCGAGGAAGCATGGAAACGTTGTCAAAGAGAAAATAGATAGCCATATCGTTTTTTTCATCTTTCTCGCAAAACCGTAAGATTAAGGTCCACTTATAAACGCAGTTTGCCTATATTCGGATGTAAGCGCATGCGCCTATAAGCACGGTAATAGGGTATTGATTTTTTCTAAACTAATTGTAGGCTGTTGTGGTTTATTTACAATCAAGTTTTCACAAAGAAAAATTAAGTTACATGCTCAATTTTCAACTTGTTACTTGTTCATAGAATTAAACACTTTACAAATGCGCAGCTGGAGAATTTTTCGCTAGACATTTTAAAAGAAAGTCCGTACTTTTTAAGATTGCTTTTTTAGATTTCTTGATCCCCATCGTGTTTTTTTAGTTCTGCAGTGTTCACACGCTTCAAGAAGTCTACATTGACCTTTTTGGTAAGTGTTGTATCTTTTTTGATTAATTCAACCTTACTTTTCTTACTATGTACAAACCTCGTATGCGAGAAAATAAGTGACCAATCAAGTTTGCCATGTGATATCTTAAAATGTTTTTTTCTAGATGTGCATGTATTGAAGGGCCGGTCTTATTTTGCCATCTTTTTAATTGTTGCGACTGTGTATTTTTTATTCTCTAAAATTTGAATTATATTTTACAATAACTGTATTCCCTGTTTATAAACGTATATTTTTTCAAAAGTTACGATAATGCCATTGTAGATCAAATTGATGAAAACCTGAAGATAGCACTGCAGAGAGATTTGGTTACAATGTCACCAGGGCTACAAGTTCAGGTATACAGTATAATCCGGTTATAACGTACTTTAAGGGACCAGTGTATTAAGTATGTTATATCTGAAGTACGTTGTAACGAGGGTAAGTAAAAATTGACTAAAACCAAGCACACCTTTTGCCTGGACCAAGCACACCAGTACGTTATATCCGAAAGTACGTAATAACCGAGTACGTTATAACGGGATTCTACTGTACTTTTATGAAACTGAGAAAGAAATTTTCAAATATGTAGTTGACCGGAACCCTAGCCTGTAAATACTTGTTGTAAGTAGCATTATTTGAGTTGGGGTTGTGCAGCTCAGAATCCCATATTGCGTATTGTACTTATCAGTATATCAATCAAAGGTTTTTGCCTAGCCAGAGGTTTTTGCCTACCTAGCAGACTTTATTAAAAGTAAAGTCAGAAAGTCTGGGAAACGGTAATTGTATTCATCATGCTAGAAGTATTTTGCAAGATTAGGGTGGTCCTATTCAAAAGTCTTTGGTTTTATTGCACTTTAGACGTCATTACATAATTTCTAGGAGCGGATCATAATGATCTAACTTCTGTTGAATGCCTTAGGGATGTCATAATTTTAGTCGTGCTATGGTAATACCGGTGATGCAAGAAAAGGACTTTAGTTCTACCTCTTTTTATTCCTGAAATCTCTCGAATTCAATGTTTTGACTAAACTTGTTTCAAAGAAGTCTCAATTTACCTTTGTTAGCCAGTCGTATTTCATAAGTATTAACGGATATAAAATTTAATTATCATGAAAGTTACTGGTTACTGGTCTTTCACAAAGTGTTCGATGCCGTATCATCAGTGATGTACATTTGCCTGATAATGGGATTAAGCATACAACTCGAACTTTCAACTTGAAACCGACCTGTTCTATACACCAGATAGGGTTATTAGTTATTATAAGGTTTTTCAAAGACATTACAGACTCCAACCCTTTGTCATATGTCTCGGACCCCATCAAAGATTTTCCTGAGGTAGTGAAACCTTCAGAGGAATAATCGCCACTAAGTATATTGGTTTCCAACAAAATTATCGTTATAGACAATTCTAGGCAACCTAAAACCAAACAAATATACTTGCTGTTTCAGTGAGAGAAATCGTTTATAGAAATATAAGTGACAATATTGCATTAACATCTTAATTATAAAACAATATAAGCCGGAATTCTGTAAATTTAAACTTATTAATCAGTACATACCTAGACAATTCTTAGAAAATTTGAAAGGAACTGTGAAAATTGCATTGTTTTCTGAATCGATTTCAGCAAATACGTCTTCATGAGTACCAAGATTGCCAATAGGCTTTTTTCGTTCAGATTTTTCTTTCAGTCTTCTCTTCAGATTTTATACACAAATGAAACTTTACCTCGATCTTGCAATTGATTTCACGAAGTTAAATTTGTAATGTTCTCATTATATTGCCATTTCAGAGTTTCTAGTCACAGTTTTCGATCAAATCACCCTTTTCATATATATTTTTTATTCACCTCCTGAAGGCAGTCCGTGTAACAAAGCCAAAAATTCCAGAAACGATCCGGAGAAATTACGAGCTCATGTAAGTATAAATTTTAAAAGATAAAAATGTATTTCATGTGCTCAAAGAAAAAATGCTTCATGTGCTCAAAAGTAACCCTCGGGGGGTAAACTAAGCCTAAATTTTGACGGGGACGTGCCATTTTGGTTAAAATTCTGGACCTATAATTCCGCAAACATGCTGAAAACTATACCCATAATTCTGCAGAGCAAATAAAATTTTTAAAGCACATAACAAATCATCAACCAGATTTTGCATTTCCTATGCCCCAAAATCTCAATATTACACATATTTCATACTTTTATTTCTAGGACATTCATTTTGTTAATGCTTAATCTCCCTCCTAATAATTTTACAATATTTCCCCAAAATGGTACCCATTATTCTGTGTTTCTTCAAATGGTACCCATAGTTCCGCACAAATTTCAAAAACTGATACCGATAATCCACACTTTTCAGAAAAAAGGTACCCCTAAATATTGGCAAGTCCTCGTACCTACATGTTAAGGTACCCCCCCCCCCCCCCCTGAGAAATAACCTTAAACGTGATGTCAAGCAGGACCATTTAATAACCTTGCCATTTTAAAGAAAAACCTCAGATAAAACTTAGCTTGCTATTATAATCAATAAGATATTTTGTTTTCTTATATATACGTGTAATGTTATTTCTTTTATTAGTTATTTTTAGCACGGCCCCCTGAATAGCAAATGTAACAGATTGAAGGGGCTACCGTGCCTAAATAATCAAGAATAAGATAACAATGAAATTAAATGAAAAATTTTCAATGGTTTTTGAATTGTTATAGACGAAGGTTCTTTAAGACTCGAGTTTTTTTTATAAAAATTCAGAAGAGTGATTGTGAAAAGTACTGGCAGAAAGTAACTTTAAATGTCTAAATACAACATTGCCTCAAAGGTCGCCTGCATGCACACTCTACTGTTATGGTCGGTCATATCATTAAGGCAGCCTCGATTGAACAAGGTCTGTTTGGACCCAAAAGGATTGATGATAAGGTTGCTTATAACATATCGGCAACTTTATAAAATTACATTGATATAATTAACTTTTCAGCCAGTTTTACTTCAACTTTCTTTCGAGAAAAATATTTTCCATTTTTATATTTTTCTTGTATTTTTATGCTGTTTGATTGTTTTTCTTGAAATATCTTTCAAATGTTGACGTTCTTTTCTTCATCTATATTTGAATATTCTTAGGGAAGGTGAAAAGACCAAACTGCTGATTACAAATCAACATCAAAAGGTTGTCGAGAAAGAGGCCGAAACGGAGCGGAAGAAAGCAATCATTGGTAATTAGTCTCTCAAAATATGAAAACCGAAAAATTTGAATATTGCACGGAAAAGCAGAAACTTAGCCTACTAAAGTTTTTTTTTTGTCCGAACTGCTCTGACTGTGAACGTCTTGTGTGTTGATTTTGGCTTGGTTTTAGATGTTATTCACCAGACAGAATCAACAGGAATATATAAGCGACCGTTTCCACAAGACTGTGCCATACCTCAGTTAATATGCTACAGATTCAACTAATTTTCATGTCTAGAGGTGTTTCGTGGCATTTTTTTTATAAATATCTTGTAAAAAGTCATAGCTTGACTAATATACTTTTCATGACATCAAACTTAAAGATGTGCATGATCTGGTGTTATGATACTAATGAGCTAACCAGCGGCGGACACTTGGGGGGGCGAGGGGGGGCGACCGCCCCCCAATACTTTAGAGAACAATGGTCTTTTGTTCTAAAACAATGGGAAATGTGACGTCATCTTATTAAAACAATAGGCTTGCCCCCCAATATTTGACCGCCACCGGAGCTAACCCTGAGTTTTTGCATTGGATCTACTTATTATTAATATCAAACTATATATTTGATTAATCTTTTAACATTCCATTTATTTATTTTTGCTTTAATAAAGAATTTTTCCCTTTATTAAATAGTCATTCATCGTTTTTTTATTTTTTTCTTTACTGTTTTTTATCATATACTCAAGCCTGAGATTTTTAGAATCCAACCAATTGAGTATTTACCCCCTGTTTTTGGCAGATTGTTTTAGCATCATATAGGCTGCGTATTGTCTATTTATTTGTTGCAAAGCCTCAATAAAGTTTTATTTGCAGAGGCCCAGAAAGTTGCAAGTGTTGCAGAGATCCAGTATAAACAGAAAATCATGGAGAAAGAAAGCCAACAGAAGATCTCTCAGATTGAAGGTATTGTGTTAGAAAAATCCACATTTGATATTGAATGCCAGGTTTTCGGACTTCCGTTAGTTATGAATAGATGAGATAAATAATTTTGTGGGCAATTCTTTTTTATTTTTGTTGTGTTTTTTACATAATTGTTTATTATTTCATTCCTTTCTATCTCTGTGTCAATAACTATTCTTTGTTTTTTGTAATGAAAAAGTTTTGAAACAAAATATTGAGTTTTTTCTTTTTTTTAGATCTAACTCATCTGGCAAAGGAAAAAGCTCTTGCTGACGCGCATTTTTATAAGACATCCAGAGAAACAGAAGCAAATAAGGTTCGTTGTTTGTACCTGGGTGGAATATGATTGCGTGTTGAGTCTTAAAAATGAAACTTGACAGATATTCTGATTTACAAAACGTCTTCTATCTGTCATTTTGCTTTTTGTAAGAGGTGAATTGGTTGCTTTCGCTGCTTCCATTTACAATCAATAACTAACTATTTATGGTCACGTCCTAGAGAATGACAGGAGATTTCTTTTCGGGAGTCAAAGCCATGTACAATTATGTCACAAAAAGCGAAAATACCCCTATTTGGTGGTCGGGTTGATCTTCATTTTTAGGAATTCACCAGCCATTTGTTTTGATATGACTCCTTATTGTTGGGTGTACAGGGTAAAAATAACAACATTCAAGACTAAATAACTTTGGAACTTTTTCCTGTAAATAAGAATTATCACCAGTATATCTTAATTTGATTTTGTTTGCAGCAGGTAAAGACACTTCGCTTTATCTCTGTCTGGGGTAAAAACATGTCATTGTTAATTTTTAGCCATAGTTTACGTCTTAGCTCTAAATTTTTTCTTTAACGATTTATAATCTCATTTTCAGCTCAAATTGACACCGGAGTTCCTAGAGTACGTTAGGATCCAGGCAATTGCATCGAATAACAAAATTTACTATGGTGATAAAATTCCAAATATGTTTATTGGTAACGATTTTAAGCCAAGAGAGAAGAAGATCACGGCCTAAAATTACGCAAGAACAGACAAGAGCACTAGATTGTTGAACATCCACGTCCAAAATGCGTAAAAATGATGTTTTATCAAAATAAGCAAGAAAGTTATTATTTGGAAATACTAGCCTTTTTATTGGCACCATACATTTACCATCGCTGTTTTTATTTTGAATGCAATTATTTTAACAAACGTTTGTCTTGCTTTTAGTTTGCACCATATATCAAGCCTTTTTGTTTTTTTCATACCTTCGTTTCTTCTTAAGATCCTACAACATGTTTAGTTGTATTCAGATCAACGTAGCAACAATAATCTTTGGTGATTTTCTTCATGTGTTAATCCAAGGAAATCCATTTATGGATTCTTTCATGGATTCAACATGATCAGCCTGTGAATGAGCTATAGGGTGGCCAACCCTTACCGCCTTTCCCTTACCCAAGCTTAATTTTGATCTAAGTCCTTTCTGATTTTCCAGTAAGGTCTTGATAAGAAATTACTGAACAGCAATTGGCCAATTGATATTCTAAATGTTTTGTTTATTCAAATACGATAAAAAATGAACCTAATTTTTGACGGATATTATTCCAATCGTTAAGAAAATTACAGTTCGGTCACACAGAGGTCTGTTGTCATAACATTGTCACTCTCAAGAATGGAAGCCCAGTGTTTACGGTCTCTTTGGTACTTAGCCATATGGCCCGTATCTACCATGCATTCAGTCGACCTATCAGTACGTAGAAGACCATCACTTATCGCGCGTGGTTTGTCTTTGTTTTCATTGGTGTCCTTAGTGACACGAACACGTGGCCTACCTCCTGGCACCCTTTCACTATGGCTCCTTGTAACCATTTTTGCTGGACGTGCGAACGAAGAATCTCTGCATAACCCCGGTTGATCACCATTTCCAATGTTATCATTCACTTTTTGGAAATCTGATGTGCTTCTACGATATCTGTTTTTGAGCCAGACAGCATGCTCATAGCTTGGTAAGCTATTGCCTATCAATTTCGAACAAAGTCTGTCCCGCAATTGAAACCTGTCTTCAGTATGGTGCACATTAAGGGCTTCTGGTGTTGAACTCAATAGGCCCTTTTCGCATTCGTTTCTTGTGCATTGATTTGGCATTACAATATTCGCAAATGATTCCGCACCAAGTGTTTTACTTCTGTTGATGCCTCGTCTTCGTCGTTCCCGATGAATACTTGCTTTTCCGTTGCAGGATTGCTTTTCTTCTTTAGAAACACCCAGATGGTCCCCTTTTGCATCGTCATTGACCATTGTTACTACATGCATTGTTTGGTCAACAGCATACGGTACCTTTAGTATCGGTTGCTCTTCCGGTTCTTCTGTGGCAGTTTTTGAGGATCGTTTGAAAATAAGAGACAAAGAACGCAGAAATCGACCACGTCTCCTGTTCGTCGATTTACCACCAACATCACTTTCTGGCGAGTTACTTAAATTTTGAATTGAGACAGTAGGATGCATAGATGCCAGTATACTGGCCTCTTTATGTCGGATGATCATTGTAAAAGAGTTAAAAAACATTTTCGTATCTGCTTTATTGTCAAATAGTAATCCAATATGGTCTCTAGAATCTGAACTTTTCTTTACAACGAGAAACCGTGCATCTTGTGCCAAGATCTGTGACTTTTCCGTTAGTTTCAGCATCCATAACATCCTTCCAGTTAATTTGTCATATAAATTCAATAGCCACTCACTTGTCTTGTGATCATACGCAAGAGAAGTCATTCCTTTGGCGAAAAGGAACCAGTTCGGTACGGCCATGTCTCCGTTGTCAATAACTGGTTTTGGTTGTGAAAGGTATAAACTGCACCAACAAGATGCTGTCGAAATCTTGGCCATATCTCCCAGTTGATTTTTTGTTTCTTGACTGGTGCTCGAATGCTCGTTCGCTTCTGACATCTTCTCTCGTAATTCTCACTATAACAAACATCCAATTGCGTCTCTCATGAAATCAAATCAATGTTATTTGTTAAAAGTAATAGATCCACCTTTTTGTTAGTAAATGATTCAAGCGACGTTGCTCCTGTCTTCAGAAAACATTAAAAGCACTTCTGAGGCCATCTTTGCTAAATTCTGTCCGGCAAGATTTTTATACGTTGATTTTCTCACTACAGAATTCTGAAAGTATTTTCTCTTGTTACAACATGCATTGATGAACGACAATATAAGCAATGTTTATTTCCTCTCTGTTCAAACGTAGAATGATACAATGTCTTCGGATAAGGATTTAGAATGATCCTAGTGAAACGTAGGTTTGTTATTGTCGACAAGAGACAACAGGATTTATCCGCTTGGCTGATTTACGCTGAATGGCAAAGACTAGTAGGCTAATTTCAATTTAAAGAAACGACCAACAAGCTGGCATTGCTTTCGTTTCATAACCGTTTCCCTTTTAACAATTCGATGCACTGTTGGGATTAAGGTTACTATTATTTTGATTTCTATAATACCCGGCATCACGACACTAGGCCCATTCTTGATCGCCTGTAATGATTCCACGTGACCCTTGTGATTTCACCAGATTGACTCATAGCCCCACAGATCTCGTATTCAAATCGTTCTTGCCTTGGGATGCCAAAACAACTGTTTTGAAGACAGGCACAACAGCCTCCATGAATTTCTTTTGATAGAAAAATTTGCCTTTTTAATCTTGGATAATAGAGCAATTTATTAACAGATTTCAATGTACCAGAAAGATATACAGACAATGTAAACCAGTTTTGACGTCCTGCGAAAAGTCATTCTCGTGAGATTACTGACGCAAAATATTTGTAAATCGGTTCTTGTTAAGATGGGCAGTTTCCATGGCAATATCCTTGAAAATCCGCATTCAGCAGGAGGAATACAATGATTTCGCCTTGTTAATTCTGTCTGAACTATAGATTAGATACGAATTCATAGATAAATTGTTAAGAGCTTTTAAAGTAATGGATGGAAAAACAGGGGAGACTTGTTTAAAGTCCATGCATCTGAAAAAGAAGTATTTTAACTGGCATTTTGTCTTTCATCTAGGGAACACATTAGGAGAGAAGTCACGCACATACCCCGAAGATTCTTGAAAATCATCATATTTTCGTACGTAGGCAACTCCATTCTGACACAAGGGAAGATGATTTCACAATTTCATCATAAAGGATACCCTGTCCAATAATTTTTATCGGAGGGGGATAAACAAATTTTTTATAAGAATATACAATCGCAAGAAACTGGACACGGCGCGTGATGTCCACGTGATCACTGATCATTTTGGGAAATAAACTGGACCTTTCGTGACTAGCTTGTGCGCAGACTCTAAACTGTTTACGCCCGCGTGTTTTTATGTCAAAATGGTGATTTCGACACGCGACTAAATTATTGATTTCGAGTCTCCTTTGTAGGCTGCGTGCAGACTTAACTTTTCATTGTGAATGTGTGCCAAGGCGGAACTCCGTGCGGAAGAATCCGTCTTCAAAATAAGATGAATAAAGAATATCGAGGCTCAGCAAAAAATTAGGTATTCTTAGAAGAAAGAGTGTACCCCAATCCCCCCTTCAGGTCAAGCATGAAAGTGTCCCCCCCCCTCCCGGGCATCATAACCCGAGACATTGTATTAGTGTTTTTTCGCGTGCTCAATAAGGCTATAGTCACCCTTAGAAAGGGATGGGGGCTAAAGGGCTACAAAAGAGAAGTGCAATCATTTCGAAGCTTGATAATTGAAATTATAAATAGCTAACTGTCATTAACAATCGTAGATTTCATCTTAGACCTTCATTAAGAAGCAAAAAGATTCAGGTATTTTAAAGACAATTAACAGATACTAAGTTGGCTTGGGCATCCGTCAATCAAAACTGGCCAATCAACAAGCGTAATACACTCACACGTTTATTGATTGGCTAATATTGATTGACAGCTGGCCTCAGCCATTTTGGTATCGGTCCATTGGCCTTAGGCAGCGCTATCAAATATGGCCCCTTTTGAGATATATCCAGTGATACATCTGATATATCAGTGATATATCTGTATACGTGTAATGAGATGTAAATAGAAATTGCCAAAGTCAAGAGCCGCTTAAAAGTAGGGGTCTGAAGTACAGGCTACAATACTCATAAAAACATTCTAATAGTTTAATGTCGCTAAAAAGTCATATAAATATCGCAATTCAGTGTATATGGCCCCTTTTGAGATATATCCAGTGATACATCTGATATATAGTGATATATCTGTATTCGTGTAATGAGATGTAAATAGAAATTGCCAAAGCCAAGAGCCGCTCAAAAGTAGGGGTCTGAAGTACAGGCTACAATTCTCATAAAAACATTCGAATAGTTTAATGTCGCTAAAAAGTCATTTAAATATCGCAATTCAGTGTATATGGCCCCTTTTGAGATATATCCAGGTGATACATCTGATATATTAGTGATATATCTGTATTCGTGTAATGAGATGTAAATAGAAATTGCCAAAGCCAAGAGCCGCTCAAAAGTAGGGGTCTGAAGTACAGGCTACAATTCTCATAAAAACATTCGAATAGTTTAATGTCGCTAAAAAAGTCATATAAATATCGCAATTCAGTGTATATGGCCCCTTTTGAGATATATCCAGTGATACATCTGATATATTAGTGATATATCTGTATTCGTGTAATGAGATGTAAATAGAAATTGCCAAAGCCAAGAGCCGCTCAAAAGTAGGGGTCTGAAGTACAGGCTACAATTCTCATAAAAACATTCGAATAGTTTAATGTCGCTAAAAAGTCATATAAATATCGCAATTCAGTGTATATGGCCCCTTTTGAGATATATCCAGTGATACATCTGATATATTAGTGATATATTTGTATACGTGTAATGAGATGTAAATAGAAATTGCCAAAGCCAAGAGCCGCTTAAAAGTAGGGGTCTGAAGTACAGGCTACAATTCTCATAAAAACATTCGAATAGTTTAATGTCGCTAAAAAGTCATATAAATATCGCAATTCAGTGTATATGGCCCCTTTTGAGATATATCCAGTGATACATCTGATATATTAGTGATATATTCTGTATACGTGTAATGAGATGTAAATAGAAATTGCCAAAGCCAAGAGCCGCTTAAAAGTAGGGGTCTGAAGTACAGGCTACAATTCTCATAAAAACATTCGAATAGTTTAATGTCGCTAAAAAGTCATTTAAATATCGCAATTCAGTGTATATGGCCCCTTTTGAGATATATCCAGTGATACATC